TATTCCTTTAGGAATCTACAGCCATCTATAGGCACTATTTATTGTCCGAAGACATCAGGGAGTTTGGTAGACATCCATGCTCGGGCTTACAAATTTTCACGGATTAAGGCCGAGCGAATTCTGCTTACAGATCCACTCGTAAGTTCCATGAAAATTTGTCGCCACCACCGGGATTCGAACCCGGGACCTATTGACCTAGAGTCAGACGCGCTAACCACTAGGCCAACCTGGCCGGCAACCTCAAACATAATTTTCAGGATCTCAGTCGGAAAAGCTGAAAATGGGAAAATTCCTAACTATTTCACCTTACGATGCCATTTAGTACCTCATAAGAATAAAAATCTATCAGAAAAACTTTTGAGGCTATTTTTACATGTTGAACCAATCGATATCGATACAATCTCACCTATTTGATGTATCGGAAATGATGTATAAGGAATTGCTCCGCCGTGCTAAGGAAGAACGCCGTATGAACCCTCAGGCGTTGCCAAATTAACCTCAACAAAATACGAATTTTCAGGGAAATCCAAGAATACTTTTCATCCATTTTTTCAGAGAATTTTATTCGCAATCAGATCTAAATTATCTGAAAATTTTGATAGAAAATATTCATAATTCTCCTTGAAAATCAATATTTAATCGGAGGAAATTTGGCAACTCTCGAATGTTCATTCATCGTTCTTACTTAGCACGGTAGTACTAGCCGCGAGTCCTCGTGAGAACACCCATGAAGCACAGGGAAACTGATGACACTCGCGTTGTTACGAAACTGAGCCAGACATTGGACCTCAGTTAAAAAATAGAATGTCTGTATCATCTGTAAAAGCACTTATATGCATAGGACAACTGAAGGTGTATACGTTGTTTCTCAAATGAAACGTAAAATGTAATTCCCCTTTGCAAACGTTATCCGATGTCCCTTGTCGCACAGTGTAGTTCGAGTGAAGCTCCATCTGCAAGCTGATTATTAACGTTGAGTGATGCTATTGGTGGAAGCGCATCGTTGCAGTAGACAAATGAGAGGCTTGGAGGACAAGGCGCATAAGTGCAGTTTTTGAAAATATAGAGATATGAATGATCCAAAGTAAAACTAATCTTCATGTATATTCTGTGAAAAATTCGCTCAAAAATTCCAATTTTTAAGCATCAAAAAGTCAGTTTGAACTTTCTTTTTCGCCGTAAGGATCCATGTAATTTCGAAACTTCAAACACATAGGTATTCAGGGCCGGATTCACCTACTTGCCGCCCATGGGCCGCCTGTATTTTGCCGTCCCCTTCTCATTCGTTTTGAAACATCAATAAAACCGTAAAGTGAATGTGCCGAAGGGGGAGGGGTGCATAAAACGAGTTTACTCGTGTTGGACACATTTTTTTGCAAAAGCCCTGTCAACACTACCAGCAAAAGTTCACGGGACTTAACGCGGAAGTTAAGTTCCGTAAACCTCTCTCTGTGTGGGCAGGGCCTTCTATTTATAAGAAATGAACGAAAAAATCATGAAAGAACAGTCATGAATGAGGTTTAATAATTTTAACCCTCTGTGACATTAATTAATTTTGGATCTCAGATTCTAGGGGACACTAATCTATTTTGCATTTAAAAAATAGAGTACCAAATTCTTTTTCTAAATTTTAAAGTTAAGGGAATCAATTCTTCAAAAAAAGAAGAAACTAATGAAATTTTGCAAAATCATGGCACAGGGGAATAAAGATTCAATTTTTACAAACCCCGAAAATATGTTGTTACGAATTCGTAAAGGTGCCATAGATGGTTAACTTCCACCGCCGCGCCGTGCTGACCGCGTGAAGTATTCCTTCAGTCTTGTAGGCGCTATGCGTTTCATGCCGACCGCTGCTGAACGTACTGTGTTTGATGCAATGCGTGAAGTATTCACGCCGTCTTGTAGGCGCTATGCGTTTCACGCTGACCGCACTGTGTTTGACGCAATGCGTGAAGTATTCTTGCAGTCTTGTAGGCGCTAATATGTGTTACATGCTGATCGCCGCGCCGAGGGCTTCTCCTTTTCATCTCAAGTCCTCGTTATCATTTCTCTCTAAGTCGAGCCGTTCTAGGCCAAATTGCGTGTTTGGTTTCTCTCTTAACTCGACTAATTAAAGGTGCTGTCTCTTTAATTGTATCACCAAAAAACGACAAAATTAGAAATTACTATACTCTCAGGTAATGAGAGATTTTGTCGCCTTCTCTCGTTTGTAAGTTTTTTTTCTGAATCCGATTTTTTTATACCTACATTTGAAAAAATTGCAAGATTTGCCGCCATGAGCCGCGGCCCATGTGGCCACCCCCTAAATCCGGCCCTGCACGTATTTCTCGGAATGGCAAAAACTGCACTTATGCACTTTGTTCTCCAAGCCCCTCAAATGAGATAAGTAAAAGACTAACTAACGGCAACCCACGAGGAATCCTGCCTGCAGTTAGTTCATCATTTTCCCTTGGGTCTAATACAACCGCCCGTTTCAACCAGTAGAATCACTCCATTGCTCCTTAGTCTCCTTTGACTATCGAATTCTATAATCAGCCCGATGGCGAGAACTTACCCATATCAGACGCAGGACGTCGATGAAGCTATGAAAAACCGCTTATCGATGTGAATACTTTGCAACAGCGCGTGCCTTGTAAATGATGTTTCAAAATCTCCGCTTCTGTTTTATTTTATCAAAGGAAGGCGAAACAACATTATTGCTTAAAATTTTCACAGAATTTTCTTCACGCGCCAAAAAAAAAAAAAAAAAAAAAAAAAAAAAAAAAAAAAAAAAAAAAAAAAAAACAGGGAAGTTTCTAGGAAATATTGCTAAGTATCCCTTCCTTTGAAAAATACAGGACCGGCAGACAGTGAGTCTCAACAGTGTAAACTAAGATTTGCACTCATGTATTTAGGTATTGACCCTCGATATTTCGTATGAAAGAGGAACTTGAGGCCGTGTTCAATCAAGACTCATCGTGCACGATAAATATGCGTTCTTTAAAAATGTGCTCTCCATGTAGGCTGTTGTCTATCCGGCGAATTTGAAGGCGAATCTCAAGTGGACAGTATACCTACACCGAGAGAATCCCACACTGTTCACGGACTTAATTAAAGCTTATGAAAGGAAGATAAATGGATTCTCTTCGAATACAACTATTCGTGCTCTCTGGTAGATTTGTTGCCTATGCGGCAGATTGAAGGCGAACTCTCAGGTGCCTGTGCCGAGAAAATCACAAACTATTCATTGATTCAATTAAAGCTTATGAAAGGAAGATACATGGATACTCTTTGAATACAACTATTCGTGCTCTCTGGTAGGTTTGTTGCCTATGCGGCAAATTGACGGCGAGCTCTCGAGTGCCTGCCGAGAGAATCACACACTATTCACTGATTCAATCCGCCGGAGATCATCAAGCAATTGGCACCTTCTGATCTCCTCCTCCACCCCTTGTCGCCAACCTTTCACAGGACGTCCACGCCACCGCCTTCCGGGAGGAACCCAATCGAAATCCTACTTGGGCAACTGATCGTCTGCCAATCGTCGCACATGTCCATAGCAGACCAACTGCTTGGACCTGATATCGTGCACGATGTCCTTCTCCACACCCATTATCTCGCGCACCTTTTCATTGCGGATACGCTCTCTTCTCGATATCCCAGCCGACCTCCGCCAAAAGTCCATCTCAGTTGCCCTAAGCATTTATTGAACCATATACGAAACTGAAATTTTCAGGTGAAAGCCTCACTAAGCTGAAGGAGTATGAATTCTCTTTTTTATAAGGAGAGCAGAAATTTAAAACCTGGTAAGTGCCATCAGGTGTTGCTATAATTGGGCATCAGTTTCTAATAGACCGAATTTAGAGAAAATTGCCTCATGGGAATTAAATTAAAAGGAGGCATTTAGGATCTTTTACACTGAGGAGCAACATGCATATTTTAACAATAACCTGATGACAATCGCCAGGTTTTGAATTTCCACTCTGTATCAATGGCTAAATTCGAAAAAGACTTATCTTAATTTTAACCTTTATAAAACCTCTGATTACATTTTATTCTCTACAAAGGTTTCTAATCAAAATGAAGTCAACATGAAGTGAGTCAATTTAAGTTTCTATGATTTACATAGAATAATGATGATGAAACTGTTGGTTGGTTTTCGTTAAAAAAATAAAACATGATTGTTGACTTATCATCACAAACTAAAAAACGCATTTTTCAAATTCAGCCATTAAAATATGACTGTTAACTGGAAAAGGGACCTTGGTCGATGGAAACGAATTTTTTGCTAGGGCGATTTTTGCAGAGTTGAGTTGAAAAATCAGATTCTTTTAAAATGCTATTACTGATCAAATGCAAACTTTTGAAAGCTGTACATCCCATAGAGTAGCAACAAAAAGTGTATTTCATTCATAAAAAATGATGATGGGAGAGAATAAATGACAAATAATTTCTGCTAGATAGAATTGCTGTACACTACATAGGTTTTATTCAAATAAAACATTCATTAATGAAAAAAACAATGACAAAATATAACCAAGAATAGAAACCTAGGAAAAAAAACAGAGCAAATAAAAATTCTCAAAAATTATGAGAAAAATTGTACATTAAAAAATCACCATCGAGCACGTTGAACACCTGACAGTCTATTCCCATCAGCTAACCGCCTAAACATCATGCGGCCAAGTCGCCATCTGATGACAACGTTGCGTCCTTTTGAGGTCAATTGACACCTGTGGCAAATCCTGCTGGAATGGGCATCTTTCGGTAGGCTATTCATTTCTCCTCTAACTATTTCCTGGAAAAATCAGGCAAGAAGAGAATCTACTACTTAACTGATAAATGTTAAACTGGAATTGTAAAACAAATTTCAGGATGAAACTTGAACAAATACGACAAAGAGTGACACCATTTTACTTCACTTTCCTATCAATTTTCATAACTGACCATTTTTTGACATTGAGGGTCTTCTTGGATAAAATTAACTTGAACCTGAAACCCTTTCCTTGTTGAGGAGGAAAGGTGAAAAACTTCAAACGTTTTTCAAGGATCAAACTATCAAGAGGATAACTTTCAGGCTGTGTAACAACTTGAAACTCCCTGTTTTTTGGTATTTTCATACTTCAACCTTGTTTAACCCATTTTTTCATTTTTTATTACATAGTATTCTTTTCTTCAAATTAGGGAGCAGAAAAACGGTGATTACTGCAGAAAATTGTCTCATGACCTGAGATTAGTTTCACAATTTGTTGCCCCTCTGACATAAGGGCGTATCTTAATTCCCATGTAAGCCCTGTAATACATATAAATCCATGCTCCTTGGGCCACGTGCAGATATCAAGATACACCCTTATGCCCGAGGAGCGATAAATTGCTCAGATGTGTTTACCTTTCAGTGAAACATTTCTTGTACTCCAAATGCAAATTGCCAATTTTGTCAAGAATTACTTCTACTCTCTTCTAGGCTCACATTGTGTAATGTGGATCAGACCAGAAAATTCAGTGCCGACCTGTTAAATGCGACACCCTAGCCACAGTGTTGACTGGCTTTGGCTGAAATTCATTTAGGTTATCGATTTCTGCTGTTTTAAGAACTTTAAAAGAAGGTCTTTTTCAATTCTTAGATTTTATTGAGGGTTCTCCTTCAACTATACATTAGGCAAGCTACTGATTAAGAAGAGTTGGAGTGTTTTTACCGTCATTTTTTATGTATTGTCTATTTCGCCAGAATCAAACCAACTTACATTCAGTTCTGGAGGAAGAATTTTTTGTGCTCTTAACAAGACGGTTAGGTGAAGTTTTTCAGGTCCATATTTCTCCATTGTATCTCGTCTTCGGGCATCCTTTCTCATGCGGGAGTCAACCCACTTACTCCTGACGTGCTGGCTTTGAATAAAGGGGGCAACAACCTGGGAAATAGAAAAACTTTAGAGAAACAACACTTCGCAGTACATTTGTGGAAAATTAGGTGAATCATCTTTGAGGAAAAGGTGACTAGTGTGGAAGGATGCTGGGTTATGGGACAAAATAGGGCTGAATTTGACATGGGTTTAAATTAGGTAGTGCTAATTTTTCAGCACTACCTAACAAGAATGCTAGTATCTAGCCTAACCTGGGGCATAGACTCATGGAAGTGCAAAAATGTACAATTTTATGATTGTGTCTGCAAAGCAAGGGATGCAGATAGTGCTCAATCGGCCGACTGCGACGCAAATATGAGGGCACCTGAAAAATGGGGGAAAATGTGAAGGCAGAGGGCTTAAACCAGCTAAGCACAAAGCTTTGCTCGTAGAAAATTGTATAGCGTCCCCTCTTATGCGAAGAAACTAGTTAAGAACGCTCTTATAAGCGAAAGAAATAGTAAAGCGTGCACTTTCATGTGAAAGAAACAGTGAGGTACGCAAGTCTTGTGTGGACAGCAATACGAAGGCTGCCTCCAAAAATGTGAGGGCGAAGAACTTTCTGCACCCTTGCAGAAAGCCCCACCTCGCAAAGCTGAATGAACCTTTGCTGTTGATAGGCTACCTTCAATCGCTTCAACGCTACTAGAACGCTCCATCAGTATCCACTTGGCCTAAAAGCCAGATTGCGCCAAACTTCAATCAACAACAACAGATACGTGTAATGTGGAAAACGGAAAGCAAATTCAAGGTAAGTGGAACAAAGGTTTGCTCTAGGCAGTCAACTCAAAATCAACAAGACCTTAATTGTAAGTCCCATTGGTTTTAATCAGCCTTAGCAAGGAGTTTGAAACAGAATTCCTAATAACCTTCAGGACTTATATGTATGAGAATGACGTTAAATTCATTACTGGAAAATAGTATCCAGGAAATAAATTTAAGCACTGGTACGTTTTGTAGATTTGCCTGTCGATTGTTTTGCATGTCATGTTAACAGGATTATAGAGGAGAGGCTGCCAAAAAAGATGCCTGATTGGGTTCCTCCTGGGAAACGACGAAGAGGACGCCCAGTGAAAGGGTGGCGACAGGGGGTTTTAAATGAAATGAGGGAAAGCAAACTCCCTGGCTGATTTTGGGAGGACCGAGCACTGGGGCGGTTAGGCATTGCAGAGCACCATAGAGCGCTGTAAGAGCGACTCTTATGTATGTATATTCTGAAAAAGTTTGAAATAGCGGATGAAAAATTATTGATACAACAAAACTTACCACCTCTGTAAGTGTATGTGTTGGTGAGAAAATCCTGGATTTCAGGAGACTGGTTAAGTAATTCATTACGCAAAGGTCTTAATAAGACTTAATTTGATATCTGACTTAAGATTCCATTGAATAAATGGGAAGATTCTAAAGTCTTGGGACTGTTTTTGGCAGGACACACAAAATCAACTATTGAACTTAACCTAATTGTTTTATTTATGTTGTCGGCTGCATTTTCAGCATCGTTGAGTACCACGAGTGCCAACTAAAATTACCGACTATCGACACCTTGTTTTTTTCAATTATTATTACAGTCATAATAATCGTACCGTATTCAGATAGATGCAAATAATCGTTAATTCTTGCGGTTTTTTTTTATTTTGGACCTTAGATTTCATGATTACATAACCTGAGTAAATTCGATTAAAAAACGTAGTAAAATAATGAATGGGGCATAGAGAAAAAAAAGGAGGTGTTTGCATTTCGGGCATCTTGGAGTATTTTGATGACTTGATGACGTAGGTGGGTACAGCTGGGTACAGGGACGTCCCCTTCACACTGTACCCACCTACGTCATCAAGTCATCAAAAAATTCCAAGATGCCCGAAATGCAAACACCTCCTTTTTTTTCTCTATGTGAATGGGGTTATTTGTTCTCGTGAGTTGGTCTGCATGGTACTTTGAGCGCGCAAAACTTTTGTTTTGCACCTAATCCCTAACCTAACTTACTTGTTATTTGATCATGATCATCGTATTTCTATTTTATCAATGTGGATTGTGGATTATATGTGATGCTCTTTCTAACGTTCTATAATTTAGTCTTTTAATTGTTTGACACGACAGTTGTCGCGAGAAAGTATCGCTTCTCGCAATTTCTCCTCAATGTTTTGATCATCTCCTTATTTTGTCTCTAGCTATCGCCTCTAAGTAACTTTCAAAATGTGCGACACAGGTAGGTGTCATTGTTATCAGTCTTTTACATTATAAGCGGATACTTAAATTTCATCAGGATCGATGCTATTATGTCAACATAGAAGGTTACAATGTGCGTTTATAATGTTAATTTAAAGGAAACTTCAGATTGCAAGGAGTTGTTAGGCAGGATTTTCCCTAATCTCGAAACGAGAAAGACTCTTGCGTGCAGAAGAATCGGGGGGGAATTGACTTCTCCTAACAGTCAATGGAAGTCTTAGATTTTTGACTGATTGGTTACAACTGAGCTGTCCAGCGAAAATATTGATGGCCATGGAAGATCCTATTCAGAAGTAGATATCCCTTTAAGGATATCTTTGCCTACACTCAAGGACCAGAGCAGAAAATTAAGAAATGGAAGAACCAGAGACAAGAGACCCTCCACTAGTATCTTGGCCATGGTGGAAGCTTTTACTTTCGGGACTTCAGCATTCTACTGTTGACTTACCTACATGGTTGATGTTCAACAACTTGTTGGCAGTTTCGTTTTGCAAACAAGCCGAAAATGGCCGACGTTTAGGAAAGTTGTTTGGCTCATGACGTCATCCGAAGCTCATCATCGACCATGTAGGTAAGTAAACAGCCGAAACTAGCGTGATGACTGTTGCTCCCTAATAATTGTCCATCAGGAATTGTTGAAACCCGGAAAGTAAAAGCTTCCACCTTTCGCTAGGAGGCCAGTGGAGGGTCTCTTGTCACTGGGAAGAACACTAGGGCTTTTTTTTTACTTAAGGAATGCAATGGTAGCGGTTCGGGCTGGTTCAACCAGTCTGAACCAACTTCAACCTACCGTGGAAGAGTGTACCACTGGAACAAGATAATAAATGTGATGCGGTCCACTGCGGTTCGGATAAAAAGAAAGCCCTACTAAAGGAAGTGGCACCTGTTTTAAACTTTGTTTATGACTTAGGGATGAGAACTCACGTTTTTATCTACATAAGTGTGACATGTAAACAAATTCAAACATTTTTATAGAATGATTCATTCCTTTCTTCAATTCTCAGAATTTATCTTTTGTGGTCTAGAGGGCTGGAATCACACCTTTCCTCATATTTTTTCATGTCACATTTTTATTTTTGTCACAGATTCCGGTGGGAGGGTAAAACGACAGAGGAAAGAAAACCACACAAGGTTAAGTGCCTTGGAACGACTGAAGGCCATCAAAAGTGGAGCTTCCAAGTCCAAATATGAGCTTGAACCTCTAGAGTCAGTGTATGAGGAAGTCAGTGAAAAAGAGTATTCCAAAAAAGTCATCGAAAGGCAAGAAGATGACTGGATTGTGGATGATGGCAAGTATTTTTTTTTAAAGTACCATTCAGCATTTTCATCTGCATTATTAGTTCTAATCATGTCTTATTACCCAAAGAATTTATTAGCTGTAATAGTATTTAATCATATCTCTTAACAGAACTAACAAAATGGCCAAACAGAACATCGTGGACCAAGAGTGAAAAAATTTGCATGGGATTACGGAAATTTTTACTTCTAGTGATTACTAGCCATTCTGGACATGGCTAGCTGAGGGGCTGTGCCCCTTGAGCCCCTGGTCACTCGCTATGCGAGCCATTTTTCTGAGTCGTTGGACATTTAATCACTATGATGTATACATATTGGAGACTCACGAGAAAAAAAATGATTTTGTCACAGAACCTTGTTGCCGAAGCATGCCATCATTTGCACATGAATAGATGTGTGGAGATGAAGCAATTTTTTTTTTTTTTTTTTTTTTTTTTGTTGGTGAAGACGCAATGGGGATCGATCATTTCTCTAAAAATGCATTTGACTGGGACGTCAGTCCCATCGGGTGGAGGAAAGTGACAATCCGTGGATGTCCTTCCGTGATTTGACTTGCTGAAGTAGTAAAAGCTCATCTTTAATTCTTAAGAAGATTATCGGTGGCGTAGGGGTCTAAAAACTGCTCAACGATAGTATAGTTCAAGTTCCGAATTGCAATGATTCCACTTTTGTTTTTTTCTTATACTTACATTGCATAATGACGGTGTAAGTTGGCAATCACGTAACTCGGTCTTCGACATTGCAGACTTCCTGTCTTACTTTATTTTTTAAATGGAAAACTGCTCAATGGCAATTCTTTAAAACTCCCATGATTTTTCTTCTCTGTGCGAAGAAAGTTCAACAAAAACTTCAAAGAATGATGTCAATTTGTTATCCTTTAAAAAAATAACATAGAGGCGGAGATTTTGGGACACCGCAAACGAGTTATGTGATTGCCGACTTACATCGTCGATATAAATTTCTCTGATGTTTTTGTTTTACTCTCTCTGACTTCATAAGTAATCATATCCTCATTTCATTTCCTTTGTCCTCTATTTTTTCCTTTTTGTAGCACCTGTGTCCATTTTAAATTATCATTTTAAAATAGCTTTCCCTTTTATACATTTGATGCTTCAAACAGAACTAATTTGTTTTAATGACATTTCCGGCTAAATCATAAGGGAAGGCAGCTTCTCATCCCTCCCAGATTCTACTGTTACCAGATAAGTTGCTTTTTCGGTTCTCTTCCTAGTTCAAACCTATGTAAAATATCCACATTTATAGCACAATCTGGCAACCCCTTCAGAGAAATAGAAAAAGGTGGAATCGACAAAAAGGCTGAATCCTTCAAAGTCTTTATTAATGATACCTTGTATACATCTGCAACTAATCTTCTTCTCATTTACGAACCCTCTTTTTAAGGACAGTTTGCACGACTGTTGAAGGTTAAAGGTCTCCTAGTGCTTCTGCACTGAAGAGCCGCAGAAACATTTAGGAATTGCACAACATTTCAATAGCAAAAATGAATTGCTTTTCTGAGGTACATTGAACTAACTAACATGTGGCCAAATTGCAAAATAGAGTTTCAACTTCATTAATCCCGTTTCAATCCAAAAAAATGTCAGTTTTAGTAACATTAACAATGTTTCTCATCCTCATCAGAGATTGTAAGCTCTTCAAGAAACAGTCTATGAAATTTATGTTGCAAATTTTTAACTGCTGAATGTTCTACATGTACCTAAATGATCTCTTCGCTAATGATTCAGATGGTGCTGGGTACGTGGAGGATGGACGTGAAATTTTCGATGATGACCTTGATGAGGAATCAATCCAAACCAGCAAGAAGCAGAAACCACGATCATCCAAGAAGCGCGACAGAGATACAGTTGCTGCTGAATCAATGCCCGGTCCCAAAGGCGACATTAAGAAGCTTTTGGCGAATATGCCATCAAAAAAGAAAAAAGAGGTAGAATTAACTCTCTTTTTGGCTCGATTGAATTCGTACTATGCTCCAGGTCTCCTTTTTTTTTTCAGGAAAACATCCCTTTTTAGCTGTGACTTCAATTCAGCGGTAAGTTAGAACGCTGATTGAGTAGGGATTCATCTGGAGAGTTGTTTGGAAATTTTTTGTGACATGGTGTAAAAGGAACAGGATCATTCTGCCATGCCAAGGAATAACGCCGTATGAACCTTCAGATGTTGCCACATTCCCTTCAACAAAAACCTAATTTACTTGAAAAATTGTGAATGTTTTTCTGTAATTTCTTCAGACAATTTTGTTCACAATTTTGTCTAAAATGTCTGAAAATTTCCAAGATAAATATGCATATTCTTTCTCAAAAATGCATGTTTTATCTCGGGCGATTTTGCAACTCTCGAATGTTCATACAACGTTCTTCCTTAGCACGGCCGCATTGCTTGGGCCGTACCTGACCTCAGCAAAAATTTTAGTTTTTTTCTGACAGCTTAATCTTTCCTTCAATCAGGTCCTCAATCGTTACTTGTGTACCCAATGCAGTCGAACTTCTTTATGAATCGCCCTTTTACCATCAGGCATAATTATATGATGAAAATGAGTCTTTAATAACTGGATCTTGTTTTACAGGAACAAACCACTTTCTTTGGGGAGTCTTTGAAGGCATGTGCTCGTCAGTTGCTTGGAAAAACTTCATAAGTGTCACTGTGCAATTCGTTCCTCTCTCTCTCTCTCAATAGAATATACCACTAGAGAATTTGAGCAGGAGTCATCTGTGTGGTTGGTTCCTTTCTCTGAATTGGTTTGATTCTATTCGCATTTAGGAGAGGGGGACCAAATTATTAAAAATTCGGAAGAAAAAGAATTATTTTTAGACAAATTTACTTTCTTAGGCAGGAGTAAACAAACGAAACTCCTGAAGCACGTCAATATTAAAATTTTGAAAGTAACTTTTCTCTACAAGAAATAAACAGAAAAACCTACAAAAACAGACCCTTTGCCTTGAACAACTTGTTTCCTTTCTGATAAACCCATGGAATCAAAATGCTTTGCACTGAGAGCTCACTCTGAATCTGCGTTTTTCCATTTCAGGCAGTATGTGAAGACGATGAATTTTTCGAAAATCTCATACAAGAAGTGGCATCTCAAGATCTCGAGGCACCGAAACCTGCTGCCTCGAAACCCAGCTCGGGCACTTACAGTCTCTATGAGCCTGTTTCTTCGAATTCCAACACGGTCAAGACGCCCAAATTTGATAAACTTGCTACATTGAAAAATGTCAAGCCTCTGACCCCTGTTTTAACCAAAATAGACTCCCCGAAAACAAATGGCTCATGTATAGACTCATCGAGTTTTGATGTCTCAGAGTTAATAGATGAAGACATTGAGAATTCTTTCATGGACTCCTCCAATTTTGATGATGGAAAAATTGAGGAAGTTTCCGTAAACACGCCGCAAATTAGTGTGTAAGTTTTAGTTTTATTCCATTTGCCATCAGGCACTCAGTATAGCCTGCAAACATGTTGATGGCTAAAGTGCGCAACCACATATCTCCGTTGCGATGTCTTAAAATTTCTACTTGTATTTTATCATAATAAAGAGAGACAACTCAACCTATAGCTTGGATTTATACGGAATATTCTGCTAACAAAGAAGGAAAATCAAGGACATTTTCAAAAAATTAGGTCAACTAGCGTCCAAAGAAAAAATAAAGTATGACAGGAAGTCTGCAACATCGCAAACGGAGAAATGTGGTTTTGCACTTCGACCATTGATGTGTATCTTGTTTGCAATTTATACAAATGTCGGCATTTGTGTAACAGACTCCAAAGGAAGTTAACTAGTATTCTTACCAAAATATGTAACTGCAGTAAAGCTGTTTGAAATTTGATTTAATGAGGATTGACCAAGGTTTCAGGAAGCCCAACCGTATCAAACGTAAAATTTGAATGGCACCTTGACCGCTTGTCAAATTATGAATGCAAATCGTGGGAAACATGTCTGAATTTGTTTTTTTGCTACCCCAAAACAACTTAAATTTTGCTGTACTTCTAATGGTTACGCTGAGGGAAATTCCTTACGAAAACGAGTCCAAGGGGCGTTCCTCAAAAAAATCTCAAAAAGTGTTTGAAAGTTTAGCCTATTTTATGTCAAATCTTATTAACGTAGCTGTTATTCAAAGGAAACCAAATTCAAAGGCTTCTTTCCCTCTGTTCATTTCCTTTGAAATATGCTTACTGAGGCTGCCTCCTCATAAATTTAGGCATGCATCAAGAGATACAGCTGTGATGTGTTGTCAATGAATATGTAAAATATCATTTGAAAATTTCTCTTTTCAATAGAATTAGAATTTTTAATTGTAATCAGATGATTTTCCACTAATTTTATATGCAAGATTTTAACGCTTCATAAGTCTACCATATCTTTTTATTCTCAGGTTTAATTTTCCAACATTGCTCTTGATGAGACTTTTTCAAAGAGCTGCATGATACACAATAATGAGTGGTTCCTCATTATGATAATAAATTCGCATTTGCAGTACATTACCAATCGTTGACTACAACTGTCCTTTGTAGTGTAAATTCCTTGTTCAAGCTTGTCGAAAGTTATTCCCTATTTTGACATGTTTTCATTTCACTCATACTGCTTCTGTTCTCTGTATTTTAATCCATCAGAGGAGAAGAAAAATTCAAAGATATTGACACCAAACCTGCGCTCTCTCCAGAACCTGTTGTGAAAAAAACTAGCAACTCCGCCATGTCCAACATTCTACAAACGCAAAATGATCAGTCTTTCGTTCAAGTGAATGTCGACTCGAAAAATCTTCCGTTGACCACCGATGAGTCTGGTAAACAGGTAAGGCTGCAGCAGTCTTGCAGGTTGAATTCTGAATTTATCATGTCTGTAAGTTTTTTTATTTCTTATAATGGTCGTTTGTTGCCAAATTCTTTCAATGTTGGGTAAAAACTTGTTAAAGTTTAAATAGATTACCCTAAGAAATTTCCAACCTTGCAAGTAAAACTTTTCCCTGGGACAAATCTCATAAAGATGGCCTTCGGAGACAAGGCCAGTATATTTATCAATTTGTGTAGCAAATTACAGCCAAGTCCAAAAAGTAGCAAAAATTTATTGCAAGTTTCAAGCATTTTCTTTCAACCTATCATAAATAATGAAGCATGACCTTTCTAATTCTCTTTAAATGCCCCCAGGTGTTTCGTTTTTTCTATTGGGATGCTTACGAGGACTACTACAGGCAGCCAGGCGTGGTTTACCTCTTTGGTAAGGTAGCTGTCCCCAGCAGCAACACCCACATCAGTTGCTGCGTTGTCGTGAGAAACATCGAACGCAGGATCTACCTACTACCAAGGGAGAAGGTTAGTGAGCATTCATTTGAAGGATTTGCACTTTGCTTTGATGAGGCATAGCCAAAATTTTAGTTAATTCACCCAAGTTTTTTTCTGACAGATGGATTTAGAGGTTTTCTTGTCTGATTTATTCGATGATTCCATCCGAGATAAATTGGCCTTGATATCGTTTACTCGCTGCCAAAGAGGAAATGAAAGCCCGCGTTGAACAGGGAAAAAGCATGACTGCCTGATCCTGGCCTGGTTTCTGACGTTTGCTTTTCAGCCAATCAGACCCCCCGTGACCACTTTCGAATTCCTTAAGCATGTGTTTTGTCGAATTCAGCCAATATTTCGGAAAAAATGTGATCACGACTGATTTCTTGGGGATCTGGCATTTCAGTTGATGTAGAATACATGCCACTTTTCCAATTAATACCTAAGATCTTGATTTTTGAAATTTCAATTTTCTTCCATTTGAATCAGTGGGGCTGTCAAAAACAATAGAAATTGAAACACCCGATCCCTGAGAAGTTGGTTGTGAACACATTTCTTCCGAAAAAAGCACATTGTGTCGATTTCCCATGTTATTTTGCATAAGGAATTCGAAAATGGTCGTCGGGGTCTGATTGGCTGAAAAGCAAACACGGGAAGCCAGGCCCGGATCAGGCAGTCTCGCTTTTTCCCTTCTCAATGTGGGCTCTTATTTTCTCTTTGCTTGCTGTCTCGTGAAAATTAATGTCGCACATTGGTAATGCATCAAATGTTGTAGCTATAATTATGTCTATTATATGAGTACCAAAAGTAAGTGAAATTTCCTTCAGTTAGCATCTGATGAGATACCCTTAGGCTTACGGCATTCTTTGAAGCTTTGAGGAATACTTCAAACTTTTGAAAATTTTTCTCCAATTCTCAGTCTTTTTTTTAATTGCTGAGTTTTTAATTATTTTGAAATTGATCTCAGAATCTTTCAGAAAGTTAAGAAAGAAGAGCTTCCTTATGCCTTGATTAAGTGACAAAGATAATTATAGCATCCCTGTCTGGTTTTTTTTAATGATTTTCCTCTTCTTTCGCTGTTGCAGAAGTACAATCGTTCTACAAATACGTCAACAGATGAAGAAGTATCTATGATGGATGTTTACAACGAATTCAACAATTCAGTCTCAAATAAGTACCACATTAACCAGTTCAAGTCGCGGAAAGTCACCAAGAATTATGCATTTGACATTCCAGGTGTGCCGCTCAGCTCCGAATATCTTGAAGTCCGGTATAAAGCAACAGATAGAGCATTGCCAGCAGACCTGAGCGGAGAAACGTTCAGTCATGTGTTTGGAACCAACACGAGCTACCTCGAGTTGCTCTTGCTTGAGCGAAAAATCAAAGGGCCTTGCTGGCTGGACATTCAGAATGCAGAACCAATCTCCAATTCCATCAGCTGGTGCAAAGTTGAGGTAGGAAATTATCCTATTTGTGCCTTGGATTCTCATCGGGCAGCAAATTTGCAATTTGCCTAGCAGGATGCCTACCGCATGAAAAAGCATGGATATAGTATGGATTATTGGTATGGAGAGTGGGAGTATGGTAGTATGGGTATAGTATGGAGGTCCGTTTAGAAGTATGGAAATTGTGTGAATTTTCCATGGAGAGGTAAAGATATTTAAACATTTTTTTAGTGAACTTTAAAAAATAGTCTTGATGTGTGATCAACAGCTCAGAATAAGTGAACTCACTCAAAGTAAAACTCGACCAACAATTTTTTTGTCAGTCAAAAGTTAGTGCAGTGTTTGGTCCACAATCTCTATTTATTGTTAAAAAATGACTTCATCCATCCTATTTAATGAAAATTTTGATACATCTTAAAAATTTGCTCACACAGAACACTAAAATCCATATCACCAACCTTGCAAAACTTTTAGAAAATTCTCCCTCTTTTTATTTCACTTTCAACTTAACTTTTTTTCGAATTTAGTAACTTAAATTTCCATGTGATACTCAATGTGAAATTCTTTGAGAAATCTTTTTATCAGTCTACTATAACTCTCAGGGTCCAAGTTGAATACCATTTCGCTTTCAATTGATTTTGTAGGCTGGATGCTCAAAATTAGAGGACGTGAATGTTTGTGCAAATCAAGGACCAGCCCCACCCCTGGTTGTGGCCACTCTCAATCTGCGAACTTGTTTGAACCAGAAGACTCGAAGTAACGAAATAGTCATGATTAGCTGTTTGGTCCACAACTCCTTCCCAACAGATAAGCCAGCTCCCTCGCCACCTTTCCAACAACACTTCTGCGGTAATAATTTAAAATCAATCAATTTAAGTATGTAGCTTAATAACTTAATATTGCTCACTACTTATCCATATATTGCTCCAAGATGGGATTGGTTATTTGAAGAAACGTTTCTAAGACAATGCATGGTTTTACTTACTGTTAAAAAAAGAAAAAAAGGTAAATTCTTCTCTTGGTGAAAATTTTTCAGAAATTTTCTTTATATTTCTAGACGAGAATTGAAATTTTTTGGCCACTAGACTCCTGTGGAATCCTGTGGTTGAGTTTAACAAAGACACACCAATTAGTATTTTGGGGAAAAAATGAATCCGGCTTTGTTTTGAATTCAACCAGGTGCAAATTTTTTCCTGTCAAAACATTAAAAACTATTTTGAATGTGAAAATTGTCATTAAACTTCGTTCTCAACACCCTACAGAGAAATAAAACATCAAACCTATCTTACTCAATCCAAACTTTATGCGATGTAGTGTATCTCTGTTAAACTTGGTCCATTTGTGAATGTCCCCAGGGAATGAAACTTCAATGCCAAAAAACACAAAAGTTATTGATCGATACTATTGCACAGATGAGTGTTTTTGTGTTCTAAAAATTCTGCCCTGAACACTGCTACATAACAAGTGAAATCACACCTAAGAAAAAGAAAGTTTTTGTGCCGATGGTCATACGAGTGGATATTCCTAATTTGAAAACTATATAACTAGTTTTACCTTCATTATGTAAAGAATGAGCTGTGATGGGACAAAACAAAACAGGTTGAGTGTTTGGCTTGTATTATTCCGTAAAATTAAATTATCAAAGTGTTAATGAAGAAATAGCATTTATCATTGTGTCTGACTATTTGAGTGGTTCTTTTCTAGCGATGACAAGACCTTCAGACAAAGGATGGCCATATGACTCTAAAGATATTGTTTCACAGTGCAAGGTTACAAAATTGGAAAAGATGGACAATGAAAGGGCTTTGTTGGGCTTCTTTCTGGCCAACTTTTTTAGGATTGACCCAGATCTAGTCGTTGGTCACGATCTCAGTGGGTTCATCTTGGATATCCTCCTCCACCGCATCATTTACAACAAAACACCTCATTGGTCGCGATTGGGGCGTCTGAAAAGAACCAATCCACCTCAAGCAGGAAAGGTTAGTACAGTATGATACTTGTATGTGTTGATGGTCTACAGTTTTATCGGGACTGCAGATGCAGAGTGTCATGGAGTTGACTGCTTTAACAATAACACTTCATGACTATGGGTCAGTTGAGCCATTGTACAATGGAAAAATGCGTATCTTTACCTCAAAATTTAAAAATCTGTGATCATGTTTTATTTTTAACAGCAAACCACCAAAATATCTCCTTGAAATTTTTTTTTAAATATATTTGAATAAGTAAAGAAAACACCCGAAAAACTTCAAGAATAACTTTGAAAAGTTGATTTGTCTCTTGCGTATCAATTTCCCTTCAAATTGACTTTTCCTTAAAAATGCCCTTTTTGAGAAAAATTATGATTTTCTGGAAAATTGGTGGATAAAGGGAAAAAACGGTGGAAATTCTCTGAATCAGCGCTGAAAATTACCTAAGAATCAACCACCATACCCTCTGCTTTTTTTCAAAAATAATTTTTTGCATACCTGTGTAGTCAAAAAAAAAAAAAATTAGATAAATTTACTTTAGAATTAGTTGGCTTGAAAATTAAAACAGCATTCAGTACTTGATTTTTACTAGTTTTTTTGTTAAATTTAATTTCTCTCTAAAAATTCAAACTTTGATCAGCATCGATAATCTAATCCTTCTTTTTTTCATATATATATAAAAATACCAGCAAACAAAAAAAAAGGAAAAAAATTTTAGGTTATAAAAGAGTTTTACTGTGTGGCTTTTGGATTAATTTTTACCTTCAACTTTGAGAACTTAACGTTTGTTTCACAATAATTAGAAGTCTGTTTCATTTCTTTTAATTCAGGGTCGCAACCAGTCTGACAGGTACCCCATGTGTGGTCGGCTAGTCTGTGATTTGAAAATAACAGCAAAAGAATTGATACAGAAAGCTCGTAGTTTTGATTTGGGTCCCCTCTGTGAACAGGTAACGATTTTCATGTCTTTTCATTAAAATTGACCACACAAACTTACCTAGACCTAAAGCAAGGAACACCTGAGAATTGCCTGCATCGACCTAAGGCAAAGATTAGAAGCGGCAAAGACATGTGGGAACTTTTAGAAAGAGAAATTGATCCAATCATTTTCTGTAAAAGTAGTTTGAATTGTGGAAAATCTTGCCAGAATTGCAAAACAGTCTTTACTTGCTGCGGCACACTAATACACACCAACATTGATGGAAAAATGTATTCAGCCAACAGGGTCCAGTCTATATTACGAATTACACGCCTATATTTGCTTTGTAATCTGTAAAACGGACCTCTAGACAGCATATTGAAACATTCTGATATATTTACCCTCTTCAAAATTTCATGCAGAACATGATTCACTCAATATAAATTATTCCAATTACCCAACCAAGATAGGATAAACATTTTAATTTTGCACTGATTACGAAACATTTGAAATGCCCGCTCATAAGAAAAGCCAAAGTCTGCGTTAATATAATCGCACACTGAAACGGTTTTTGCAGGCGTTTTAACCTAACAGTGTTCCTTCCCTGCCCTGTTCAATGTGTGAACAATCTGCAACATCTGAGCTGAAGTGCTAAGATTGAGGTTGCCATATTTTCATACCGCAGAAGTTAATGGTAACGTTTGATGTGAGTTTTAACTCAAGTAGATCACACTTTCATTGAGCAGGAAGTTTGAATTCATGAATTATGAGAACGTCAATATTCTCATTAGGAGTTACTTGCAATAATGTTTTTTTGTACAAATTGTGTCGTCTATTATGTTGTAAATCTGATGAAAAAGTTAAGAATACTGATTCTACAAATAACTTTTCATGGTAATGAAAAATTGGTTAAATTTTTTACCGAATCTGTGTTGGAGAGCTGTTTTTCTTTGACACTTAAAGTTTACCAAAGCTTCATTTAGATTAAAAATTAAAGTTTTTTTTTGGAACCGTAGTTTTTGTTTAATTTTGCTTTCAAACGTTGTTTATCTTTTTGAATATCAATTTTGACATACATAGGTACTCGGGCTGAAAGAAGACGAAAGAGAGGAAAAGAGTCCTGAGCAAATTCGGGATATGTACAGGTAACTCTCAAATCTCATTTCTTCACCTTCTCCATCGAATTTATTTTGCCTCTAAATGATAATTTGTACTCAGTAGCTGCAAATTTATAAGGGAAAGAATAATTTGTATGTAGGCTGAGACTTTTTGTGAGAAAGATTGTAGATTCAAAATACCGAAGTCAATTAACCAAACAAAGTGGCAAGTTTTGTAGCAGCAGCAGTTACTTTTTTAAGCGAAAAATATCACTCAATGAAACTGATCAGCTCTGTTAAACCTCATCTAATCTGCTGTACTAAGGAAGAACGCTGTTGGAGCCTTCAAACGTTGCCAAATCTCTTTTGAACAATCACAAATTTTCCTTTGTAAATATTTTTTTTTTTAAATTTTTCAGGAAATCTTGTTTGTACTTTGATCAAAAGCATTTGAAAATTTCAAAGGAAAAATATTCATAAACCTCGCTATAAATAGACATTTTATTGGAAAAAATGTGGCAACTCTAAAATATTCATACGGCGTTTTCCCTGAGCACAGCAATTCAGGAAACACCTCATCTTTCCCTGTTTTACCAAGGATCTTGAAATAATGGTATCAATATTGAATTGGATAAAGAAATAGATATTGACTAATGTATTAAGTTTCATCAACAATATTTATTCTTCATATTTTTTACATTACTTCTGGGCAAATCTAACAACCTCTGAATCTTTTTCTACTTTATGAGGTGGAGTTCTTTCAAATCTGCATCATCATCATTTGAAATCTGTATCAACTCAGCGCGCTATACTATATCATATATTGAGTCGACGCTGTAAGTCGGCAATCACGTAACTCGGTTTGCGACGTCACAGACTTCCTGTCATACTTCATTTTTTAAACTGAAAACTACTCAACGGCAATTCTCAATTCTCTGTGCTAAAAAATTTGTGCAAAAACTTCAAGGAACGATGTCAATTAGTTCTCCTTTAAAGAAATAACATAGAGGCGGAGATTTTCAGACACCGCAAACGAGTCATGTGATTGCTGACTTACACCGTTGATATGTCCCTAAGTGCAATGCACCTGAGGGAAAGGGGATCTAAGGTACCAAAAAAAATGAAAATTAAGGCAATTATATTTTTGCATTAAGGGGATAATTCGGTATCATTTACCTACTACAAAAACACTTGGTAATTTCATAAATTGATTTTTTTGGAGCATCTCAAAGTTGAAGAACAAAAACATTTGATTTTGAGCCAAACACTGTTAAAGTTTTGAAACAATTTTACCCCAAGAATTTGGCCTCCTCATCATTAGAAATGAATTTCTGATCGTGTAATGACCCCAATATTGTATTATAAACTCCAATATACCTCCATACTCATATTTGGAAATAAAAGTATACATACTGTTGCTATTGTCTGACAGCCTTTCAGATGAGTCCAGATGGAGGCTTCGCGCTTTCTTCTATTTTGACCCCTTTCACTTAAAATGCCTCTAATGACAATGTTAAATATACAAATTATGGCTTAAAGTTTAATTGCATGTTCTTGAGATTTGGACTAATCGATTAGCATCAGAAACTGAAATTTGATCACTCTGACGAGAACTGCAGAATGTCGCTCTCTGGAAAAAGTTGGCAATTTAATCTAAGTCTCCTTTTGCTCAGTTGCATCACAAATGGATACTTACATCAAAAGGAATTATATCCATTATGACATGAATCCTGTCATGCATGTATTCTCATGTATCTCAGGGCTCATGTCATAATGGATTTAGTTCCTTTTGATTTAAATTTGTCCAAACGTCACTCTAAACACAGTCAGAACCGAAAATAAATCACCGATCAGTTTTGATCTCCATTTTACATTCTCTTTTTTTTTTGTTTGCTTTTTGTAATCTTTTCCTGTTTGATCCATTTCAGCTCTTCCACTAAACTTCTACATCTAGTCAAATTGACAATGGAGGACACAGCCTACATGGCACGCTTGATGTGTGAATTGAATGCAATTCCTCTTGCTTTACAAATCACCAATATTGCAGGTACAAACCCTAACTGCAAATTACAATATGATTTTACTCATACTCTTCTTTCTTGTATGAATCTAGGGCTGATGACATGTTTTGTCTAAAACTTAGTTAATCTCATATCAATAATGATAGATGGAATATTGCATTAAAGTATTCTTCTAAACTTCTAGTACTAAAAGATGTACGCTTTTAAATAATGAGCTTTTTTACAAAAATTAGCTAATTACTTGTGTCCGTGGGAAATTTAAGTTTACAGTCTAATAAGTTAGTTTAGTGCTGTAAAGAAATCAAAGGAAAAAGCTAATTTCAATCTAAATGGTTTGGAACGAGAAATTCCGAATTTTGCAAGTATCTGAACTAAAACTTATATTGATATACATTTATGTAGAAGTATTCATGGAAGTATAGATGAGGGCCTTCTACTATTAACTCTGCGCCTTTAAGAGATATGTTCAGTGATACATACGACACTTAGAACTGACTAACCAAGCTCACCATATTTTATTTATCTTAAAAAATGTCTATCAAGCTAGGAAATATACACTTTTCATAAGGCATAACATGCTATCAACAAATTTTAGACTCATTTGATGAGAATTCACATACCATCTTGAGCCAACGAGCGACACCAAAAGTTGAACGGCCGTTTCTTTTTATCACTTTTGCTGTTTGCGTTACTGAAGAACAAATAATACATGGTCACAACATATATGAATAGCGCAATAGCGATACACGACAAGTAAATATTCCTGTGAACTGAGTTGTGCTGGATGGTGCGATACTGCTGCAAGATTTGCCAAGACATGCCATCCTTGTTAGGCGTGCAAAAGCGGCGTACGGCTGCAGCTCTTTGTGCAGATTTACTTAGAAGCTTTTGAATTGCATTCTCCTTCTCTTCGGTTTTCAATACATCGTAAAATATGTCATCTCGGTCGCTGGATAGAGAACTTTTAAATGGTGGGTTGTTCCCATTGGGGACGGCCATCTTGTGATGAAATTGTGTGATGGTATAGATTAACCACCAAAATTAAATTTGTATCCATGGTAACATTATTTTTGCAAATTCATCACATTGAAGGTTATGCTGCTCCGGCCATTTTGTTTCTTAAATATTCATTTTATTTTTGCATGCAACATCCAGACATAGACCTCTCAGCTGGTAGGTAGGTGGACGAGAGGTGGATCATTCTTAAATATTCATTTTATTTTTGCATGCAACATCCAGACATAGACCTCTCAGCTGGTAGGTAGGTGAACGAGAGGTGGATCATTCTATTGAAAAATTTGGAAGAATTACATGCTTAACGTGTTTTTTTTTCTATTTATTTTTAATTGAAATGATGCCAAATTACAAATAAAATGGAATTTAGGAATACATTTGGCAATATCGTCATTATAAAAAGAAATTAAGCATGAGAACAGTAGTCCAAAGATATATTACTAGAGCAGTGGTAAAGAATTTGCACAGAGTTGTAGTTTAAATATTCTGATGCAAAACCTTGTAAACAAATCAAACATTTTATTTGGAAGTTCAGTGAATCAATTCTAAGGGAAGAAAATGCTAATCAATAACCAACAAAGAAGTTGAGGAAGCAAGGCGATGTGTAAAGCTGAGCTTAGCAGATTATGGACTATAAAATACCATGAATTCGAGCTCACAACTTCTTAAATTGAAAATGTTCATTGGAATAAGTCTCACTACACAGACATAGCTTCATTTTCTTCTAAATTTTTTATTCTTTCAACAGAAAAGTCAATGTCATTTTAACTTGATATTTTGTGAGCGTATAACTGTGAAATCTTGTTATGTTAAACTATGGTTACGATGAAATCCCTCTTAAATCCAAAATTTCTTTGGCCCCTAGACATTGCCTTAGACGGCAACGTACAAGAGATATGATTAAGGCGAATTTGTAACTCTTGGTTTGGAAGGAAAGTTGCTTAATTTGAAGAAAAGTTTTGGAGAAACCGACGAAAATTCGATTTTATTCTTGGAAAATCGAGAGAAAAGAGCAATTTTTAAAGATAGGAATGTTTCAAAAAAGGTTTATGATGGCATGTCTATTTTTTGATGGAAAGGCAGTAATGAGAGCTCTAAAATCTGTGACTTTTAATGTCCTTCGCTGCTTTGTTGAAAGTAGGGATGACAAATTTGAAAATTCATTTATTATTTTAAAATTTATAGTCAATTGTTGAAATATTAGGAGAAAATGATCCAAAAAATCACTTATGTTTGTAAAGTAGCTGAAATTGTTTAACTTTAATTGTCAAACTTGTTTCATACCATGCGGTAAAGCAAGTAAGACAATGAATTGCTTAAGTCAAAATTTCTCTCAGTTCCTTAACAATTCGACATAGCGAGATTTCACTGTAGTTAATAATCCAGAGAAAATGCAGAGAAAGTTCCAAGATATTATGTTGTTTGGTTCTGTGTTAAAAAAATCAAACTTTGGTGTCTAAGACTGGGGAACAGTAGGCTTCATCAGGGAATGAACAATTTTAGGGAGAATCAGGGGGTTTAGGTAGAATAATATCAATTAATCTGCCCCCCCCCCAAAAAAAAAGGAATCTCCTCTACTTCTCAGAGACAATTTTAAGGTTTATGTCTTGGCACCTTAGCCACCATTATTGATCTCTTGAATCTTCAAATTTTCAGAATAACAGAAGGGCTTCTTTTATCAGATAATGTAAACATCCAAAACGCTTTTGGAATTAATAATTTTGATTATAAGCAATAAAGAATCGGTTGAAAGATAAAAAAAATCGATATCCACAACTGGAATTCCAGAGAATTATATGGTTTTTCTCAATAAAATCCTGAAGAAGTTAGAAGAAACTTTGACTTTTTATCAGGCAACGAGCCTCTGAAAATCAGGGAATAAGTTTGGATAACCATTCCAGGCACCATGAATCAAACTTAAGAGGAAATTAAGCAATGTGAAATGCAATAGGTTAATTCCATCGAAATTCGTCCGACTAGTCAGATGAAACCTTTCAATTAGCTGTGTGAAAAATCTGCCATCGGAATTAATTTTTCGACAGCAATGAATGTAAATTGTTTTTTTGTCTGTGTCAGTATTTGAATCTCAGTTGTTGCTACCTTTTAGATTTGCCCAGGATCAAAGATATTCACAGGTCATTTTCAACGACAAAGTAACCAACAGTTTTTTCTTTCTTTCCAGGAAACGTTTTATCCCGCACATTAATGGGTGGTCGTTCAGAACGGAATGAATTCTTGCTCCTCCATGCGTTCACTGAAAAAGATTACATTGTTCCAGACAAGCAATACGGGAAGAAAAACAATTTGAAGGTTTGAGCCTACATGTAACTTAATTTTATCCAAAAAATCGTAGGTAATCGTATCAATTCACCATGAAACTGGGCTCAGAAGGGCTGAAGTATTAAATGATGAGATGTATGCGCACAACTAAGTATAATTTTGAGGCCCAGACTCGTCACTGGCAACGAGCCTCTATCTTGCATCATTTTTTTCTGAAATTTTTATTTTGATTGATGAGTATCTCTATTCTAAATGTGATGTCATCTTTATTTGATCAAAATCCTTCATTGGGTACTGATAATACTCCCTAATTTTTTCTGTAAAATTATTACAAAATTTTGGATCGTAGGCAAATTTTATCATTGCAGAGTTAAAGCAGGAACTTTCGGTTTGATGGAGGTTACCTTATTATTGAGAATAAAAATTTTTAAAAAAAAGGAGAAAAAAAATTTAACTTGAAACTTATTTAACCAATTCCTCTCAATAACTTCGAGAGATTAGAATCAAGTTCTACTCAAGGAATCTGAATATTTAGATTGCATTCAACAGGAGCAAAGCAGCTCGACTACAGTATTGTACGAATTGCGCATCTTCATCTCCATTTTAAAAAATGCCTAGGCTTGGAAAAAGTTTTTGTTTTCCCATAAATTTATATATGTTTAGTATTTTTTAAAGCAAAGAAATTGCTTGATTCTGAAATAACTGCAATTGAGCTGGTTCACTTCTGTTAAATGCAATCCATTTTGTCGTAAGAAAAAAAAATTATGAGGCTTTCATTGAATTGAATGAGGAAAAGAGAGTTTCCCTAGCTATGAATTTCCTTTTTATCATGTTAGATTTGAATGTACAGATATTTTTTTTATTTTATTTATTGGACTTTGAAAATAGAAGATTTCCTCTTCTGGCCAATCCAACAGCATCTCTCAGTGTTTACTCAGCATTTACAGTGATTTTTCATATTTTACTTGCAGGAGGAAGATTTTGATGAGCTGGGTGAAATAAATGTGAACCAGAAGGCCAGTCGCAAAACGGCAAGTCGCAAGAAACCCACTTACGCAGGAGGTCTAGTCCTGGAGCCGAAACGAGGATTCTATGATAAGCTTATTTTGCTTATGGATTTCAACTCACTATATCCAAGTATCATTCAGGAATACAATATTTGTTTCACCACAATTTCCTTCCATTCTATTGATCTCCAGGTAATCCTTGCAGAAATTTTGATCTAATCCTTCCCCATGGTGCCAAAAGTTCCAACATTTAGGCGACAGGAGTAACGAAGGACCTTACAAGTCCCATGTCCCAAAATGAACCGCTAGACAAGACACAAATTTAAGCACTCTGATACATGTTTTAACCTGAATTTCATGTAAGACACGATTCTTGCATAACAAATTACTGGAATCAACTTCTAACTAAGATATTAATGTCTTACCTCTACATTGGTTACAGGAAATTTGAATTGCTCGGTCACAAAAAACTCAATACTCTACATGAGTCAAATCCCACCTTACATTGGTTTCGGCAGGCTTGTCAATGGAGCACTGTTCCTTTCCCAACCTTTATCGTTCACACTGTAATCAATTTGCCATAGTTGAGCCAAAGCATCATGATTGAGGCTACTATATTTTTTTGTTTTGCCGAGACTGCCACGGTAATGTTTGGTTTGCGATTTGACTCTTGCAGACCATCGAGTTTTCATGAGCGGGAGGTTCGAATTCTTGCGTCAAGAAACATGGAATGTCTTGGTCAGGAGTCAATTCCAGTAATTTTCATTGAGCGAACCGTGTTCTATGTTAAATTTTGGTTTAGAAACATGTATCAGAATTCAGAATGCTTAATTTTGTACCGCGTCTAGTGGTCCACTCAGCCCAAAAACAAGTGATCTGCAGACTTTCAGAATTTTACACCTTTGGTTCCATCATATTTTCCACCTTCATAAAAAAATCTGGACTGAAGATGGTCCCGCACAAAGTATTAGCCACTTTTATCTCTGCCATCCAATTCATTTACAATGGTGCACATCTAAACTTCTTCCGAACATTCCAAATTGTTTTTGTTGCAGCTTCATTTATTGCTTACTCTATTGTTTTTAATCCTGTAGATGTTTCATTCATATTCAAGGGGAAAAGGCTTGTAAAAGTAAAAGAACTCAGGCCCTGTCTACATGGGCCGTTTCACAGGATTTGTCCCAGGAAAAAATCCCATTTACATAGTCGGAAAAAATATTGAGTAAATCAATATTTTTCCGAGTACCAAGTATGGTCCTTGTACTCTTAAGACCAGCTGAGGGAGGAAGAAGAAGTGAAAGCGAACTTTGCGATTTTGTGTTCACTCGATTGCTCCTGTTTGTTTAATCAAAATAATTTGTCTAATTGTTAATCGTGTTCAATTTTTATCTTAATCCTGGTTAAACACTCGATTTTTGTTCATTTATCTTCCGGCACCAACTTGTCGCAGGAGCGCCAGAGCCCTGTCGTGTGAAGGCGATGACTGGGAAAAATCCCACAAGTTTCATTCCTGCGATTTGAACTTAGGACAAATCCCTTGAAAACTTTTTGTGGAGACAAGGCCGAAGTGTCCCATCACGCATTTTTTTCTTGCTCCGAAGGGTGAAAATACATTGTCCGCCATGTCAGTTTTTGTTTTTGTTTCAGTGAGTTGATAATATTTCTAAAATTTTCACTTTTTCAGATTGTTGTTAATTATTTTTTTCGCCACTCCTTACTCTTTCAAATTTTGCAGGATGAAGAGGCCTTCAGTCAAGTCCCCCTTCCAGAAGCTAGCAGTGCACAAGGGATCTTACCCCAGGAATTGAAAAAGTTAGTTGAGTCGCGAGCGGTAGTCAAGAATTTGATGAAAAAGTCAGGGCTGAGCTCCGATCTGAAACTTCAGTACAACATCCGACAATTGGCGCTGAAACTTACAGCCAACAGTATGTACGGATGTCTGGGCTTCTCCAACTCTAGGTTCTATGCCAAAGCTCTCGCTGCCCTAGTTACTTGTGAGTATGTTATATATCTTTGATATCTGTTTTCACACTAGATTCCATGCCATGACAAACGCAACAAGGAACAGCCACTCACTAAGGCGCGGCCAAATATTTTTTGAAAAGCTTCCCTCAGACCTAAAATCCAAATACAGGGACCCAAATTTTCTAAATGTATTAAAACAATTTTTTATTGCCAAGTGTTTGTATAGTGTAGCAGAATATTTAGCTTAAGCTTTGTAATCTCTTTTCCTTTCTTTTCTTTTCTTTTTCTTTGGTTTTTGTTTTTTGTTTTAGTGTATTTTCCGAAGGAAATACACTATTGCGTTCTCCCCTGATGTCAGACCTGGACCAAAGACCATGTAATGAGTATCGATCATGGGTCGTAGATTATTTTTTCTTATATCCTAACTAATTTTGACATATTTGTTTTCGCCGTTATAAATGTGCATTTACAAATAAAATAAATTATTATTATTTCAAAAGGAATTCAATCAGCTGCGTTAAAAGTCATGCTCTGTGTTCAGCAAAAAAGGAAAAAAAACTCAATCACTGTCATAAACAAGGGGGAGAAATGGTGCTGGGTCCACATCATTTTGCGGGGAAAACAAGCTGAGAAATAAAAAAAAAAAAAAATTCAATAAGAGTTACAATTTTTTTTTTTTTGCTTTTATGACACCAGTGCGAGGCTGAGGGGGGAGGGTGAGAGTGTTCAGCTCAGGCAGCTTGCATTGGAATTTTAAGTTGAGGTCTCGACGAGAGATCTATAACTTTTTGGCTCTTTCTAGACCTCATCGGTAGATCACACTCGTCAGTGAACCCAAATTAGCATCCCGCAATTTTTTTTTTTTTTTCTCACTGTCATAAACTTGGAGAATATATCTAGTTTTGCATGGATTTAGACTGATTTCAGCAGAAACAAAAACCTCGTTGCATTTTTCAAAAAATTCTATCCTCAGTGATCTTGAGCTGTACGCGTTTCTATCACTACTACTGATAACTTAATCTACGTACATACATTCATTCTGCCCAGTTAAAAATTAAAGACCACCAAAGCTTTTAGTGTACCAAGTTAGACTTGAAGTTAGTTTTTAGCATCATTTCACATGGAAGAAGAAACTTCTACACCTTTTCCTCCTCAATTCAGAGTGCCTAGTGACCGGGAAAAGTCAGGGAATGCAACTTGACTGGGAAAAAATCAGAGAAATGTCAGCGAATTTTCTCAGTGGTTCGGGAATTTTTTCTGGAGCTGGGCTCCACGAGCTGGATACATGGCAGGCTAGCTGATCACGTTGTTGTGCCAACATGCCAACTGAGTGGCACCCTCAAGCTATGTTTTTGATGACTGTAGGTTGTAAAAAAGTCAGGGAATTTCATTAGAAGGCAGGGGATGAAAATATAAAATTTTGTTAACCACCCTGTTAATTGAATTTTATGTATTTATTTTTGCTAAACTTGGTCCATACTCCGTGTATTTGTCTCATTTTTAATTTTTTGAAAGCACATACGAAGATAATTACGAGAAATGTTCGCCACATCCGCCCGGCAAGTATTGTAATTTTTCTGTTTATTGTATATTTTCAGTCAAAGGTCGTGAAATTCTGATGAACACGAAAGACCTTGTTCAGAAATTAAACTATGAAGTTATCTATGGAGATACCGATTCTCTGATGATAAACACAAACTGTCTGGATCTAAATGAAGTGTATAAAATCGGTCACAAGGTACAGTATGTTCAATATTTTGTGTATATTGAATGTTTTCTTTATAAGTACAGTTTGCAGTTTTTTTATGTGTTTTGAGTCAAGTTGAGTAATTTTTGAACTTCAAATAAAATTTTTGCCAATTTCTGTCAACGTAAAACTTTAAAAGGGTCTCCGTACTCGTACATCGTAATTTTAATAATGTCTTCCCATTTTCTTGAAGTCTAAATTCATCAGTAATTGTTACTTGGGTATCAGCCCAAACTTGGTACTTATTAATTATCCTCCTACATTGAAACTGAAGGATCTTTCTCTTTTGAAATGTTCTTATTTCCAGATAAAATCTGAGGTAAATAAAACTTACAAACGTCTCGAGCTGGATCTAGATGGTATATTCCGATACATGTTACTCTTGAAAAAGAAGAAATATGCGGCCGTTACCATATCGAAACTTCCAAATGGCGAAGTAGAAATGAAAAAAGAAGTGAAAGGACTCGATATTGTCCGGCGAGATTGGTCGAAAATTTCAGCAATGACCGGAGAGTAAGTCTTTTTCTACTTAATTTCATACTTCAGGAATAACTTGATCATTTATTTTGTCAAGTTTTCCTTTTTCTCTGATGAATGACTTTGTCTCATCTCCTGGTTTTAAGTTCGAAATAATTTGAAGATTTCTAATCAATCAAAGAACAGCATTATTGTTTACCAATTGAAAAACAGGATTTTGCCATACATCTGGCAGTACTTAAAAAATAAATCTTGTCAAATCTTTTTAATGTCAAGAAAGTTTTCATTACCCCTACTCAGTTTTGCGCGAATACAGGCAACAAGATCTGACAGTGTAACTGTATTAAATGTAAACTGTTTATCTTGATTTAATCTTGATTCCTTTATTTCCCTAAGTAAGTCTAGCAAGTAAACCTTTGTCATTCCAAAATATTTTTTAAAGTAAATTTTGTCAACTTTCAGCCCTCAAATAACGGTTCAAGGCTGCAACAAATATCTTTTTCAGAAATTAAAATTTAGAAATGGACCACTAGACAAGGTACGAATTTAAACAATCTGATACATGTTTCTTAACCAGAATTTCACGTAGAACACGATTCACACAACGAAAATTACTGAAACTAACTCCTAACGAAGATATTAACGTTTTTATTTCACATTGGTTACGAGGAATTTAAACTGCCCGCTGACAAGAAACTCAAAGCTCTACGTGAGTCAAATCGCGCACAACAACGATTTCAGCGAGCTTCTCAACCGAGCAATGATCATTTCCCACCATGTGTTGTTCAAACTGTAAGCAATTTGCTATAGCTGAGCCAAAGCGTCAAGATTGAGGTTGCGAGATTTTTATATCGCAGAGACTGTCATGATAACGTTTAGCGCGCGATGTGAATCACGTAGAGCATTGAGTTTTCATGAGCGGGTGGTTTGAATTCACGCATCAAGAATCATTAAATATCTTCGTAAGGAGTTGATTTCGGTAATTTTCGTTGTGCGTATCGTATTCTACATGAAATTTTGATGAAGAAACATGCATCAGAATGCTGAAATTCGTACCTAGTCTAGTGGTCCATTTTGAGGCACCACAATGGATGTCCATAGTTTTGCACTTTTGCCATAGATGTATACATGTATTACAGGGCTGAAGCAGGTGTTAAACTAAAAATATTGAAAAATCAGGACAAGTAACAGACACTAAGCAAATTAACTGAGCCGAATATATTAAGCTTGTCGAAAAGGCTCCTTTACTGATAAAAGATTGGTTCTGTTTCAGATATGTTTTGGAACAAATTTTGTCGGACCAAGGCTGTGATGAGCGTGTAATTAATATACTCGAAAAACTTCGCAAGCTGAAAGAAGATCTAGAAAGTGAGAAAGTTCCGTTGGATTTGCTTTGGATTTCAAAGAATCTTACCAAAAATCCCGAAGACTACGCGGATAAGAAAGCTCTGCCGCATGTCCAGGTTGCGTTACGACTCAATTCCAATGCAGCTTTAGCAAAGAAATTTCGGCAAGGGGACGTCATTAATTACATCATTTGTGAGGTATGTCAAAAAACCTATATTTTAAATCTCTCATTATGTTGTCTCCTGCATGAAGAAACATATCTTGATTGCGCTATTTCAATATTTTTTAATGACATTTTAATTGTATACCGGAAGACTGCCACATGAATTTGTCTGAAGTTATGAGTGATTTTCCTCCACACTCATGCAAAAGGACACAGAAATTAGACAAACTCTTGCAATGGTTCTCCTGTGAAAAAATGAAATGTTTGTAAAAATACAAACTAGAAGGTACAGATGAGATACAAGGAGGCTACAATTAGTCTAGCATATCGACGGTGAAACTACCAAACCACGTATCTCGGTTTGCGACGTCGCAGACTTCCTGTCATACTTTATTTTTTAAATGAAAAACTACTTAACATCCAGTCTTGAAAATTTCTGTGATTTTTTCTCTTTGTGCGGAGAAAATTCCGTGAAAATTTCAAGGAATGATATTGATTTGGTCTACTTCAAAAAAATAAAATGTGAGCGCAGATTTTTAAACACCGCAAACGAGATACGTGGTTTGGTAGTTTCACCGTCAATATGTTTCGTCTGTGCAGGTAGTTCCTTAGTGTAAGCTTTTAGTACATGCAAAACAGATTCTTTCCATGCATTACTACACAGCCCGGTCGGGATCTAGATTTCACAAGGATAAACCTATTCTCTTCAAATCATTTTGACAAATTAAGTAGAGCAGTTGAAGAAATGCTGACTACAAATCAGGGTACCAGGAGTTATTTATCCTATATAAGTATTTTGCTTTTAAGCTTTTCAGGCAAAACTTTGCTCTTTCAATCACTAAAATTCATCAAACCAAGCTCAATCATCACAATTTTTAGGGCTCTCACAATCAGGGAATACTGGGAAATGTCAAGGAATTTTTTAAAGTCAGGGAGAACCTCGAAGTGTCAGGAAAAATGACGAAAGTTTTAGGGAAAATTTGTCAAGTCACCTTTCATTGCTCCCTAAAATAGGTCTGATGATCCGGACAACAGATTTTGCATGAAAACCATTTCAAGTTATGTCTTTTCAATCATCTGAATTATCTTCGCTTGTCAGGGGATTTTACCAAAATGTGTCATGAAAATTAGGGTAATGTCAGGAATTTCATTTTATAAATCATGTGGCAAGCCTGAATTTGTTTAAAAATGCCACGAATAAGGACCAAATGCATGTGCCGAGGAATCAGATTAATAAAATGTTGTTCTGTTGTGTTGACTTCTGACTCGAGTCCCTCAAAAAGCTCATATGTATTCACCAATTTGACAGAAACAAAGATACTTTAAAGTTAAGGCCCAGGGCAACTGTTGACATGGATTGCAAACGTCAATTCTGCGAATCCCGATTGTCAGGGTAATAGTAGGCAGACTCTAAGCAGAGTACCTTTGGAGGCGTAGATTTGCCTTCAAGACAGCATTTACGTTGTATTTACTGCACCTGCTAAAATCTACATGGCGTTTGGAAGTGTTCATTTTTCCCCCAAAAAAATTTGTTTTGCCCATTCGTCCCGCCTGATATGGTCAGTCAGTTAGTTTGGAGACCGCATAAAAACTTGTCAAGAACAAGAGAGGTCCTCTTTCCTCACTAATCAATTCTTGGTCTTGTCGAAACGTGTCTGCCTGCAAAGGAAAAAAATGAAAAATAAATGTGCGATGAATAGGAAAGTTTTTCTATTTTTTTCTTTAGTGTATGGAATTTACCACATGGTAATAAACCATCAGACTGGTCATGGTTTCAAGGTGTCAAGTGCCTGGGATAATCAGGGAGATGAAATTGATTGGGGAGAAATAAAAGAAGGAAAACGCAGAGCCAGTAGAGTTGCGAACTCCTGTGCAAGATTGTGATTTTTGCATAATTTGCCTCCATATTGAGCTTTGCTGTGCTGTAGTAAATTTCTCCTCTGGAAATTGTAGCCTCCAGTTCTCTACCAATCTGTTCCATTACTCTGCGCTGAGCTGTATTTATTTTTGCGTTTCTGTTGATTTGGAAGAAAAGGTCAAAGAGAATCAGGAAAAGTCAGGGAGACGAAAAATTCAAAGTTCAGGAAACCTGGAAAATAAAGGAGAAAGAAAAGAAAGCTTGCCAATTTTATTCGGAGAGTGAGAAGGTTGTTTTCTGTTTAACCCTTCGTGCAAAGCAAAAGCTACTTGTCAACGTTTTTCATTTATTCCCATTCTGATGAATATTTTTACTTTTTTCAGGACGGAACAGATCAGCCAGCAACACAGCGAGCATATCACCCTGAAGAACTGAAGTCAAATGAGACATTAAAACCAGATATCAAGTATTATCTATCGCAGCAAATTCATCCTGTTGTTTCGCGGTTGTGTGACCCAATTGAAGGTGTTGACTCAGCTCAAATTGCGGAACACTTAGGTAGGCATAATTTAAATTAAAGCATTAAATTTCTTATAAATTTGTATCTTAAGCATCATCATAAAACTAGTTTTAAACTGAGTCGATCAACAATAGAAAACTGAGAACAAAAAACTGGTAAATACGAGTGACCTGTACAGTACTTGTATAACCTGTTGCTCAAAAAAACCTTGTGTTTGATCTTTCTGGATTATATTGATCTTCACTTTGCTTACAAAATTAATTTCAAATCATGCATGAAAAAACAGTCAGTAGTGTTCTAACTTCACCCTAATACTTTAGAAGCCATATATTGAGTCAACTAAGTTGCACTGTCAAAAAGACAAGACAAAACAACTGAGTAACTGTGATAGAAAATTGAGGGAAAAACCAACAAGCTTCGGCTGGTAAGCTAGCCAAAATCAGTCAATAAACAACAAAACTTATTCGTAGCGAACAAAAAATATGTCTCTTGTTTTTTTTTTCTTCATCTAGGTCTTGATCCATCTTCATATAGACAGTCTACGATAGGCCGGAATGAAGATCTAGCCAACGGAGATTATAGCACTTTAGGAACACTAACCGATGAAGAACGATATAAAAACTGTGACAAGTAAGACTTTCCTCACTGTTATATATACTATAACTGTTCCTTGCCATTTCAGACGCACTATTCACTTTTATTACCAATCTGTGAACAATGCAGGCGAAAAGTAAGAGGGCAATAGAAGCATGAGTGATTTCTATTGATTTTATTCATGGATACAGTCGACTTTCAAGTAAGAGTGATGGTTTTTTCAAAGTCTCTTCATCTTCTCCCAAAAATCTATTTTTTTTTGTCAACCAGTATCACACAAAATACTCCTCAAAATGCTTTATTTCTGTCGAATCAAATACAGTCTATCAGACTAGAATAGGAAGCTTTGTTTAAAACCTTTTTTTCTGTAGTTTTGTGTGTTTCCCCCCCCCCCTTTTATATCCATGAGAAGAAATTTTGACAAATTTTGGATACCTCATAACTTCATTTATTAAATATCGTTAGTGTATGCTATGCATTCAATGCATCGCAATGAAGTTAATAATTGCCAAAGGCAAGAGGAATATGCTATCTGGGAAATATAATTTCTCTGCTGCCAAAAATTGTGAAATTTTAGGGTATTATTATCAAACATCTTTAGAAAACTGGTGACTAGTGATGCTAATGAAGATGAAAAATATGTTTTACTCTAGCGAAAGGAGGAACTTAATCACAACCTTTTGCGAACACCTAGATTTAAATGGTTTAATTTAAATTTACCCCCACCTATTTTTTCAGATTTACTTTCAAATGTTCACATTGCAGTGCAGAAATAATCATGGATGGACCGTCACGTAAAACGGTGAGTGCTACTTCAATTACACCTAAATCCACAATTGTAATGCAAGAGCAGTTAAAGTTACAACGTTTAAAATAATTTTTTTGCCGGTTGATTTGTCATGAAAGTTGTCCATACCCAACATAGTGCTTAGTTTACGGTTTTTGGATTCCAGGCCACCCTACTCACTAAATTTTAATAGAGACATGGTAACAATAACTCATTCAGATGAAGGAAAATCATGAAAACTTTTTTGTTGATTGCTGTTTTTCAAAATTTCCACTCAACATTTTTTTATCCTAATAGTAGAATATTTTAATGGGCACATTTGTTTGAATCATTTGGTGAACACTCTCCATAAAGAAAATCTTCCAAAAAAATTACCCAAAATTTGTGCCAGAGGGATGACGATTCATCTCTCAAAAAACGAAATTTGACAGAAAATGTGAGTAACTTCATATCTTAGTTTTACCAATCGATTTTGTAAATCTAAGGAGCAGTTCTGTGAAAAATGACTTCAGCTTCTTCTTTTTTTTTTGTTTTTTTTTTTTTATTATGTAAAATTTATACAGAAGCGTTTATTAAGTAACTATGGTACTAGTCAATCAAATCATTAAGCTTACAACTGATGCAATAGCATTTTATTATTAATCATGGTTCACATTGTCATTCATTATGGCTCATATCATTTTTGCCAAGAAATTCATTAATACTTTAAAAAGCCTCTCCGTCCAGGAGCTTTTTTGCTTCCCAGAGAAACAACACAGAGTCTGCATTTTTGAAGAGTAGTTTTGTTTATAAGAGAAAAGCATTCACTAACTGAACTGCTGAGTATCTAATACCACTTAATTTAACCCTTACCACTCATCTAAAAAATTCACCTAACCTCACCTCCAGATCATATTAAAAATAGCAGTTTGGAGGGCCAACAACACCGAAAACACAAGAGAGGTTAGGCACAATTTAGCGCAAAACAGCGCGATGACGCAGTTGACAGCTGTGTGGGCGTGGTTCTCCAAACATCCGATAGATCACTGCACAAGATAGAGGCGGCGAACTAAGTCCAACACATGAGCTTACGCGAGGTGAAGGGTGATGTCGGATCAGGTCCGACATATGATCGGAACGGGAAAATCAAAATGTCAGACCACATCCGACATATGAGTGGTAAGGGTTAATACTATTCTCAGAAATTTTTAGCGAGATTTTGACGTTCACAATATTTTCATGCCTAGAATTAAGTGCTCTTTTCATGCTGTTTCTCAGAATACATCGTCTTAAAAGTTGTAAATTGGGGTACAGGCCTAGTGTGATATCCTGTAATAATCAAAGGATTCTACTACTCGGTTTTCAGACTGTAAGATCTAATCCACCCTTAATATTTTTTTGCTAAGAAAACTTTCCATTGCTTTTTTTCAGCCGGCTGGTAAAGAAGAGCTCATCCTCAGTAAATGCTCGAATCCTGATTGTTCTACGCCCCCGTATCTCTACGTCAGTAGTATACTCAACAAATTAACATTATCTATGCGGCAATACATCAAAAAATACTACGCTGTAAGTTCTGCTTGCGACATTTTAATTTTTTCCCCCTCAAGGAATTTATTAACTGCAGATAAATGTGATTCGTATGAACATTCGAAAGATTTATTCCCCCCCTCCTTTGTGATTTATTTCATCTCCAGTTTGGCTGTATAATTTCAATGAACCACTAATCAGGGTACTAGATCAAGAATCTTAATATTTATTTCCGAATTGGAATTGTGCGTATAATACAATGGACGCATTAAAACTTTCAAATCAAACTCACAAGTAAGAAAATAATGGTTTTTGTTCATGTTAATTCACACTTCCCGCTTACAGAAAGACTGGAATTTACTCGAGTCGAATTGAACCCTCAACTAATTAGATTGCATTTTGCAAAAAGGAACACAAGCATTCCAATGTCGCTAAAATTGTGTAACTTTTTTTTTACCTCGCCAATGTAAACTAATCATCTTAACAAGTTTGATCTTTTCTTCCAATAATTTTTGAATTCAACAAGAAAATTACTTTTGTAAATTTAATCCTTGCAAGGTTTCAGTAATTTTATTGCAAGGGATATAAGTTGCACACTCCTTGTAACGTCGGAATGCTGTTTGTTCCTTCTTATAAAATGCAATCCAATTTTGGTATATCTTACAATGGAAGAATTTTCCTGTGTGCCAACTTTCTTTTGACAAGATGAAAGGTACCTTGTATCAGAAGAGGAAGAAAATGCGTGTGAAACTTAGCTCTAGTTATTTCTTTAATGTTTTGTTTGATTTCAACGCCTCAGAAGAGGTATTGAGGAGCATGGTTGTCACAGTGAGGGAATACCGGGATAACCAGGAAATAGCAGGGAATTTTATTAAGTCAGGGAAAATGACGAAAGTGTCACTATCAGGGTAAAATTGTAAATTTACCTTTATTAGCTTTTTAGAGTGGAGTTGACGTTTAGATCAGCAAATTTTGCCTGAAAACTGTTTCAAATTATGTCTTTTTTGCCATATTGCGTGTTTCACTTGTCAGGGAATTTTACTCAAATGTGTCAGGGAGATCAGGGAAATGTCAGGGAATTTCATTTTCTAAATTTTGTGGGAACCCTGGATAAATGCCATTTTTGGGCTCACCTTAGCTGAATTTTTTTTAGTTCTACGATTTTTTGTTTATCGAGTGTCTATATTGTACAGAATGCATGATGATGATCATTATTGGTCTCTTCTCAGATCTAATAATGGGCTTAACATGGGTTCGAAGGCTGATTTTGGTAAAAAATGCAGGTTTTGTTAGTCTGCGATAAATTCCTGAGAAATCCGTATTTTTCGCCTAACTCTGCCTTCAGACCCATGTTGAGACCATTATTAGATTTGAAAAGAGACCAACAATGAACAAATTATGATGCATTCCATGGAGTATAAACTTTCAATGAGCAAAAAATTGTGGAGTTGAGAATCTTAGCTGGGCCCAAAAACGGTCTTTATCTATATCCCTCCTTTAGAATGGAATTGGAGGGTAGAACTGGCTTTTTTCCTTAAATCGAAGTAGGTGGCATTGGTCTAAAAGGGACCTGCTCCAACAATCATCACCTGCCTCTGTCAGTTTTTCATTGTCACCCAAAATTTTATGAGCCTTCGGGTTCGAAAATCTATTTTTTAGGCTCAATACAATTTTTTAACCAAGACTTTGAAAATTGTTTACGGAGCAAGATCACGACAGAAATCAAGGTTGGACTGACCATTTTAAATGCTACGTTTGGTACTGTGATTTCTACATAGAAAGTCCGATTTTGAAAGCTCATTGTCCTTAAGAGGTCGTAAGGAACATCAACATTTTTGCACAATATGAAAAATTTCAATGAGCATAGCAGAATTTGTATCAGTGTTTTACATTGATTTATGCATATCGATGCCTTAAGTTGGAAAATGTCTATTTCCGTCCCAGCGTTTTGAAATTCCCGATTTTATGTTTCATTATCATGAAGGAAAACCATGAACAAATGAAGGAAATTCACCCGAAATTTTATAGAGCTTGATGTTAGCTCCTTTTTAATAATGAAAATTTAGTAGAACTTTGCCACATTCCATTTAGAGGCCAGTATTACTGGACCTTGGCTACATGTATATCAGAATTTCGTGAAACACAAAGATCGGAGTAAGCCTGAATTTGAATTCTCGCGCTTTTTTCTGTCATTCGCTTCAGCGCTACTAGCGGTTAAAATAAGAACTATGTGATATCTATGAAAACCCAGAGACAATGAAAACCAATGAAAAACACGGACACTCGACACTTGCGTCACCGACATGCATTTCCCGCTCCCATGGAGTTGTTTAGGTTATGTTATGTATGTCTCGGCCGAATGCCGATGTCAGTTCTCAGTTATAGGAGCATTTTTTTCAATCGGATTTGAGCTCATGCAGGTTCATCAGAATTAGTCCTTCAAGAGTTTCTCATTATTACTACTACATATTTCATTTTCACTCTTCCCGTGTTTGGTAAAATTGGTTAGGCTCTGTGGTCTCCTCTGTGATGAGCCTCAATCATGGATTCAAACCGTAAGAGAAACATTCATTGCTTACTTTTTGTGCTGCGAAAACATACTGCTGGAAATGCGGAAAAGACTCGAACTTTCACAGATTCAAGGAGGAAAGGCTTCGTATTAGTGCCCTCACCTGTTGTTGAAGACGACCAGGATCTTGTTCAGTTATTTGTGCGCAATAATTTTGACATTCTTACACCAGACAATCTTGCTCCCCTGAAGGAAGCCATCCTTCGCTTATGCGTGGACACTTTCGAATTTGTGATCTATAGAGATCCGGGCAAAAACATCTGCTCATCGAAAAACACTCCTCTCATTCTTGTTCCTGTCGATAACTGTTACGGTGATCTAATCAAACAGTATTTTCCCCAAGATGTTGCAGTTTTTTACCAGGAGGACTGTTATAGTTGTCATACCTGTAAAACTATAGATGAGAAAAATTCAGTTATTCTAGATCAACTTCTTTCGATTTCAACTGAATTAAGTTTCAAAAATCCTGGTGGTGAGACGCTTTCGCATCTGGCTGTCCGAAGTAGTGATGATATCATGCTTCAACTACTAATGAAACATGGTGTTCCTGTTGACATGAAACGTAAAGATGGAGCAACCCCTTTGTATGTTTCTGTGCAGGATAATGACCTAAAAATGGCGGGATTACTTCTGCAAGGAACAGCCGCGGTCAATGCGAAGACAAAAAATGGTGAGACATGTCTGGTCCATGCATGTAAGAGAGGCTTTGTAGATATGGCAAGACTGCTCTTGAAGAATGGAGCTGATGTCAATATTGGTGATGATGATGGTCTCATGCCCCTGCATTTTGCCGTTTATTGTAGAGAAGTGGACTCAGAACCATTTTCGAGAAAATCAGATAGTCCGAAGCAGTTGAACAGACCACTCTTTCTTGAGATCTTAGAAGCAGGTGCCTCTGTGAATGCAAGTGCCTCTGTTAACAATACGCTTACTACTCCTCTTAGTCTAGCTGTTGAACACAAAAAATTGGATGCTGTAAAATGCCTCCTACAGCATGGAGCCGATGTCAACATCCCTTGCTATGGTGACCAAACAATTCTTAAATTAGCTGTGGACCTAAAGAGTCCAGAAATAGTGCGAGAGATTTTAAAGTCTAATCCAGATGTGAATGCAGCAGGTAACAAAGAAGTTCTTCGAAAGTGCATTCTAAGGGAGGACAAAGAAGCTCAGGAGATCAGAGAGATCCTCATTCAGAATGGATGTGTCTTAAATACTAGCCATGATGACTCCATGGAACTGTTTCATAATGCTATCTCGAAAGGCTATATGGGCCTTGTTGAAAAACTCTTGGATTTTGGAGTCAATATCAATAAAAGCTATTACTATTTTGAGCCTAAATATAACTTCCTAACGAAGTCCACTCCTCTTTGCACTGCAATTGCATTTAAAAGAAATGACATAGTGAAATGTCTCATTCATAGAGGAGCAGATTTACATGCCAATCCGTTGATTTCAGGACTCTTTGACTCTACCATAATTAGAAATGCCATAAATTATGCTGATTCTTGTCGTAATTTGAAAGCCCTAAAAATTCTCTTAAAATATGGCGCTGGTGTTGACAGCATTAATATTTACAAGCTCTTCCGTGCTCTCTGTTCTATTAATGATCAAAAATTAATAGAAAAAGTAATACCAGAGTGGCTGGACCGACATGGACCATCTTTTCTATCGGAATTTGTACTGGATGCTGCACAGGCAGACTCTGTAGCGATGCTATCGGAGGTCATGAAATTCAATCCCAGTGTTGATTTTCGCAACCCTGATGGACGACAAGCCCTTCATTTGGTTTGGTCTCAAGGCTCAGTGAAATTACTCATCAAATATGGTGCTGATATTGAAGCCAGATGTTTTAAAGGACAAACTCCTCTTGTCGTAGCTGCCAAGCGAGGAGTCCTTGAAGTCGTTGAAGAGCTTCTCCAATATGGTGCCAAGGTTGACTCTCTCGATAATTTTGGCTACTCGCCGCTTCATTATGCCTTAATGAAGGATCATGATGATGTTTTTATAGTTCTGTTAAACCACATATTTACAGATTATGAGCTACTTCTGAGAACTCATATTTTGCAGTCTCTTCGAAAATCTTACCTGACCACCTTATTACGAGATCAAGGGGAAAATGCCTATTTTTACGAACATTATGATGAAGAGAGATTTCAAGATTACACTGACACATTATTTCAGTTTTTGATGACAATGGGTCAAGCTTTTCCAGATAATAAGAATCTAAGTATGTTTGTTGATCAGGAAATCAAATCATCATTCTTTGGTACCAACATGGAATTTGATATTGGTAGTGGCCATCATAACTCGCCGCGATGGGAGACTGACTCAGATCATGATAGATGTGCCATTGAGTGGGCCAAGTCTCAAACTCTGGGCACTTCCAGTGTAACAGTTTACCATATTCTTACACAAAATGTTCAGCAATTAACCCGTTACATGAGGAATGAAAGCATCGCTGAGGATTTGAAACTCCCGAAAATTGCATCAAACTTTGATTTCATTAAACATATTCTTTTGTGTCAGATTCGGAAAGGAACTTTTCGGCGAAAACTACTGAATCGAAGCAGTAAATTGTGTCATTTACTCTTGGCTAACTTAGAAATCCTGCCTCATGATATAACTGAAATGATTCTTAATTTCTTGACCAATCAAGAGCTGGAAATCGTGATCCATGCTTGTAATTGCATCGTTAGAACAAAACAAAACAAAACTGAAGCATAAATTCAGCTTATTGTATCATGTTATGGTGAGTGAAACTTTACATCTGGCTCGATTCAAAATTATTATTTTCCTCTGGTAAAATGGGCTTTTAGTGAAAGACGCCCAACACGATGGTCTTGATGAGCCCTTTTCTAGATGACACCCTGTTTTTGCTTTGATTCGATAAGTCTGGTAGGTACCTCCGGATCTTGGGATTACTCCAAAACTTCCCTCTTCTCAGTCGATGTCCTTTGCGAGGATGTTGTCGCAAGATTTAGATCAGAGAGAAGGTCAGGTCATTGAGGGTCTGCATTCACCTGTTACCTGCATTCAGTTCTCTCCATCCAGTCTGCCTGAGAAACACATGTAAATTTTCTGCCCTGGATAAAAATGCACTCAATACCACTTATCACATATTTAGCCTCATGCCACGATCCTGTTTCAGCACTGTCGACAAATGCATCCTTTTCACAGGATTACTTGAGAGTGTAGTATTCTTCTTCAAAAAGTTCTTAGCTCATGCAGATTTCATTTTAAATGAATATTTTTTGTCAGTTTCAACCCTGTCTCTGAACGTGCTAATCCAAAATTGAAGTCATAATCTATTTTATTAATAGAATTTCATATCAAAATATTTTGCTGTTATTCCTTAGTTAGTTTGTATTCTTTCTCAGTAATAGAATGATTGATATTGCCTTTAAAACCCCTTTTTTTAAAAAAAAATACAGTTCATCATTTCATTTCTTTCTTTACAGGGTTGGCTTGTTTGTGAAGACCCTGCATGTCCAAATCGAATAAGGAAGATCCCTTCGAAGTTAGAGCGTGGCCAGCCAAAGTGCACACTGTGCCACTTAAACTCTATGTATCGAGAGGTAGTTTTTTTAATTTATTTTTTCCCTTACTTTACTTACTTCCTGTACTTTTTTGCTCTTGACTCTTTTTAATGAAAAGCACGTTTTTTCCTCTTCCTCCAGCATTTTCTGGACCCCTGTCGCAGCTTTAGAAAATCATGCTTGATGACACCATCCACCGTGACATTTCATACCATTCTACCAATTTAAACTTTTTATTTTAAGCTTGATCTAAGGGCCAATGAATCACAGGGCAAGAAGGCAGATCAAAAGTTTTGCTTGTATTTTAGAACAAGAAGCTAAATAAGTCTCCTCTACTCATTTTAAAAGTACGCCTCTTCCAAATTCAGCCCTAATTAAGGTATACATTGTGCAATTAGGAACTTGAAGTAGGATATGTGCCGTGAAAATCTTTATTTAAATTGGTGCTTGTATGGACGAGCCAGAGACATTGTTGGAAGATAATTCTGAAAAGTCAGAAGTTTTACCTTATTTGATTTCATGTCGACTACAGTAAGACCTCGAATTATCGGATCGCGATTCAATCCTCCGGTCCCTTCAGGGGGACCGACTAGCGCGATTTAGCGGATTCCGCAATTTAACAGATTCGGTCTCCGGTCCCATGAAATCCGATAAATCGAGGTCTTACTGTATTCACATTTTATCCAACAGCCTGGCAGTCTTTGTCAAAGGTAGTAGTTCTTTATCGCAAAATGAAGTCCAGTTGCATTCATACAAAAGAGCCCATCTGCATTGTGGATGTTGAGAAAAACCCCATCATTCACATAAAATGAACTGAATTGAAGGTGAATCTATTCCAAAAGCAAACCAACATCAATATATTGAAGAGATTTTAATTAAGTCCTGCTTTCATTTTTTAATTCAATCCAAACGTGGAAGTCTATGTGTAGGAGCTTTCATCACCTTAAAATCACTGAAGAAACCCTAAATCAAAGTTAAAAATATCTGCTTGAGAAAATTGACTTTTTGATAGGACTAAGCATTTGCAAAATTTTGTTTTTTGATACTTTTAGCTCTTATTTTGGATTTCTGAGAGATACTTTTTCGGAAGTATTCTACTTCCCCGTAAAATTTTTTTGGAAATGGGTATTTTAGGAGCATTTGTTTGGATCTTGATGTTACTAGACTTCCAATACAGAGTCACCACCAAGACTACAGTAAAGAGACTGATTCAGGCCCAATATAATGCACAAGCTCCTTGTCAGGTTGAGGACTAAAAGGTAAAAAGACTTGTCCTGGCCTACAGCAGTTACAGAGTTTTCCCCAAAAATAGGCATGATGTTCTGAATACTTTAAGCAAGAATTGCATTTTGTAAAAGGAGTAGTAGTAGAGCGAAGTGAGCTTCCACAGTAGAGTTAAAAACCCTTAACTGGATCTTTTAATAGGATCTTGATTAGCTTATGGGTGCTGTTTGTTCCAGCATTTGTCTTTGGATGACATCTCCTCATTTTGAATAAGCTCATGAACATGGTCCCACATATGGACAGTGAAACTCTTAAATTATGTATCTTGTCTGTGTTATTCCAAAATCTCCGCTCCCATTTCATTTATTTGCAAAAGGACAAATGAACTTAATTCCTTGACATTTTTCAGAATTTGCTTTACACAGAAGAGATAAATCAAGAATATCTTTAAGAATTGATGTTAAGCAGCACTCCACTCTAAGAATTAAGTGCAACAGGAAGTTTGCAATGTCGCAAACCGAGAGGTGTGGTTTGGGAGTTTCTCTAAATATAGATGTAACATAGGGTGGATGCCCATCAAGGACTGAACAAGGCAATTTGCTGCACTCGATACCTTGTTGTTGAGATGGGAATGCTAAACTTTATTCATGGCTGGGCTTCCAAGACCATAGCTGCAAAAATTTGCGAAGCAATTCCTAGTTTTAGAGCTGAAGCTTGCTTTTCAGGAAAAAAATTCCTTTTGTAACCTACTACCCTAATTTTTAGTGCTAAAGATAATTAAGTGGATGAATTTGTTATTTAAGGGTTTGAAATTATGTCACCTCTTCTCTGCCAAAAAAAAAGTGATTTCGTTTGAAAAAGAAATTGCCCTGAACATGATTTGCAGTCCTTATCCCCATCTGCTCAATGTTGACTGTGCTAAATTGTTGTACTTAACCCTTTCATCAAGACTTCAGTGTGGATAGATTTTCTCTGTTTAAATGTTTCCGATTCTCTTGATTTTCACGTATTGTTCACAATTTATTTTTAGGTTTCATTTTTTATTCTATTAGAAGGAGGACTTTTGAGCATAAAAGGCATGATAACCGCAGACTTTTCTGCACTGTCCCTTTGATTGTTTTTCACCTACTGCATAAACTAACCAGCTTTTTCTTTCTTTTTTTCAGTACTCAGAGGAACAGCTATTCCTTCAACTCAGCTACTTCATGTCAATGTTCGATATTAAGAATCAAAATGAAATATCCGATTTAACGACAGCATATCAAAGACTGAAACTGCATGTAGATGCTACGCTCAAGTACAGCGCTTACTCAGTTGTCGACTTAGGAAAACTGTTCAGTGGTTTTTTCCCAAAATCCTGAAATACATGGGAAAGGAACATTAGAATAGCACATTGATACTGCAAGAAGCAGTGTACATTTTGTAATAGATTCAAGGCAACTTCAGAAACTCTCGTCATAGTTATTTTGTGGCATTTTTCATGTTCTTTATTTTCTTTAAAATGGATTAAAGGCTCTCGCAACCCATTACTGAAATTCCAAATTTTATCACCACTTTATTTTTTTATATTATGTTTACCAATCTATTTTTGTGAAAAAATCGTTCACATCATTACCAGTGAGAAACTAAATTCTGACAAGACTTTTAAGTCAGCCCAGGATTAATTTCATGATCAGAATCGCTGACGATCTTCATATCATTCCATGTTACTAATTTTTCTTGGAAGTTTATTTCTCAAGCATCCAATTATTTTCATTTACAATGCTTTTTGTGATAGGTTCTTCATCTTTTCCTATCCTAATAAGTGTAATGTCTTTTCACCACCATGCATACCTGAAATATCAAATTTCTTCCATTTCACATATTATATTCTAACGTGCCTAATGTATTTCTTCATTTTTGTTGTTAACACTGTATTTTTGAATCCAAAATCCACCCAGGCATACCTAAAACATTCGGTATTAAAGTTCTGTTGACCGCCTAAGATCATGATTAATTCATAGGAATACCCAGTGCTATTTAAAAATTTTAGCTGATTATTCGGCAACCTAAATGATTTTAGCGTTTAAGTTCTACAGATTTTTTAAGAATTCTTTTCAAGTGGTCTTTTTTACATGTTTAATAAATAATGTTCCTTGGATGCACCTTGTAGTCTTATTAAACAGTGTTGGATTTTTACGAAAAAATTGTGTCATTTGATAAAGAGAGTGTTTTTAATTAATGATGAAGCTTCGTGAAACTGTAAAGAGGGAAATGTACAAAGGTTGTGTTGTTTTGTTGTTTTGTCTTAATGGCCTCGTGAGGAAAACGTCCAACTCTGCTAATGAAGTTAGCTGGAGGCTTTTTCTGACCTTCCATTCAGAGAGGAAGTAATATGTAATATCATCCATCTCTCGATAAAACGACTGATGACAGAGACCTGAGGATACCCGATGGATCCATAAAATTAAAGAAATACATAGCAGCAAGTGAGGAATGTTAAGACATCTTGGTTTAGACCGCCGCCACATGGTGCTGATCAGTGTGTGTTGTTCTTTTACATAGAGAAAAAAAAGGAGGTGTTTGCATCTTGAGGATTTGTACCCACCTACGTCATCAATGTAAACAAGACGCTCGTTGAGGGTTATGTTGACGCTGTAAAAACGGACCATAATATCCGATTTTTTTACTTAAATCAACTCTTTATATAATTTCAAGCACTTTTTGTAGAATGACTTTTTCCCTTAAATTACACCATTTCCAAGAAAATCGACAGGATAAAAACGTCGCTGTACCCAATGACGTCATCAAAGCTATAGATACTCTATGAAAAATTCCAAGATGCCCGAAATACAAACACCTCCTTTTTTTTCTCTATGGTTCTTTTATGAGTGTCTTAAGTAATGCTGTAACCAAGATGTGTCAACTTCCTACCCTGTGGCCACATCATCAAGGAATGATTATCACTCGTTCATTTTCTCTGAATATGAGGCTGTGACTGTAACAGAAGCAGAATTTCAGTCACAAAGCTTTGAGAAAATCGCTTTAAAGTTTTAGAAGATCTGCATCTTTACATCCTTGAGACGAAAGTACAGCTCATGGGTTTTGCTAGCTCAGAACAAATCCTCCTCTTATAAATGGTTTTTAGAAATTTCAATTTGAAGCAATACTTAGTTATAGCCACGGTGAATTTGGAAAAAAAAAAGAATGAAAAAAAAAAACCAGCATAATGCTGTTGTCATAGAGAACTCTTATGTGTCAAACCAAATGATAATGCAAATCGGGTGATAGGCAATCAAAGTTAACCAACACTAAGTTCATTCTGAGTCTGTTAAAAAATTTAAGGAGAAAATAAACCGTCAATAACTTGAAAAATAATTAAATTAAGAACAAATTATGAAATCATTACTTTGAAATCAAAATGAAATAAAACCTCTGTCTTTCTTAGATGAAAGATGAGGAAGAAAAATTTAGGAAGTATTTATCCCCCAGCTGAAATAAAACTTCAGTGACGGTATGTAGAATAGAAGGAACTGCGGACTTTGGAATCTGCTGCAAGGGTCGAGAGTAATGAAAAGTGTTTTGTGTAATAGTGGCGGATGTGGACATCTGCCCATTACAGACTTGACTTCATGAGTTTTTCCTGCTATGTATTCAAAGAGGGTCACACATATTCCATTGCTGCTTTTGGGTGCTGAAATTATGGACAGCATTTTTTTGGTCTTGGAAATACTTCAAAATATTTTTTGATCCTTGGCTTTTCTAATTTTCAAGATTAATGCTCAATTTCAGGAGGATAAAAAAATCTTACATCCTACAGAAAAGTACTACCCTCTCACCATGTTTCAAAGCTCTCCTTGCAAATCAGGACACTTCTCCAATGAAGAATTTGGTATCGTTACAAAGTTTCTAATGGGGCCCTCGGAATGAGATTGTTCTTCACCACTAAATAGGTACTTACTATGAACAATTTAATGATTGCCTGATCAATTGAAAATATCTGGATTTTACTAGATTTCATACTTCCTGAGCACTACATCACGCTGTTGAAGGACAGGTATTTGTACATACAATTTTACCTAAAAAACTCCAACAAAGCTTAAGGAGAATGTCCCAAAGTGAATATTGCGAACTGATAGTCAAAACTATATGAGATACTCTCTCGCTATGTACTGACTGATTTGTTTTAAAGTGTTTCTCGGTCAAATTTTGTGTACCGTTTATTGACGTTTTGACATTTAACAGTTTACATAATGTGTGGCTCGCAAATTTTTAAGAAATTTCCCAAAATCCAGGCATTATCAATTGACTGATTGCCTACCTATTAAATCATTCTCCCAAGTGCTGAGAATCCATTTCAATGCACTGCTTCATACTGTCCTGAAGAGAGTTCAATTTTTTACATGACGGTTGATTATTGAATTTTCTACAATTTACTCCTAAGTTTTTACTCCCATCACCCACCAACATTGAAGGGCGGAACTGGGAGCGGCCTCTCCCCTCCCCCTCTCCTAGGCCCTCTTGTACCGAATGACGTATTTTTTAACCTCCTGAATGACGTCAAATAATGGCCGCTAAATTGAAACATGCCGTCTTCATGACTCCAGCATTGTTATCATTTTAGATAGACGAGCCTGATTGAGCGTTTTTGCAGGCAAAGACCCCCTCGGAATGAGCAGGCGATCATAGAGCGGGAGTAGCTGGTGGAGCGTGCATGAAGCTCGCTCGGACTCCATGATTATGCTCTGTTGCTCTCTCCTCTCCTCTACTCTTTGCTCATAATGGCGCCAAGCACGAATTTCACTCTCGGAGAAAAATTGAACCGCTCAGCTCAGGGAATAGACCTTTTTGATTGAAATGAAATTTCTTTAAGAGTCCAAACCAAGTCCTAACCAGGGTAATGCTTAAAATTCTTTGGCAAGATATTTTTCTGATATAATTTAAGGATGAAGGAGGGAGAATCTTTAGAATTTCTGGAGAAATCACAAGCTTATTGTGTGGGGGCCCCAGCGTTCTGAGGCATTGAAATTAATCTTAAATGTACCTATTTACATTTTGAATTTTGATGGAAAAGGGGGGGGCTTCATTTATATCTGAGCCATGTATGTTTGATTAGAGGATTTACTTATTGCTAAATAGGCAGAGGATGCCAGATGATAAGGGATGAGTTTGAGGATTATATGCGCACAAGATATGTTTTCAGGAAAGCTTCGGCAGCTAAAGACTAAGGTAGCATCCTTCCTTCCTTATTAGAATCAGGCGTGGATCTCAGGAAAAATTTAAAAAATAGAAGGAGGCTATCTACGTGTGGGAGAAACCAATATAAGTACTTAGAGTTAAATTTTACGTAAAAAAGATGTGTAGTTGGTCCGTAAAGACGCAGAGTTGTACCTACGTATTTGTCAGGCTGTATACATGCAGCACCCATTGCAGCCTCCTTTGGAGAATACTATCGGTGCCTAATATTATCTCAAACATGCTTCAGATGTCAAATTTTGAAATCATCCATGTCAAGAATACCTATCTATTAATTATACCTGTACCTTTCCCTCTGCTTTATGCTGCTTAGTACATTCTGTGCGCATTGGGGGAACTAGTTGAGAGGAGGATGGGGGGGGGGGAGAAATATTACCCTCTCCTGACTTCCTAAGATATATGAGGGCTTTTGCTAAGGTACTTAATGATCATCCATGCATGTAGTGAAATACCTATTTATTAATTATACCTGTACCTTTCCCTCTGCTTTTATGTTGCTTAGTAAATTCTGTGCGCATTGGAGGAACTAGTTGGGGGGAGGGGGGGGGATAAATCTCACCCTCACCTCTGACTCAATTCCTAAGAAATATGAGGGATTTTGCTAAGTTAGCTGTGTTGCCAGACTTTCATTGTGGAAATTATAATTGTACCAAAAATATTTCCATGTAAAGATGAACCATCAAGCTAAAACTTTAACTAAACATTCGCACAAATTTATCAATTTCTTTTTGTGGCACAATGGTACAACTTCTGGAAACTTCCTGTTGAAGGTAAATACAAGGCACTTAGCACATTTCTTAAAAAATTTGCTGAAACAATATCTGTGCACATTTCTGCTTTTGATAACTTAAACCTTCCAAAGTACATAACAATCCAGAAAGTGGTAAAATTTACCAATCAGGCATCAAGAGGTGAAATGTGGGAGTGTAAATAAATAACATTACCTACAAAGATAACACTTACATTGAAAATATGATAGTATCAGTAAATTAATATGTAAATGAATGCGGACGATAGGATGGGTTAGAGTAGGTATTGGTTAGAGAGTGCTCGAACTGCTCTGAGTTTCCGTCGCGCCACGCAGCCATCTTGCCTGCTCATTTCGAGGGGGTCTTTGCCTGCAAAAAGTAAACATCAGACGAGCCTCCTCTGTTATCAATAAGTTATCACTCCCTTTCGAGCATAAACAATACTCATGATTTACCAAACGTTTATTTCAATGATTTCGGAATCACACATTTCATCCCCAGTACAATGATTTATCCGTAATTTAAGTTCAACATGGATTCCAGCGGCGAGCATGCTGAAGGCAAGTGATTTTCCTTGGTTATGTGTCTGTTAAATTTCATAATTTTCCATCTCAAGCTTATTATCCTGTCGTGACTGGAAATGAAACAGCGTTTTTAAGAAATCAGTCACCGAGATCCAAGTTTAGCCACCCGGAACTCAGATATACTTTTTTAATCTTTCAACCTCAGCTCCCTGATAATCCTGGGTGTCCTTGCTCTTCCAACCCTTAACATTGGCAGGGTAAACTTGGCCTTGACAAAGGCACAGCTGAGATGTCCTTGCAATTTTTCAATCAATAAAACCTTCTTTCTCTAGAGCCCTTGATATTTTTAAACCCAGTCATGTCTGCTGTATCAATATAATGCAGAATCCATGTTTATCAGCTTCAGAAAAGTCCAAGTCACAAATTGAAGGAAAGATGTAATTTGGCCCTTGAGTTTGTCTGTTCGTCTAGTCTCCAGATTTCTTTCATTAAATACTCAATCAAGAAACCGAGTAGCCAGATATCAGTTTTAAACCTAGCGGAATGCATAGTCTCTCTGACTTTAGAATTGGCAGCATTCGTATTGTTGGTAGAACCTCAAGAATAAGTACCTTACTTAATAGGGAGAATTGATTTTAAAATTTTGGCCTTTTTCTTTTTTATGGTCACTCTTCTGCGATATTTCAGTGAATATTAATGACAAAATATGTATCTCTATTGCAATGTTCAAAAATCTCTAATCATTTTATATTCGTCCATTTTTCATGTAATGCTGAGAACTAAATTTTTAGATACTAGGTACTCCCTAGGATTCTCTGGCTACCAGATATTTTGATATTACCACATATCGACGGTGTAAGTCGGCATTCACATAACTCGGTTTACGACGTCGCAAACTTTCTGTCATACTTTATTTTTTAAACGGAAAACTACTCAACGGCAATTCTTTAAAACTGCCGTGATTTTTCTTCTCTGTACGAAGAAAATTCTACAAAAATTTAAAGGAATGATGTCAATTTGTTCTTTTTTAAAAAGAATAACATAGAGGTGGATTTTTTCAGACACCGCAAACGAGATATGTGATTGCCGACTTACACCGTCGATATGTCAGAATGCCAAACAATGAAATGAACAACATTATGAATTAACCGTAACTTTTCTCATCTCTGACACAGTACTGGTTTGTTTTCCTTGTTCTTCAGATTTTGAGATCATCGTAGCTTTGTACGACTTTCAAGCAACTTTTGCCAAAACAATAAGTTTTAACGAGCATGACAAGTTTCTGATTTATAACGAACACACTCGGGAAAGAAATTGGTGGCAGGTAGTTAATCAGGAGGGTCACATTGGCTACATTCCATGTAATTATGTCAAGATCGAAAAGGTATGTACTCAATTAGTTGAAATAATCTTTTTAGATCCTCTTGTTGAAGATAACCTATTGTAACTATATTGAAAACTTATAACTCTGAACATAGAGGCTAGGTTCACCAAAAATACAGAACCGCCAATACCCTAGTAGCAATGGCTCTCAAAAAAAATTCTACAAAAAGTTGTCTAGAAAAAATGTAAAAAACTTCTAAATTTTAAGTAAAAAGATTCTTAAAATACTCGTTTTAGGAAACTTCTTCGGGGAATTTTTTAAGTAAAAAAATAGTGTTATTTTCATTTAAAGAAAACGTAAAATTTACGTAAAAATCAACAACCTATATCCTCAATTTTTATGGGCTGCAACTTCTCCCTTTACACTTTTCTGTTCACCACTTTTTTTTCCTTGTTTATGCCCTTAGGAAGTTTATAAAAAAAAATACATACATTTTTCTAAAAATTTACTGACAATTTTTCTTCAATTTTATGTTAAAAAGCTTCGAAAAGAGTTTCCTGATACGAATATTTCAAGAGTTTTTTAACGCAATTTTCTAGTGGTTTTGAAGTAAATTTTAAGTTCTCTTAAGTTCTTTTAAGTTCTCTTAAAATTTTTGGGTTTTTTACAACTTTTCTCAACAGCCACTGCTACTAGGGTATCAATATTGATGGCCAAATGGAGAAACTGCATATTTCTGTTAGACTTTTTGTCATACTTCATTTATTTCTTAAGAACTAGTTCTCATAATATGTTGAAAACTTCCTTGATTTTTCTTCTCTGTTAGCAGAATATTCTGTATAAATTTCAAGCTATATACTTGGCTTGGTTCCTTTCAAAAAAATGAAGTAGGAGCAAAAATTTTGAAACTTTGGGCTGGAGGTTTGTGGTTTCGCACTTTGGACATCAATACACAATTCAACAACTAACGTGGTTGTTTTATTAAAGTTCATGATTGTTAGTCTCCACTTCTTAAGGTACATACCAGGAGCCTCAAAGTTGACTGTTCCTTCTCGAGTTAGGTAACTCCTGTAATTGGTTGCCCTAGGTAAGTAAGAAAAAAGTGAACTTCGATAGGAGATCAATAGAAGACAGGAAAATCAATTTCACTGAAAAATAACGGCTAAAGAAAAAACTTAGAAAATTCCTTTCTAATGCACCCTAGTAGCAACAACTGTTAAAAAAAACTCTTAAATTTCAAAATGACAACTCTTCAGGAAACTGTTAAAATTCTCTTATTTGGAAACCTTTTCTGGCTATTTTTTTACGAAAGTAAAAAAGTGTTACTTCAAAAAAAATTGTTGAAGTATCAACTATAGTTTTTCAACACTAAAAATGTTTGAAAAAAATGTTAAAAAGCTACAGTGATGTTTTACCTTTTAAAACTTTTCCTCCAAAATTTTCTTTAAATATTACTTCCTGTAAATTTTACTTAAAAATAGAGCCAAAAAGGGTTTCCCAGTACGAAAATTTCAACAGTTTTTCTAAGAGTTTTTGAAGAATGCTTTAATAGGTCATTGCTATTAGAGCATATTAAGTTTAAAATAGTCAAAGTTAAAGATGTTTTCTGTCGTTACTTTTTAAGTACTTAGCTTCTGTTTTCTGTGATGTAATTCAAATTTTCATCAAATTCAATTTTACTCCGAACAATTATTCAAACCCATACTAAAATTTACTTATTTATTTTCTTTTTTCCCGCAAGTGCCCTCGAGAACAAGTCGTAGCATTTCTAGAAGTCTGCATCGAATCTATCAGGAAAGAAACCAATAAATCTCCGACTTCAGAGAAGCAAGAACTTTTAAAGAAGTTGGTTCAAAAGAAAGAGTCACTGATAAATTTCAGTGAGGCTGTGAAATTGAATCCCTCTGCGCAAACTCCAGATGGACTGTCCGCTCCTCTTCCCCCTCGAAAATCATGCTCTTCAGACGATGACTCAGCTGCAAAGTCATCTAAATCTACTGTTAAGGTATAGTATACATTTCGTTGTTTCTCTCTCAAAAGAACTTAACTACATTCCAATGTTGCCAGATTTTTCTGCGCAAATTTCAATTTTATCAGACAAATTTTGAACAATTCTAAATTAAAAGCCACTAATTCCTCTCCCTTTTGCCTCTTATGCAAAAATCAGGCAAATTGTCAAGGAAAATTCTGCAGATTTATTTTCGTAAAAAATTGACTTGTTCCAGTCAATTTTGCAACCTTGTAATGGAGTTTTGTTCCTTCTTGCGGAAAGGGACGATTTTATTACCGTCACTGGTATTTTGATCACTGCCCTTTTCTGCAAGAAATAAAACTTGAACTGTTGCGCTACTGTCCAGATTTTGATTAAAAAGTGAAATGGGGCTCATTGTGACCAGAGGAAAAAGATGGAAAATACAAAGCACCCAAGAAAAATCTTGAAAATGCAAGAAGTACCTATCGACTCTTGCCAGTTGGTAATGATCGGCGAAAATTTGAAGCTTTAGTCTGTCTGAATAGTTTTAATTGAGGAGCTTGGAGGACAAGGCGCATAATTCCAGTTTTTGCTATTTCAAGAAGTACAAGTTGAAAGTGTTAAAATTACATGGACCCCTTTAGGGTGGAGAGAAAGCACAAGCTCTTTTTTATATGCTTGAAAATTGAATTTTAGTAGTGATTTTTTCACAGAATACATTCTAGGATTGTTTTAATTGAATTCATGTATATCTCATCTTTTCTTAAACTGCACTCATGCGACACATCCTCCAAGGCCCTCAATTCTGAATTCTGGTGTTTCTATGGCAAGCAACACAGGGAAAAATCTGTAATTATACTAGAAATGTAGAATACAGACAATAAATCAAAATGAAAAGATTATTTCTGTTTACTAGGAGGCTAATTTTTTAATCAAATCCTCTAATCCATAATTGACAAAAAAGAATCTAATAAACTTACAGCTAATTGTTGTGTTCTTTTTTTTATTCGACAAAACTGATTCATAGATTTTCTGCACAGCCCACCCAGCAAAACGAGTTAAAAAATGTTGCCACAACGTCTGAGCAATACTGTGAGTAGGAGTTCTGGGGAACAGCCCTCCCTCCCTCCCCCAGCAGAAGGGGGGTCCGGGGGACCTCTCCCGGAAAATTTTGAAAATTGAATCTCTCACTGACACTGTTTTGACATATTTTCAACTTGAATACATCAGGGTTTTCTATGTTTTCCACCAATCATTTTGAATTTTAGAAAATGAAAAGTTTGGAAACGAATCGCAAATTTTTTAAAGTCGATTGCTGGCGTAACATACTTAGAAAATTCTTACAAAAATGATAAAAATAATGGCTAACAATTTAATGCAATTTTTAATTTTTTAATCATTTTATTGCACTTTTAGTGGCACTCTTCAATTCCGCTTGTGGATTCACGTCAATCCACATAGAATCGCTTATGGGAGCAGGAATGTGAAAAACTCAGAGGGATGAACATATTTTGCATTTAATTTAAGATTCTCCAGTAAATCTTGAACTTTTATCGAAAAGAAGCCTCCTCATGTTACTCATTTTTGTGTTTTAGCTTTTGCTTTCTTTTTGAAATATATTTTAAACTCATTTGTCCTTTTTACAATCCTTTTTTTCTTCTTCTTTCAGCCTTTTAAAGAGATGGCCTTTGATTCAAAAACAAAAAATTCTCTTTCAAATTCCAAGATTAATTCGCCCAAAAGGATTCTAACAAACGGAAACAAGGAACTTGCTGTGATTTCAACAGAAACTGTCTATCACATTGTACAGTTGGTCAGTTACCGTACAGTTTTTCCCTTGCGTTTACCCTCGTAACCTCATTCTATTCCTCAGACTCTAAGCTCTTTTGGCTGCTGATACCATCAGCGTTTTCATTTTTTTCCTCATTTGTGTGTTCTATTTCCCCCCTTTTTTTTTGGAGCAAGAGAAATGAAACAATCACTCATTGCTGATGCCTCCCTTCGACTAATTAAATAATCTATAACAAATGTGTATGTATAACAAAAAATTAATTCATGTTTTGTTTGGTTATCGGTATCAGTCTTAGTCTTAGCTGCTTTTGAAATCGACGTAATATCAGTTTTACATCACCCTGATGGCAATCTGATGGACCACATTTTACAATTAGAAACTACAATTTCTGGCTCATATTAGAAATGAACATATATGTGTCATCAGTTTTCCTATGCAGATCGATGTTTTATATAGAAGCTGTATGCAAAATGCAGTCCAAATGCCAGTATGGCGATTCTGCTGTGCGAAAGAAAAATGCTGCATGAACATTCAAGCATTGCCAAATTTTCTCTTATAATATACAAATTTATTACAAACTGATTGCAATAGACGCTTGAGTCGTTTAGACAGAAAGTTGGTGGTGTAACCAACGTCCGTTGAAAATCTGCATTGGGCTGGTTTTCACAATCTCTCCAAGCTCGGTAGCAGAAAATTCAGGAGGCCGCGCTGCACTGAAGATGGGTCCAATTAGACTCAAAATACGTCTGCAGTTGCCTTCTTGAATAGTCCTAACTAGTGTTGCACCAAACAGAACAACTCTTAGAAGGAAAAATTGTGCTCGAATGAGCTTGTTTCCCTGTATTGAGATTTTCAGATTTATACTGGTTTTAACGCATGTTGTCTACACAACCAACTTTCTGTCTAAACGAATTTATTGGGAAAGTCGCGAATATTTTTCTTCCAATTTTGTTCGTAATTCAATCTAAAGTAGCTGAAAATTTCAAGGAAAAATAAGCACAACTTTCTTCCAGAATAAATGTCTCATCAGGGGGAATTTGGCAATATTCAAGTGTCCATACTGAGTTTTTCTTTAGCACTCCTTAGCAAAGTAGGAGGTTTGAGTCCTGGTTATAAGAGTGACGTCATACTGTTTTATGAAACAAATAACATGACACGAGTGTGATGTTATAATGAGCCACCTCCTCCGGGGCATATCTTCCCTACAGAAGCTAAGTCCTGAGTCTTTCGTTTTTTCAGGTCCGAACGCACACAGATCTGAGTCATGAGCTATCTCGAGTGGCCGTATCGATCGTCATCGAAAGTCTCATTGACATGTTACCCTCGGAGTGCGTCCCGAATTTGGAGAACCTCCTGGAAATACTTCAGAGACCCCTGTATGCCCGAGACAGCTCTGTCAGTGACACGTTCGATGGGAAGAGATTGCAGAACATTCTGGAGGAGCTTATCAGCTGCAAGGAAGACTCTCAGCAAAGGAGTTGGGAGTTGTATGAAGACGAGTCAATCATCATTGAATATCTCACGGAGCTACTGTCGATACTGGTATGTATTTTTCTTTTTCAAGATCTTTTTTTAACTTTGCCTCAATTTTGCTAGCAAAGCAAGCCATGTAAGAAAAGAAAATGTAAGCAGAAACCAACCCTCTTTTCTTTAATTAAATCCACCTTTGGATTTTAGCTGTCTTGAAAAAACTTTCCTCCTTTCTTCATCTCCTTATTAATCTGGGTTGCAGAAAGGGCTTAACCTTCCCATTTTTCAATTTGACTTCCCCATTTCTCAACTGCTTTTTCTCCAGAAATTTTCAAAAGATGACCTTTTTCAGGCTCTCCATCTATGAATTGCCTCAATTTTGCAAAATACACGTGATTTCTACAGCGACCTCGCAAAAGAAGGAGAAACAAACCCGTTTTCCCTGGTTTTCCCATTTTTAAAATCTGTTTTTCTGGCCTTTTTATTTTCACCTGCGAATTATCGCAACCCACCTCATCGTACAGTCAAGAAATTTTGCACCTTCGTTATGAATTTTTTTTATCTTCTTATTTTACATTATGAATTCTGTAAAGTACATGGATAGAAAAATGTCATAGAATATATTCAGAAGAATCATGAATTTTATTCATTTTTCTCTCACCTTCATATATTCTTAATTTAAAAGAAAATTGTTTGATTTTTTCCATGCAGAACAATGCTGATATCAACATCTGTCGTCACGTTCTATCTAAAGATCAGTTTCGAGCAGTGTGTGCTCTGATTGAGTATTATCAAATGGAAACCCGATGGTCTATCAGACAGCCGTTATTACAAACTTTTGGTGTTATGTGTGGAATACATGCCTCTGTAATCACAGTTCTTCTGAATTCTGTTCTTCCTATGGAATTAGCTAGGTGATATCTCCACTTTTAACCAAATTTTTTACTTCATTCCGGACTGAATCTACATCAAACCGATTCTACAAGAGTTTATGGAGATTCTCCTGCAAGCAGCAAGATAATTTTGCTCAAAAAAGCCCAGTTAAAAGAATTTACAAAAAGCCTCATGAGCAACAAGGCATATAGCACAGTACACAGTACAACATAATACATCACTAAAAGATACAATGAGTAATAACAGATATTAACAAATACAGTATCATCAAAATGAACTATGTCGACGGTGTAAGTCGGCAATCACATAACTCGATTTGCGACGTCGCAGACTTCCTATCACACTTTATTTTTTAAACGAAAACTACTCAACGGCTATTCTTTAAAATTCCAGTGATTTTTCTTCTCTATGAAAAAAAAAAAAAAAAAAAAAAATGAAAATGAAATGAAAAGTGAAAATTCTGCAAAAACTTCAAGGAATCATGTCAATTTGTTCTCCTCTAAAAAAATAACATAGAGGCAGAGATTCTCAGACACCGCAAACGAGTTATGTGATTGCCGACTTACACCGTCGATGTATTAAACATTGGTAAAGCCATGAGCCATATTTGCTTCTCTTTTTAACTGGAAACAGTCTGTTTGTTGGGAACAACTTATAACAAAATTTTTAAATTCATCAATAGGAACATATAAATAAAACTAAATAGTAGCAGAAACCTTTCCAAAATCCTAAATCTGAAAGTAAATAAAATATCCTCAGCTATTTTAATGTTAATCTTGGTTTATTTTTTATTGATTTTTCAGGGATATGATGAGTAATCCCGAAAATGTGCCTCGATTATTGAATTCTGCGCTGTTGCTATCGATGATTTTCTCGATGGGTGAATCCATGCCCATCACTCATTTAGGTAATCTACCATACAATATCTGTATCTCATCTTTTCAGATCAAGATGATTTATTAGCTACAATTCAAGAAATAAATAATAAGTTCAGTCCTGTGTTTGACTTGCTCGATTTTTGCATCTCCAGCGTGTCATAAGCCATTCCTAAATTCCAGTCCTTCTCACTATAGCGTCACTTTAGATAGGGTTTTTCTGGAAACAATGTTCATTTTTTCAAGGCTAATCAACTCTATAATTTCCTCATTTGTTCTTCCCAAATGAAGTGAACCTATCAGCTAAAATTTTGAAAATAATTTTTCCAAGTTAAATTAAAAGCCATTCGATTTTCATATTTTCTCATGGGTTATTTTCTATGATTGCATGATAAAAAAGGAGAAGAAAACCGTATGGTAAAAGGAAAAATGAAATGTTCCTGTAGACTTATGATTTTTAAATGATACAAAACAAAAAAAATTTCGATAACCAGAAAAGCCAGTAAGCCTTATCAACAACTGAGGATGATTACCTAAATTTGAAAACTTAGAGTATCAATATCTTTATTTTTTCCCTTGCGGAAAATTTCACGTGAAAAGTTTTGTTGCAAATTTACTTTTTTCTCAGTATGATTAGCAGGATGGCTTGCAACTCGGGAAACCAGGAAAAATCAGGGAATTTTGTCAACGGTCAGGGAATTTTTTGTGGAGCTGGGTTCCTCGTAAAAATCAAGTATGCGACGGGCCAGCTGATTGCGTTGTTTTGCCAACTTTTTGACCACATTAATCAAGTGCCCTTACATTATCAAAAAAAAAAGTAAAAAAATTTCATTAGAAGAAGTCAGGAAATAGTCAGGGAATGATAAAATGAAATTTTGCCAGCCACTCTGGATTGAATAATAATGGCAATTTTCAAGTTTAATTTTCTTTCCCCGTAATTAGTATGCAATTAACTGAGATTTCTATGCTTAGGACTCAAAGCATATCACCATTTTCTCAATCTGAGATCATCATTTATCATCCTTTCTAATAAATAATTCATTTGTTTTCTTCTTCCAGAATATTTGGGTCTTGAATTTGTGACATTTCTCCTCAGTCTTATAGAGTCACCTCCAGAAACAGATATTGAAGAGCAGATTCCGGATGTTTTTCTAACTCTGATTCTATCGTACAATCTGCAATTTTCTGCTGAAGCTACAAACAATGTTGTTGTTGATTCTGTTGCCTCACGCTCTGTTGCAAAAAATTTTACTGAAAAAGTTTTAATATTACTGAATAGGGAAGGTAAGATCTTAGTTTAGCTCTCAGATAATCTTTTGTTACGGAGGGAAGTTTTGAAAGGCCTCTCCTGTACATTTTGCAATATCAGAGGTGTCATCGTGCCGTTAATATTGCAAATCATCAGAAGAAAATAAACTATCTAGTTTGATGGTTCTAAGCAACACACATTTAATTTATTCTTTTTGGCTAATATAATTTTTTTTTTTTTATAATATTAATCAGGCATTAAGGTCATTTTTTATTTATTTTCATTTCCATGGTGAGCTCATCAATATACTTTCTCCAAAGTAATTTATAAACATTTTGAAAGCCTCTTTTGCCTGTGGCTCATATGTAAAAATGTATCTTTTTCAGTGAAACACTATCAGAGTCCACGCCAACTAATTTTACGCACTTTTACACTATGCCAGAAGGTCCTTCATCTCGACTCTTGCATTTACTTTCAATTCTAAACTACAGATAGCTGATCTTCTTGACAGAATTTGCTCTGCCAAAAATCTTGTCCTATGGGTATAATATCTCTTTTTTCCTCAGGTGTTCACAATTTCTAACCATCAACTTATATTCAGCAAAACTTTTAGGCGAAAATTCTCGGTCAACCATAAATTTTATTTTTTGTTCCCTCAGAGGATCCGGTTCGAATTTTTGACCATACTCCGGCACCCCCAGATTCAGTTTTGAAGTTGTTTTTGGATCTGTTCAGCAACGAGCAAGCAGCGAACCTATTTTACACTAACGACATGAAGGTGCTCATAGATGTCATCGTTCGACAGATAGCAGACGTATCACCTGGTGACACGGTAAGTTCCCAGGAAGCCTACTTTATCATTATTTTGACTGTGTCATTTAGATGGAGGAACTTCAACGCAACTTCTGAGCCTTTGTGTTTAAAATCTCATGGAATCGATCGGAAGTATTCTCGAAGGTGCAGAAACAAACTTTTCATTATTTGGACTGCGTCATTTAGATTGTAGCACTCGAAAACAACTGATCAGCCTTTGTGTTTAAAATCTCATGGGATCAATTAATATTCTCAGAGGTACAGAAAACGCTCAAGTTTGCAAATTCCGGTTTGTGTACGGTATAAAGAAATTCATACTGGCAAGAGGAATTTTTTTATGAAATTTCTTTTTTTAAAAGAAACCGTAGATGTAAAAACAAAATAGAGCACTAATTATCTTTTAATGTTTTTGGCTCAACAAGGAGTGGCACAGCAAGGAATTTTCCCACAATGAGGACTTTTTGAGGCGGGATTGCAAATAATTTTTGCTTAGAGAAACTTTCTATGTCCCTGAATATTCTTCAATCACTCTGAAAATGAAATTAGCCTTTTCAAAGAAGATAAAACACATTTTAGACTAATGGATTTTTGTTTTCACTCCGTATGAAAAACAAATTTATTCTCCTTCCTATAAATGGCCGTCACTTGAAAAATGTGGCTTGCTCCTATTAATTCCATGGAAAATGCTTTGTATAGGTTGAACTTCATTTTTCCATGAGCCTATTTTAAAAACAATGTTTGTTCTGATTTCCCGACATTGATAGGTGCTTTTATGAATGAGTTAGCAAATAGATCTTTGTGGCAAAGAAGTAAGTTTTCTTAATTTTTGAAAGAGCCGCGCCCAGGGCCGGATTTACGTTCTTGCCGCCCATTGGCCGCCTGTATTTTGCTGCCCCTTTCTCATTCGTTTTGAAACATCAATAAAAACCATCAAGTAAACATGCCGGAGGGGGAGGGGTGCATAAGACGCGTTTACCTGCTCGTGTTGGATACATTTCAAAAGTTGCAAAATTTCACGGAACTTGACGCGAAAGTTAAGTTCCGTAAACCTATCTCTGTGTGGACAAGGTCCTCCATTTATAAGAAATTAACCAAAAAATTATGAAAGAACAAACATAAATGTGGTTTAATAATTTTAACTTTCGCCGCTGTGCCGCGCTGATAGCACTGTGTTTGGCGCAATGCGTGAAGTATTCCTGCAGTCTTGTAGGCACTATGCATTTCACGCCAACCGCCATTGACAGCACTGTGTTTGACGCGATGCGTGAAGTATTCCTGCAATCTTGTAGGCGCTAATATGTGTTACATGCCGACCGCCGCGCCGAGGGCTTGTCCTTTTCATCTCAAGTCCTCGTCATCATTTCTCTCTGCGCTGACCTCCAGGCCAAATTGCGTGTTTAGTACTGTGTGTTTGTCTCTGTCTTTTAAATCACATCGAATCAACGACCTCATCGTTTTTCTTTTTTTTGTCCGTACAGAAAAGGACACGCTACCTTCAACTCTGCAGACTTGTTCTAAATTCTACCAACTATGCAGAGCACCAGCATCGAAAAACTGATCTACAAAAGTGTTTTTCAAGGATATTAAGTGAAGAGTTATCCGAAAGTCAACCTGATATCATGCTTGTCCAAGAAATTTCCAACGAATTTCCCCAGTATTTCAAGTAAATTTTTTTTCTTTATTTTCGTTGATTAATTTTATTTAATTTGTTCTTTTGATTGTCTGAAAATTCACTTTTTACAGCTCTCTTGTGGTGCACTCTCTGCAGTGAACAAATCATATAATTTCTATTTATATTTGCAGACAGTAAGTCTGGCGTAAAAAGTTTACCAAAACTTGGTAAGTTTTTTTTTTGTTGTAACTTGAATTTCATCCCTGTTTCGTGTGATTGACCACTTCACCGAAATCTGGAACTATTAAAGTCTTTGTGCCACTCTACAATACCAAAAAGAAAACCCAATAAGATCTCTTCCGAGAAATTAGAATCTAGTGCATTGGAAATTTGAATTATCATCGTTAAGTTGTTGTTAATTCAATATTAGAATTTATCTCATGCTTCTGAAGCTTTTAACAATGATCTTAATTAAAGCATTATCTTTCTTATCAATCGTATTATGCAAAATGTTTAATTGGTCCTAAAACCACCTCATTGTGTGGCTTCTCGTGATTGGTAGGTTTGTTACCGGCCACAACTAATTTTAGCCTCTTAGTTTTTAGTGGTATTATCCTTTTCAAAATACTCTCTTGAAAAATACTCTCTTATCAATTTTACTTATCGAGAAAGAGATGAGGATTGAACGGTAATTTGAGTGTCATTGATTTGCCAAAAATGAATGCAAAAACATTTGAGAAATTTGAAATGTGTCAAAAGCTGAACGCTTATTGTTGTACTAAGGAAGAACACCTTATGAGCCTTTAGACGTCGCTACATTTTTTTTTCATTACAAAACGAATTTACTGGGAAAATTGTGAATAATTTTCTTTAAATTTTTCAGACAATTTTATTCGTGATTTAATGTATAGTAACAGAAAACTTGAAGGAAAAATATATATTTTATCCAAGGAAATTTGGTAAATCTTGATCATCCATGCAGCGTTCTTCCTTAGCTCGGCAGATTGGGCGTTTAGTTGATGAGACATGAAAACTTGAATTTTTACATTGACTAATGGCTACTTTGTAAAAACTGAAATATTTTGCAAAGGAGAATCTATGAGGACTAAAATTTGTCTCCTAAGATTATCATGAGAATTGCTCCTAGTATTTACAGAAAAACTTCGCTCAAAGTAGAATTTTGGTTTTTTTCCTCCGAACTTATTTCTAAAAGTGTAGATTTTTTTCTTGAAATCCTCCCTGTCTGACTTATATTCGGGAAAAGAGTTCAGCTTTCTTCCACTCTCAATTTTTTTCTTTCAGTTTCCATGTTTTAAGTTGGTTATGTGTTCAAAACTTTTACCTCGACCTTACTAACTTAATTTTGTGCCTCCCAAATTTCCTCTAGCTTAAAGCATTTCTTTAGATACTGTGCATTTTTCTTTACCTCCTCTAGTCTTCGCTAAGAGTGATAAGAGATTAGCTAAGATGACTTTCAATTCTGATTTTACATTAGCAATAAAATTAATTTCAATCCCTTAAACAACTAAAAGCTAATGATAAAGCTCGCAAGTGCCAGCCGAAGTCAACGCTATGGTTCAATAGTCAAAGGTGCACTGCTGCAATTTCGTCCGACAATCATATTTTAAGACAAGAAATGAGGAAAAATATTGTACACTTAAAAGAAGATAAATATAATTTTAAACTTTGAATGAAACATTATTGTTTACAAAGTTTTTTTCAATTGACTGAATTTTTTTTTTTTTTTTAAACCTCCCAACTATCCACTTATATCTCAAATCCTCTCGAATTTGTCGATGAAAGTGGATAGCGGGTTTTAGTGAAATGGGTCCAACAATAATGAAAAAAATATATTCAAAGCTTGTTTTTCTCTCTGAAAAGAAGTTGTTTCATCCAAAATTTCATGTAATATTTTTCTCCTGTGTTTGATGAGCCTTTTCTGCTCAGTACAAAATTTCTTATTCTTGAAAGCCAGAATAAGCATGTATGTACTAAAAAATAGAGACGTTTATTGAGTAAGTCATGAAGGCTAGATTTGGACTGCGAATCCCAGTCTGTTTTGTTTTGCATTTTAAGCTTTATTTTTTGGGAAGGAGAAGTGTGACAAGTGCTGCTAATTTTGTTGAAATCGTACTCTGCTATGCTATGGAAAATCGCTGTATCCATATAAGTCTTCAGGCGTTGTCAAATTTTGTCCTATGAAGTACGATTTTTCAGGGGAAATTGTGCATATTTTTCTTTTAGTTTTTCAGAGAATTTCATTCGCAATTTAATCTACAATTTCTGAAAATTTAAGGAGGAATATGTTTAAGTTTCCTGTAACATTAAAGTCTCTGATGGGAAAAGTTGGCAACATCCATATGTTCTTACAACGTTTTTCCCTAGCACAGCAGCACTTACCTGTAAAATTTTTTCATACCCAATAATAAAGGATTCAGAACCAGAGAAGCCAATTTGCATCATGATGCTGCAAGTTTTTTGGATAATTTATTCATTTACTCAAGTACTTTAGCTGAGAGGACGACACACAACATACCAAGGAATTAGACGCTGGCTGAAATTCGTTATTATTTGATATGATGTTTCTAGTAGCCTCAAGAGCACAGTGAGCTTTTAAAATCAAACGCATTATATTCCAATCTCGAGAAAAACAGGGTTAAAAAGTGAATTTTTTGGTATTTTAACACGCAATATCGAGCAGAAATGTTTTAACATCTTACTGATGATTTAGGAGAATTTTTATTTCCCTGCAGGTTCAGAAGATGAGAAAAATGAAGAGAATCTAATTCTTCAGATTCATAACAGCACGCTGTGCTGAGGGCAGCGTCAAATTTTTCGAAAGGCACATCACAAGTTCGATTTTAAAAGCTTATCATGCTCAAGAGGTCTCATGGAATATCATATCCGATTCTTTTGGTATAGTGTTTGTAGTCCTTTGCTAAAAATTGTTTTAGATTCTTTTTAAGATTAACGAAAATTCCCAGAAGTTTCGGACATAAAATGTCCATCCATCAATGATTAGTGAAGTATAGTGTCAGGTGAAATTTTAAAACGTTGCAGTGCAATTCATCTCTATTAGCTTTGACCCCTTCAAATGTCTCTTTAATCAGATAGTCGCAGATGTATCTATTTTTGTAACATTGTAAATTTAATACTGTAAATTTTATTTTTGCTATGATGGCGTTTTCACTCTTATAATTGATTTTGGACTGGTTATCTGACTAGTATTTATTTTTTCACTTACGTTAAGTTTCTTTCACCCTTTTTTTGACCACTTTACTGTTTTTTTTTTGTCTGTGTATAATTGTTTTGCTGTTAAGAAGAAATTAAATTTTCGTTTTTACCCCTAGCTTTTTATCATGTTTACAATAAGTGCATTAAGTGAGAAGCAAGGTTCTTGTTTTGTTATGCTTCCAATAATATTCTTTGTAAATTTTAGGTGATAAGATTACCAATTCTTCCCTGCAGTTCTATAGTATAATGCGAAATGTCCAGAAAGTTGGAAGGACCATTAAATGATTTTTTTCCTCTGGAGTTGAGAGGGAATCATCATCTTCCTCTCTTGTGCATGCTTTAAAAATTGCATTTTTCCTGTAACCACCATTTAATTTCTCTATTCCACTTGGGGATGGCGATTTCGAAATGATGACTTGAAGGCCTTGAATTTCAGATCCGCATTTTTGTGTTGATTTCAAATAGGAATCAGTTTTTAAATTTAAGTTTAAAAATGACTAAAAAATTAGACGTGTCGATGAGCTTTGAAAACACTGATCCCAGGTTTTCTCTTTATGAATTAAATACCAATAAACAAGGAGAGTGTTGTCAAAAAATTGATTTTTTCCTCCTGATGAATGAATATTATTGATTTTTCCTCAAGTAGATCTAATTATATAATACATTTTTGAGATTAGTTTTGGTTTCATCTAAATTTTGTCTCAAGAATTGTAAATACCTATTCCCAATAAAGCTGAAAGTTTCTTTTGGTGAACTGCTGTGATTTCATGAATCTTGGTGATCGGACAAGCTTTCTTGAACTCGAAAGAAATTACAACAGTCAGTCACTTCATTTTTGTTTCTTCCATTTTTTCCTTCGAGTCTTCAGATATTGCTAGTGCATTTAAAGCCCTTCCTCCTCGACCTTTTTATTTCAGAAGCAGCTAATCAGAGACATTGTGGCACTCCAAGAGGGAAAAATCTCCTCTTTGAAGAAGGAGAATCCAGAATTTATATAATTAACTATTATGGTGCACCTTATGAATGGTGTTTTTTCTTATCACTTGAGTGTATAAAGGCAAATTTATCTATCGGATGTTATTCACTTGAAGGAATGGTTGTTGCTGAGCAATGCCAATATTTAACGTAAGTGAGACTTTATCAAGAAAACTTAAAAAATGGCGGCTGAGGGGCTGAGCTAGTGGACTCGCCAAAGCCAATCAACCCTCAAACAGAAGGGCGAGCAGCTCACCTAACTCCGCCCCTCAAGTGCCACTTCTCAAGTCTTAGACGAAAGAGTGATTTTTTCACAGGAGAAATTTCAAAATTAATTTTTCAACGATAACACTCTAAAAAAACTGCTCTACTAAAAATGTTGCCTCTATAGACCAAAGACCTTTTTTCCTGTGGGTGATCACAAATTAGAAACGAAAAAAAATTAGAATTACGCAATATGTTATTAAAATAATTTAATGATAGTAAAAAATATATACTGATTCAAAGTAGACTGCCAAGGTCAGTATGTAAGAGTCACAGTGTCATGCAAACACGATGCTAATTTGCAATAAATGTATAAGTCAATACAAAAAATTCTCGTGTAAAACCATAAAATTGTTTAAGCATAGAGCAATCATGCCATCATCTAGTCTGTTGTTAAATAATTGTACCCCTGCTGTTAAATTAGTTCATTAAAGTTCTATCATCTTCCCAAAAAACTAGTGCCTGTTTTTTTTTCCAAAGACGGTCAACATTTCCTCAATACCTCTCAACCGAAAATCGTATCTTGGAGCTTATGGAAAATTAAAATGTTGACTGCCACCGAGCATTCCGTAAACGTATCTAACAATATCTCTATTTAAATGCAATACATTTCATTCGTCAGCACTCGTCATCATAGAGCTGATTATTGAAATTAATAGACAAAGTGATAGACTAAGAGAAAATGGAGGGATCCTATTAATTGTTACAAGCCAAAGGGGAAAATGATGGACTAACTATAGGGTCTCTTCAGATTTGCTATTAGTCTATAGCTCATCCTCTGAATCCATTTCAACCACCCGCTTCCAACAATAGGATTTCTTCATTTTCTCTTTATCTTCTTTGCCCAACGCTTTGTCTACCAGTTTTAATAATCAGCCCACATGGGCGTCAGGGTAACACTTTGAACTAGAAATCAGCCAGTCCACACTTCTAAATCCACACCTGTGCATCAAAGGTTACAATACCTCTCAAGAGTGGGAGAAGAAATCCATACGTTTTTATTGTTAGACTACTTATCTGGAATAAAATCGTGTGCAAAATGTATCAAAGGTTAAAAACTCTCTCAAGTACAATAAAATAAGTACAAATATAATCAACGCTACAATATTTATTTAGAATAAAAGATCAAATAAAAAGGACTCCGCACACTCGTTACGGGAGTATGTGCTCTGCTCGATTTTCAATTTTCTTATTGATTCAAACTCGTCTATGGACGCTAAACGCTATGGCTTTAAAGTCATCATTGCATCAACTTCCTATAAGGCACCGTTTTTGGCACAATCCGCATTTTAAGTTTCAATGATCACTTGAATAAATGTAACAAAGAAAACTGAAGTTGATGAGTGGTAAGAAAGAGAATGGGATGGAGAAGAAAGGAACTGCTTTGGACGATGAAACATAGAGGCTTCCAGAATCCGAGATAACACAAACGCTCCGCACTGTATTGGTACCTAAACACACAGGGTTTCCTGTTTTTTCCTTCTTTCCCTGCTGGTGCTGAAAGATGAGAGATATTTTCAACTCTTAATCGCAGCGCTGCCTTCCTTTTCATATATTCAAGTAATTATTGAAACCTCAAAAGGGGACTGCAAAAACGGTGCCTCGTAGGAAGTTGGCGCAATGATGACTTTTAATCAGCATCCATAGAGGAGTTTAAATCAATAAAAAATTAAAAATCAAACAGCCAAAGAAGCAGTGATCGCAATAGCAATTTTATCGCTTGATTATCGCGATTATACCGGCGGCAATATATCGAGATACTATCGCATTAAAAATCGCGATATATGGCGATTAAATCGCTACAAATCGCAATTTTTGTTCGATGAAATCGTGATCAATTTTTGTTGATAAAATCGAGATTAAATCGCAATTTTTATTTCGAAAATATCGCGATAAATTGTTGGACGAAAAAAGCGCGATTTTATCACGATGAGATCGAGGACAAACACTCAGATGTTGATGATCCTGGCGATTTTATCGCCAATTAAATCGCAATACATGGGGATTTTCCCGTTGAGAAATGCTATTTGAGAGGGCACACATTCCCATAAGAAGTGTGCAGGGTCCTTTAGTAATGAAGATGTTGCATGTGTGAGGGATTTGCGATTTGACCATTGATTCTTATGTAAAAGTTTGCGAGAAACACGATGGTGCCACTGGTTTTCTCTGAAATCAACTCTCAAGCTCAAAAAAGCTCTCAAGTTGAGGCCAAAATGGAGGGGATATCCCACGCTACCCTGCGAGTCCACCTCTACATCAAAACAAACTCTCCATGCGAAGATAGGGAGCAAATACATTGGCAGGGTTGCCACTTTATTTGGGGACTCCAAAACTGAAAACACAGCATCACTGCTAATGTATTTGCTTCCTATCTTTGCATGGAGAGTTTGTTTTGATGTAGAGGTGGACTCTCAGGGTAGGGTGGGATATCCCCTCCATTTTGGCCTCAACTTGAGAGCTTTTTTTGAGCTTGAGATGATTTCAGAGAAAACCAGTGGCACCATCGTGTTTCTAGCGAACTTTTAAACAAGAATCAATGGTCAAATCGCAAATCCCTCACACATGCAACATCTCCATTGCTAAACACTTCTCCAAAAGAAAATGATGAGTACAATTAACTGTGCTGAACCTAGACTATTCCACAGAAAATAATGTATAAAATATACTGAACCATGAGGAAGCATTAAGTTTGCTTTAAGAGACGTGAAAAGAGTCTTCAAAGGAGTATTATCACTTGGATCGCATTCAGCAGAGAGGAACCAGTGCAATTACAGTGTTGTGTCTTCATATTCATCTAAAGAATTTTTCAAGATCGCGAATAGATTTTACTTTTCAACCAGAAAATTGTTAATTTTAAAGGAAAATGACCATGTAAATTCTAATTCTGTACATAGAACTGATATTTTTTTAAGAAAAGAGGAGGCTGCACAGCTTTGAAAACACTGTAATCGCACTGGTTTGCCTTTCTGCTGATGAATCCTCCTTCAGCAAAAAGGCTTCAATTTATTATGCTGACAAAAACACAGAATTAATAACCTATTTGAGGATCGGCAAAAGTGCTGTAGAATCAGTACGGCACTTTTAAAATGACCCATTCCATAATACATCAATGTTTATTCAAAATAATGATAGGAAGTAGATTAATTAGAAACAAAATTGACAATTGGGTAAATAAGTAAAATTGATAAGAATTATTCACGAACATTACAGCCTCTAACTAGCAGATGCTGATAGCTCATGTGAACTGAGTTCTTTCAGCACCTGACTGTCGACGATTTGATTACTGGAAGTCGTATTCTGGTTGCATAATGAATTATTCAAACTCTGTACTTCACGAGCCAGACTATCGATAATTTGAAAAGAATCTGGGTTACCCGTTTGTAATTTTTTTAGTTTTGAAGCTTGAAACTCCACAATATCTACTTCCTCCCACACTTTCTTCTCTTCTTTCAATAGTGTTTCCATGTAGATAGCCTGAGAAAAGAGAGAAGAACATAGTGTAGACAACTCAATCCTACAGGAAACGGCATTAGAGGGACTGCCCATAGTACGGAAGTTAGTTACTATATGTACTCCAACTTCTGCCAATGCAAAACCCTTAGAAAAGTGATGCCAGCTTAAAAGTGAATGCAGCTTCAATGCCTGTTGCAACTTTACACCTCAAAAATTTTTCTGTTTCATCAAAAAAATGTTAACCTAACTTTTAATGGCACCTAAAAAGTTGTACATGGCAACTATGCATGAGTCAGTTGCACTAGTCTCAAACTCGTGTTCTGATGGTTTTAACTCTGAGATTAGCAAAAATGAATACGATCCGTGCAAACACCAAATCTCTTTGTCCAATTATAACAGCATATGTCCATCAAAAAACATTAGCGTATTACATCATCCACAGTAGTAGTGGGTAATATGGCTTCTTCTGCCATAGTTTTAATTCATCTCTGTTAATATTATTATTATTGGATGTAGAAACTTGGCATTTGAACAGATCTTATTATTATTTGCTGATCTGTAAGGTTAAACCATCAAAACAAAATTTTACGACTAGCATAACTGACTCATAGAATTTTGTCCATCATTCCAAGCATTTTTTTTAGCTATTTAAGAGTCAAAGTTGATAAACAAATGCTGATGAGATTGTGCTTGATGGCTATTGCTGATTCTGACCTTCGGTTTGGTTCATTTCCTTCTTGTTAGTTAAAAATTAGAGATTTGGCCGATAAACTGAATTTGATACTACCATTGGAGGAGCTTTGGACAAATGGCTAGCTCCAACAATCTATCTGCTTGAGAAAACTTATTCAGCAGATCTTAAAATTACTCTCACAAAATTTTATCAATTTGTTTTTTTAAGGGACAACATATTTTGTCCGCATTATATTTTTTATTAATTATTTTTCTAATGTTACTAATGAATCCAGAACATCAAATTATGAATGCATTCCAATTTTTATGAGATTTGGTGCAATTCTGTTGCCAAAATGCAGGAAAAACAATTTATTTCCCTGAACGATGGGGAAAAAATTCATGGAGTAAAAAAGTATTATTTATTTTTGACCCGTAGAACCTTGGATCACTCTGCATACTTATTGAATGTTGAGGATGATTTAGAAATGACTTAACTTACTTGTTTGTAACGTAATTTCAAATTCTTCAGTTTTCTATCTAAGGCTGCCTCTTCATCCTCAGTATATTGGTGCCTTTGATATTCATCTTTTGGCAATAAAACATGATCAGGAATTGCGAAGCAACTTCTTATTTTAGGCTGGAAGTGAACAAGACAGTGTTACAATAAAATAATCTAGTTTCGATTTTTTAAATCACAATTCAAGCCATTGCGCAGCAAACCTTTTTTTATGTCCAGGAAAATCAGGGAATTTTTTAGGAAATTGATGCTAAATATCGGAAAGTTATTTCTCTGCTCTAAAATCAAATTATTCTGAAAATTGGTGATAGATATGTCTAAATTCGGCTTCAAAGAATTAGACAAAAGATGAAAATATTTGTTTTTCCTTCCACAGACTTTTGACGAACATCCACGAAAATCTTGGGGGTTTTTTTTCCAAAGACATTCTGGAGATGAACAAGTGGAAATCGAATCATAGTCAAGGGGTGCAGATCACAGAATGTTCACTAACCGACGATCGATCGGATGTTCAAAAATGGCGCAGGCAGTAGAAAATTTGCTTAGGCTATGACCTTGAATAATGGATGATATAAAATTTATTATGTTCTAATCAAAAACCGCTCCATTTTTGCTTACATCTTCCGAAGTTGTGTACGCATGCTACCCTACGCATTTTCACTGGGGTCTAATCTACCATGTTCGGGCACTTTATTCCATTCTATTATTCAATTATCCGATTCTAATAGAAACCAATGTCCTTTGTTGGCACAAAAATGAACTAAATCACTTAAAACCTATTCTTTAGGACGCAAGAGAGTCTTATGGGTCGAAATCTCAAAATCCGATTTTTTGACCCAACTTGGGAAAAAATAATTATTTAGTATCGTGTGATCCTCCTCTCCTGATCAAAAATAATCTCAAAAAATTTCCTGCAGAAATCTCAAGAAACATTGTCTCGGAAATGAGGTGAGTAAGAAGGAGCAAAACTTGGTGTTCGAGTTCTTCTTTGTTATTATGTTTTCTTTTGGAATAATTGAATTCTAACTCTAAAAAAAAAAAATCTATTAAACAGAGCAACTAATAGTGTCAGCAAAGTTTCACAGAAGACACACAAAAAATCCTCTGCATCCATACATACCTCAGCCAGTTCCAAAGGTTTCTTGGACTCCAGGACGTATTCATCTAACAATTTTGAGAGAACTTCTCTGATTTCTTCCAATTTATTGCTGCTCCTCTTTGAAATTGATCCTTGCCACGCAGATATACAGACATACAGCGAATCAAGCACCAACTCTTTCACTGAAATAAAAAGTGAGAGGAAGGGATGAACGATTGAAGAGGGAATAGGGACTAGGCCTGATCAATACATGATAACCTGAGATTTAAATTAATACCAATGAAATTACATGAAAGGACTAATATGAAATTCGGTGCCTGCAAAATTTTAATATTTTTCTATGCAAGGTTTCTTACAGCCTCCTGGGCGGAAAGAGCATTTAAAATTGAACTTCCTCGAAAATAATTGCTTTTCTCAGCAATAAAGTTCACTTTCTTCGGAATTTGTGCATGCAACTTCTGGTAGAAATATTGTGACATCTCATTAGTGATAGAAGAAATCTTATGTTTAAGCAGGCCGGAAAGATGAGAAATAAAATAGGGTGGTTTCTAGATAAATATAATAATTTTGTCGCTGTAACAGACAACACATTTTTCAGTCATATTTTTAGTAGTAATGATAATCACTCAAATTTTTTCATTAATCTACACAGGGTTACATGTTGAAACGCTTTTCAAAGATTTATCACTCTACTTTTCAATTTTGATACATAAATGGCTGAAAATGTGCTGTCTGTTACGCTAACTTTTTACCACGTAACAGACAGCACATATTTGGAATTAACATGATATTAATTGAGAAGTAGAGCATTAAATCATTAGAAAGTATTATAGTACGTAACCCTTTGAAAATTAATGCAAAATTATTCGAGTGATTATCATTTCTACTAAAAATACGACCGAAAAATGTGCTGTCTGTTACAGCAACATAACTATTCCAGTTATCATGAAACCACCCAATAGCACAGAGGGAAAAAAAAGGTGTATTATATGAAAATCTTGTTCTGGGTTGTTCCAAGACAAAAAAATTTCATGAATCAGTATGTATTCGTTCAACACCTCAAATGATAAAACAGAGAGGACAGTGCTGGTCTGGCTCAAAAATTTTTGGGGTGCTAATACATTTTCGGGGCCCCCATATGAAACCTGCCGAGGCCTTCCAAACCACCCGTCAGAATTTCTGGGGTGCTGAGGCACCTCTGAACGGTACCGCCCCTGAAAGTGGAGCTTATGGAATTGAAGTAGTATTGACAATGATTGTATACCTCCTTGCAAAACAGACTCAACCGGCATTTCAAAATGCTTATATTCATAGCTCATTCGGGGTAGCTCATTCGTTTCTTCCATGGCAGCTAGGTTTCGGAGAGTACAGAGCAAACACTTGATCAAAAGAAACACTAGTAAAAAGTACACTCTGAGAAGATGAAATTGGGTCAGTTATGATTTTTAGCGAGCAAGAAAATGAAATATTAGCAGAAAAAATTAAAAGTACTGCAACTTAAATGCTCCTGGAGGAGGCTTTGTTTGTTTTTTTTTCGTTTTCTTAAACTTAACCTCAATTTGAAATTTTTCCACAGCATTGTTTATTTTTATCGACATTGAATTTGATTGGCTCTTCAATTCGTTACCCGGCTTCAGTACCCAATCAGAAGCTACTCTTCAGATAAGCGCGGGAGTCCTGAACCAATAATGTGTGTTGTGTTGATTTTTCCCAAGCAATCTTGCAATCTATTTTTCCAATGATTCCTCTATTCGAACAAAAGGAATCTTAACCGCAAATTTTGAACCAGACGCTTTGATTGGTCCAGAGCGGTTCATACCAATTATTCCGAGTTGAACCAAAACAAGCGGGAATTTCAAATAATTCCGGATATCCTGTCTACCAAATCGTTTCCGTTTCCGGTAAACAGTGTTGTCAGTTTAACGGGCATTTGATAAATAAAACTGACAACACCGCTTTACCGGAAACGGAAACTATTTGGTAAACAGGATATCCGGAATTATTTGAAATTCCCGCTTATTTTGGTTCAACTCGGAATAAATGGAATGAACCGCTCTAGACCAATCAAAGCGTCTGGTTCAGAATTTGCGGTTAAGATTCCTTCAGTTCGAAAAGAGGAATAATTGAGAAAATGTATCAATTTGAACCAATTTGCGCAATCCAACATGTTTTTTCCTCCCCTCCTATCCATTATCCCTTGCAATATTTTATTTACTTTCTCTCTCATCCCTTTTTCCATAAACGTAGAATTACCATAATTACCAGAAACGTTCACGTTGTATTATAAATCTTGCCTCTTACAAATTACAACTTACAACTTAGCTGCCTAAGTGTTCAAAACAATTTGACGTCTTTTGTTTACATCGTACCTAACCTAAATTTGCTCCTCCCTCCCTCCCCTGCTCCACGCCTGCTCGCATGGGTATGTTGATGATCTTTAGATAATTGTAAACAATTTCTGCAGTGTCAACGTTATTGGTTCTTCTGTCTTCTCGTTAGTCATTCATTTTCATATCTTCATTTCTCTAAGTCTCAGTGCGCCGTACTAATAAGACCTTTTAGCTTCTCTGTCTGAGGTCTCGCAATCAAAGTTTCATATCAGTTTACCGACTTTCATTTGGGAGTCGTTAGTCAGACATCATGATCTAAGGTAAATTATTTTAACTTACTACGGGCTCCCTTTAGGCAGGTTCTTAAAATTGATCAGTACCGAAAAGCATTGGCCACGTCCATTCAAGCAGTTTTCAAACCCATCTTTTGACATGAATCATGGATTGTAGATTCATCATGCATTGAGGAAAGACAGTTCCTATGGCCTGACTTTCATCAGTATCTACTCAATTCTGGTTAAATTTGTCTGTAAAAAGTGTCCATTCATATGAATCCCAACTTGAAGTGAGTGCGAATTTGCATTCAGATCAAGTTCCAGTGTTATTATCTTACCTACAAGTCTGAAGAAACAATATTCCTTTAGAGCTCGCGCATCATATGTTGAGACAAACATCAAACTTCAAAGTATTGTTTATGTCATCATTCACCAGTGGTGCCACCTGATTGCACCTGACTGCGACTGCATGTATTAACCTGTTGAGTGGTGCAAATTCAGAGCTAACACATGATGTGCGAACTCTAGGTATAATATTATCATGATCGTTTTGAATTCCAGGATTGTGGCAAATACTCGATCCTGCAATCCACCGCATCTGTGAGGCATTTTTCTATGGTGATCACATCTATTTTCTAGTTAAGAACTGTATATCCAAAGGGGGAGGGGGGATTGCACCTGTTTTTTTGTTGCATTTGTGGGTTTTTTTTTCTTTCTATTTTTATGTTCTCAGGTTTTCTATAGAGTACCTGTGTAGCGAGGATATAGACAGCTGTGAAACTTGGAGAATCCATCAAGCCTTCCCTGATGCTTCCGCGAAAAAAAGTAGGGCCCAAAAAGGCAGCCAACCTAGGAATTCAAATTACCCGAAGTTGCGCCCACATAGTATTGCATTTTAAAACTTGTTGAGTGAAGAGAAAATTACAACGTACCATCAAGGTCTTTTCACGAGTTTTAATCTAGTTTCAATGATATGATCATCTAAGAGGAAATTGATTGAAACACACAACAACTGCCGTTTTGCAAGTTTCCGATCTGGATGTGATGGTTGGCAACAACTTGGCTTCGGATTTTTCAGGTGGAAGAATTGGCTAAATTTTTGGGCTCTAAGCCCTCCATGAAGCGAGCTGTCTATACTCTCGCTATACAGGTACTCTAGTTTTCAACTCTTGTGGAACCTGGAACAATGCGTTCTTGGCACACATCCAAAAATTTAAGAAAATTTTGATCACCACGTTGTGTTGACATTTTTGTGAAAACCCAGCCCAGTGCAGAAATCTGTAAAGGCCTCCTGGAAAATTGCAGAGGCATAGAACATTTTGCACCCTTGAATATGCATTTCTTAATTCGGATCACTAAATACGCATTCCACCCATACTGAAATGCTCCAATGGTTGCAGTGCCACTGTCGTACTTAATTTGATTTAAAGGGGGGGGGGGGGAACTGTCAACTTAATTAATACTTCTTAATGTTAAAGAGTAGGTATTTAAAAAAACTGAAAGTGCAAAAGTTGGCTTGTTTACCTTGCTTTTAGTGACCTACCTATCCATAGTTTTAAAAGCATTAAGCTAGCCCCTTCTCTGTTTACGTTGTGGTAAAGGTTCCATCTCAGTTCCTACAGTCTATAATTCTGTTCATTTTTAGGTATCTGCCAACTCAATAAGGTTAAAGACCCTCTTCATACAAAGTACAAAGCTTTTCAACAATATCTAAAACAAAGTACCTATAATTGGACTGCATTGAGCAAAAAGGAACCAAGTCACATCAGCCTTTGCCAAATTTCTTATTTTATTTTTTACTGTAGAACAGCAGCCTGATTGTTGAAATTTATGTCGGCACGACAAGAATCGAAAATCGATATATTACACTGCGCAGATAGGGCTATGTCTTGTCTTATCGTGCCGACAAGGCCAGTTAAAGTTTCAACAATCTGGCTGCAGTTTTGCAAATTTTTTTTTAAAATTTTCAGGGACTTGACTTCACTTTGGAAATCCTCCAAAATTTCCAGGAAGATCTACACTTCCGTTTTCCCGCCAAAAAATAAATCATCTAATGCAGTTTGGTAATGGTTGATGTGACTTGCTTCCTTTCAGTTTAATGTCACCCAATCATAACCCTCTACTTAGTACTTAGCAAATTAAAAAAATGAAGGTAAAATGAAGATAAAAAACAATATCATAGGAGAATGATATGACCCCTTCATTTATGACTGTTTATCTACTCTTGTGTAACAAGACTGATCACATGCACATTATCTTATCAGCCTAACAGCCTTTTTTTATGGAACTGTATTCATTACAGGTATGCTCGGGGTAATATGCCATTCTCAGCTATACTCAGAGACTGACTAGTTCATGAATTGCTCTTTTTTGTATCTCATCACTTTATTTGGAACTTTTTCCTTTTATTCTTGCTGAAAGAAAAGGGCAGGAGCTATCCCTAATTTTTGTATCACTCTTTATAGAACATTTGCCAGTATCTTGGAGAATAATGGGGGGGGGGGGGGTGTATATAGGAGTTGTAGGAGGGGTAGCCCTTCGTAGTGATTTTGAGTGATTTTCCCCTGGTTTTTTCAAGTACGTTTCTTATGTCACCTTGATTGATTTTGATGAATTGATGAGAATGAAGAGGGAGGGGAAAAAAGGTCTTAGTTTTTAAAAGGATGAATTGATACTCCTGTGCATAAATGTGATGGAGCATTCAGGAATGTTACAAGATGGTGAAAGGAAGTAGCTCGAAAAATCCCAAATTCCACATTATATAATTTAAGGACAGCCCCTATTGTGCCTTATTTACTTGTTGTAGAAAATTACCAGTTGGATTCACACAAAGCAATACTTAAGGGAAGCTTCTTTAGATATGAGTGAAATAAAATCAACTTAAAGTGGGATACTGGTAAATTGATGATTAGTCAGTTGCAATAGATCCACCATGAGCCTCTTTAAGTTCGGGGGGAAAAAAATAAATAATAATAAGAAACATTGTGTCGGGCAAAATGTCTTTCCCCAGACAGTTTTAAGAAGTAAGATGGAATTTTCGCTTTAAATAAATGGTTTTTTTTTGTTTTTTTTTTTTATTTATCTGTTTCAGATTGTGTCATTATATATTATCCAATGATACTTTGCAACAGCTGGTCATCTTTCATGGGGAAGAGGTCTCCCAGATGTTTTCCTCAGGTATTTTTAACTGTCAAATTGGTCTTCATTTTTAGGTATCTGGTTATTCAGGATTTGCCATAGAGCATTCATCTAATACTCGCCTGAAATGAATTTTAAACAAGTATAAAGAAAACTAAACTCCTGCACCTACAAGAATGATCAATTTTGCAAACATCTGCAGGATTGCTGATATTAGATTTCAGGTCTGATTGTGAATCAAATATTGCGGCAAAATAAAAAAAAAGAGTTTTAAATACCTTTACTCAAATACATTTTGCGTTGATGTACTCAAATATGTAAAGAGTTCAACATGTAAGATTTTGTGTTCACTGGCCTCTATTTTCTCGCCAAAAGTACATCATCTACTCTCATCAGTTTTCTGCTGTTATCCACTCTGCATAGTCAATTTTGAATACCATAAGTAATGTCAATGTAATGTTTTTTTCCCAGGCCGGTCATGGCCTAGCAGCCATGATATTAACGTTGTTAGTATGCATACCAACATTCCTTGCTGACACAGCATATGCACCGGAAGAGCTGAACTACTGCATAGATGGTCTTAACCATAAAAAAGAACCAGGCCCTGAATCAGATTTGTACAAAGAAGTAAGTTTTTTCACTTTATGCAGTTGAACTTGTTTTGTTTCGCAATGGACCACTAGACAAGGTACGAATTTAAGCATTCTGATACATGTTTTTTAATTAGAATTCCACCGAAAACACGATTTTTGCATTGAAAGTTACAGAAATCACCTCCTAATTAAGATATTCCCGTTTTTATTTTACATTGGTAACCGGAAATTTGAATTGCCCGGTCAAAAGAAACTCAATATTCTACGTGAATTAAATCGCGCACTAGGACGGTTTCGGCAGGCCTCTCAATCAAACATTGTTCCCTTCCCCCCTTTTACTGTTCAAAGTGTAAACAATTTGCTACAGCTAAGCCAAAGCGTCAAAATTGAGTTTGTCATATTTTCGTATACCGCAGAGACTGCCACGATAACGTTTAGTTTGCGATCTGACGTATGCAGACCATTGTATTTTTATGAACGGGAGGTTTAAATTCACGCGTCGAGAAACATTAAATATCTTAGTTAGGAGTCAATTTCAGTAATTTTCTTTGCAAGAATGTGTTCTACGTTAAATTTTGGTCAAGAAACATGTATCAGAATGCTTAACTTCGTACCTTGTCTAGTGGTCCATTGTTTTTGATCACATTGAAACTATCAAATATTGTAAGAATAGCATCACTATCTAATCAGTCCACTGTATAAATGACGTGGATTAATGCTCAAAATTGTAAATTTGTTTCAGTGTTCTCCGTGGAAACATAGATCATGCTGCACCTTCGATACAACCTACAATGCTCACCACTCGAACAACCATGGATTTAATTTTGACCATTGTAGCCATGTAAAAATTATGTCAGAAAGGTGTAGGAGACATTTCATTCAAGATTTGTGTTTTTATGAATGTTCTCCTAATGTTGGACCTTGGGTTGTTAAGGTAAGTTTTGAACTTAAATTTTAAGTGTAAACACACTTGCAGACATCCGTGACTTTAAAATCCTGTGAAACAGGCCACCTTTTAGACAAGGTCCTAACACGAAAGAAGCGGCACATGTTCCTTAACAAAATGCCGTCTTCAATTAAAGAAAAATTTTATGACTGGTTATTCAAAAAAATTTCTTCAGTACCTAATTCAAAGATACCCATGCTTAATAAATGAGTTTTTAGAAGAATTTTTTTTTATTTTTTTTATTGAAACATGTATTTGAAAATCATTTATGTTTAGGTTTTTAAATTTATAAAATAAACAAACCTTGACATATTTATTTGTAAGTCCTGTTTATTCTGTGCCTAAGCAAATGAATGAAGATATTACTATTATCATGTTTTCCTCTCAAAGTCTTATGTAAAAAAAAAAGATTTACTTACACAAAGGGAAATTCGATCATCAATTCCTGAACGAGATATATTATCAATTATTTTTAAAGTTAGAATCTGCAATGGAGATGTTGCACGTGTGAGGAATTTACGATTTGACTGTTGATTCTTATGTAAAAGTTCGCGAGAAACATGATGGTGCCACTGGTTTTCTCTGAAATTAACTCCCCAGCTCAAAAAAAGCTCTCAAGTTGAGGCCAAAATGGAGGAGATATCCCACGCTATCCTGAGAGTCCACCTCTACATCAAGACAAACTCTCCATACAAAGATAGGGAACAAAAACATTGACAGGTCTGCCACCTTATTTGGGGACTCTAAAACTGAAATCACGGCAACCCTGTCAATGTATTTGCTCCCTATCTTTGCTTGGAGAGTTTGTCTTGATGTAGAGGTGGACTCCCAGGATAGCGTGGGATATCCCCTCCATTTTGGCCTCAACTTGAGAGCTTTTTTTAAGCTTGGGAGTTGGTTTCAGAGAAAACCAATGGCACCATCGAGTTTCTCGCGAACTGTTACGTTAGAATCAACAGTCAAATCGTAAATTCCACACACATGCAACATCTGCATTGATCTCGTCTATATTTTTGTCATTTAACTAATGTTAACTGTAAATACTTATGTCTTGTTCAGAATTTGATTTCCAAGGCTTCCTGTTGTGTGACTTGTTTCCCTCGTAAAATTTTGAAGAGGACTCATGTTGCATTGTTCTTTAATTCACACCTTGTCTAGAGGTGCATTGCATCATTCGCTTGTCAAGTGTAGGGGTTTGAATGTACAAAGATAATTTTCAAAGAGGTTCCTAGTCCAGGTTATCTCAAGTCGTGTCTTAAAATTCTGGCCATCCTATCTGTACGCAACAGTCAAGACAAGTGAGTTTGGCTTGATTGAGCTGAAATTAGATGCATGTATGCAAAGAAAGTCCATTCACTATACAAGCGATTTGAGAGAGAACCTGTCTGTCCAAGGGACTGTTGGATTTGAGATTGGAGGCTGGTTTAAGCTGACTGTTGATGTGTAAGAGCTTCCATAAATGGTGGACAAAGGAGATTATCAACCAACCTTATGGAAATGTTCGGTATTTTTACAAATGAAAAGTCTGACACTAGGTAGGCAATAATGACTTTCTAGCTCTGGCAAAGCCTGCTAATCTTAATTTTTTTCCTCAATTGTTGGTATTGTGCACTACCATTTATTTCGCTAACAGAGAATTTAGGAGTTCTGAGATTTATAACTTGTGGAGGTCATCCAGTTTCTTACAGTTCAAAAAATATTTGGTGAATCCTTCTACTTGTAGGAACAGTGGTTTTGCTCACAAATGGAAATTCTATCAAACAAGGAAAAAATAAGTGATTATCAATAATAGAAAGGTGAAGATGATGAAATAAAAATTGTGTAACTGGTGCTAGTTGAGTCATTTAGTTAAAGAATAACTCAACTCTGAGGAAAAAAAATGAGAAAAGCTAACAGGAGCCAATGGTTTTCAATAAATTAAGAGCTTGTATGACATGTTGCTAACCTCCTATCAAATTGAAACTAACAGGCAGCGTTCTCAAAGTTATCGATTTTTTTAAAAAAGATTTTATCAGCAATTGAAAATTCTAATGATGGCTCCTTTCAAATCGGAACAAAATTTGCCAATGTTAGAGTCCACGCCAAATAAGTTTATGCACTTTTAGACTGCCAAAGAAGATTGTATGACGTTGCTATTACACGTAAAGCAAATGCAAGAAGCAAGGTGGCGGATACTCTGTTGCAGTCTAAAAGTATGAACTTGTTTGGCGTCAACTTTAATTTTTTGAGAGATTATAAATAAATTTTTAAATAAAAACCTAAATAAACAAATCAGTAATTATAAAATTAAAAGTCGTATGAGACTCTGAAAATAATTCCTCTGCAATAAAAAAAAGTTCTTGAATTTTTTGAAAACTCTACGATTCAATTAGGTATGGAAGAAGCATTTTAGAAAATAGAAAATTGTCAAGAGCCAACATCAGAAACCCTTTTCTATTCCATTCTTCAACCGTTACACTCTATCAGTAAAATCCTCTGTTAATTCTGCAGGTTCCACACAAACAAAGCAAAGAAAGGTTCTTTGAGGTGCCTTTATGCCAAATTGATTGTGATTCCTGGTTCGATGCTTGTCGACACGATTATACATGTGCAGAAATTTGGGGGCGTAATGGTTTTCAATGGAAAAATCACACCAACTATTGCAAGGAAAGTTCAACATGTCGCACGTTTGAGGAGGTCTATAATAACAATGCCAAAAACTTCTGTGAAAAGGTAAGCTTAAGCTTTTGAAGAAAAAACCTCAATGCAGCTCCTACATGATGTAGGGAATTGCGTTTTAATTACTTTGCTTTCAGCAGAATTGTTCAAAAAATATAATTGTTTTCTCTCAAACAAACTTTTAAGCTTAAAAATATCTCTTAAAGTTGAAGTGGTAATGGAGTGTGTATAGAATGAAAAACTATACACCTGGAAGAGACTCAGTGTCAAGCAATACCAAAGACATAAAGACGGAGTGCTCGTATCTAAAAGCACAAGGAAAAAGTGAAGCCTGGTTTGGCGCTGGGTGCTTGTGTGAGTGTGTAAATGAGCGTGGGAATCCATGGCGGCAAACGGAAATTTGATTTGACCTTTTCCTCTTGATTTTTCCACATTTCTTCTTCTAAACGTGTTTTAAATGCCTGCAAAGAATGTATTAAGAAAGTTGGGACATTGAATTTTTGTAATATACCTACTTTTGCTCGGTAACAGGCAGTCATCTCAGATAAATTTAGTTTTTCTTCTGCTCATGGTGATCCTGCTGGTTCAAACTGGCCGTTACAGTCCTAGATGACCGTTACTCCCAAATGAAATTAATTGGTCGATGACGGACCAAAAATAACTTAAAGCTAAGAAAATATATGTCGGTAAGTGAATTTGGGCCAAAATCAACCTAGAATACTTTGTTAACGCAATTTTATTCAGTTCCCACCCTACATTTGAATTTCAAACTTGTCCTGATTTTGCCGCCAATACTCTAGCCAACAGTAGAGGTGGTTGAAAAGAAGCTTTAATTTTTTGCTTTTAGAGCTCCGTCTTTATGTCTTTGAGCAATACCTGAGGGAAGGTGGAGATACAGGAAAGCTGGAGAAAAGCGTCAATAGTGGTGAAAACTGCCTCATTGAGGACACCGCACCAAGAACAGCCTATAACTGGAAACCGCGTTTGAGAAAAACGCATTTAAAGTTTTGTTTTTGATGTACTGCGCAGACTTTTCTATGCAGGTAGCCTGTTTTGGTGTTTTTGGGTGACCTAACCCTTCTATTGAAGGATGCCAGGTAGATTTTGCAATACATTTTGGGTTTACACTCTAATATATTTAATTTAAAAAAGCAGTTTATAGGCCATTATTACGCCCAACAGTCATTTTGGTGGCAATTTGAAGTATAAATCATTTTAATCACACATGATTAACGCAAAATGAAAGAATATCGATAGTGAGTAAGGAAAGGGGTAACTAGCACCTTATAGGCCCTTGAGTTTATAGGCCCGTTTATAGGTCGTTCTTGCACCCATCGATCCAGAGGCCTGACTTAACTCGGGAAAAAAAGGTTTTTCGGCCTCGAGCCGTTACTTATCTATATTCTATCGCTACCACAGCATAGTCCAGGGTACGTAGAATCCGAAAAGCAGATGGGCGTAATAACGACCTATACACCTATAGGCTGTTCTTGGTGCAGTGTCCTCAATTAAGAGTGGCAGCGCTTGCTAGAGGAACGCCGAACTAGACTTCTGGTGTGAAATTACTGAAATTAGCAATTTTTCAGATATTAGAGTCTTTGAACCTCTGTCCACTTGCAACATTGGTGCAGCTGATCAAGTGACCCCTGAACTTTGGAATATGAATTGGTATTCTCCAAACCATATACCTCTCAAGTGTCACCTGTGTCTCTTCCAGGCATATAATTTCATGTTATAGCCTATGTTACAGTGAGAGCCCGCACCTCCATATTCAGTCAAACTCTGCATGCGTAGGGAAGCCTGTGTCACACTATCACAATACTCCGTCAAAAGTGCTGGTCAAGTGCTGTTATTGGTCCAAGTTATCGAATAAGCCGATCACAACACCTGACCTGAATATTTTGATGGCTAGCTTTGATAGTGTGACACAGGCTTTAGGGAGCAAGTACATCAGTATGGTTGCCACTTTTTGTGGGGACTCCAAGGATACAACCACCGCAACCCTCTTAATGTATTTTCTTGGTATTCGTTCAATTGCTCACGGAGAATTTGATTTGATGTAGAGGTAGATTTTCACTGTAATGTAGGTAATCGCTTTCACTACAACCTCCTGTAGCACAATCGTCTTTCGTGCAAAATTTTACACAGGGATAAATACTTAACTGGCAAATCCCTGTTGAATGCAAGAGTTCCATTTTGTCCCAAATGTTGATCTTTGAAAAAGGACAATAATCAAAATTGGCCGATAGATTATCTAGCTCAAATCAGTTCATGCCATTATAATGAACCACGTTCATTGATCAATTTATGACATTACAGATCTAGTGGTAATTCCCAAAGTTAGCCTCGTGACATCAAGCTTTGTTGTTGTCAACAAATACCAATACAGAATTCACAAAATTCGTAACGCTAACTTTCGAGTCAAGTTGTTTTTGAAACTTCTAATTCTTTCATACCTGCGCTTTTCTACCTTGCCAGTTGTATGAACCAGTATGGAAGGGTTCTCCCCCCGTTTCAACCGGGATGCGGTCGTTGGTGTCAAACATGCTTGAGTGGCCAGCGATTGCCAGAGTCATGTATGCTTTTTTGGGAGAAAGATCGATGGCCACAGTAAGAAACCACGTATCTCCGTTTGCAAAGTTTTAGACCTCCTGTCATACTTCATTTTTTCTTTGGAAAACTACTCAACATAATTTCTTGAAAACTTCTTTCATTTCTCTACTGTGTTTTCAGAATATATTCTGTATAAATTTCAATTTTTGAAGTTGGCTTGTTCCGCTTATAAAAAATAAAATTGAAGCAAACTTATCAAAACCTTGTAATGGAGATACGTAGTTTCGCACTTTTGCCATCGATATGTACCCAGAACCTCGAGGCAGGCAATGTGTTAATATTTTTTTAAACCTAATGTATCCTACCCACTCAATATTCACTCATCTGATTAATTAGGTATGGGATTACTCTTGGAAAGTACTGAGCGATGATCAACCGTGTATGAGGATGTGGTTCAACAATTCAATGGACAATCCAAATGATCGCGTGGCGTGGAACTACGTTTACAACGTCAGGAATAACGCAGATAGCCATGGATCTGCGTTTCTCATTTGCAGTGTTATTTCAGTGTTGCCATTCTTATACTTCCAGTCCCAACAAAATCTGTGATCGCTTGATTCACCTTTTACCATTGAAATTTGCTTAAAAAGAGTTTCATTATCATGATGTACCTGAGATAAAATGCCTCTTCGATACTGCAGTTGAAATAGTGAAAGGACTCCGCACACCTCTTATGGGAAGCTGCACCATGAAGAATTGTCTTCTGACTTATGTCATTCGATTCTCCTCAAGATGCTGATCTAAAGTTTTAATTGCGCCAACTTTCTACGATGCACCGTTTTCGCAAAAAACCTATGAGAAGATTCAATTATTTGGCGACTATGATTAAAAAAGAACAAAGCATTTGAGAACAGGCCCGATGTCAATGAGGAAAAAACGGAGTGCGTGTCCGTCTTCTTATCTGTACCTGCCGACGCAGGGGCTATCTCCCTCCCGCACTCGCCCGGTAGACGTTCAGACTTTCCTGTTCTTATGCTCCTCAAGAATCTGATTTGGATGGTGGTCGAGCAAAACGGCGCGCGGAATCCGAGATAAGACTGCCGCTTGGTGCGGGAGTCCCCATGATTTCCTTGTTGACACACAGCCGCCTGTCAATCGAGCACTGAAATGAGGAATCTTTCTAGCTTTTTATCACCGAATAATTGAATCTTCTCATAGGTTTTTTGCGAAAACGGTGCATCGTAGAAAGTTGGCGCAATTATAACTTGTGATTAGCATCTTGAGGAGAATCGAATGACACAAGTCAGAAGGCAATTCTTCATGGTGCAGCCTCCCATAAGAGGTGTGCAGGGTCCTTTCCCAGTTTGAAAACCTTGCTCGTAAACTGTTCCTTGAAGATAAAGATCTTCGCCCTTCCAAAGTTCATTGTCATTTGTTGTCAGACTTAGCTCCTGGGAGCAAAATAATGTCTCGAGTAGACAAAATGAATGTGAAAGTGTGCAGTCACTTTGTTTTTAGACTTCAGAGTTTTTACTTTTTTAATTTGCTCACTGATGTTTATCAAAGTAGATTTAATTTTTTTTAAGAAACAATTCAATTCAAGCTAAGCAAGCTGTTCTTTTTGTCAATTTACTAATTGTATTTGAATATCTACTACATTATACATCCCAATCGACAAATTGTGAAATTTTTTGGGCTCTAGCCATAAGTTATGTGATATTGTTGTTTAATTTGTTTCTTAAGTAGTTTTAATGGATTTTTTAATTGCTGCCTGCTCATTCTGTTCTCTTTACTTTTTACACTGCGAAATAATACATATCTTTTAAGACACTCGATTTCAACTTTCTTGGAACCTTAGGAACCTTTGATATCCATGGCCGAAGTGCGGAACTGTGTATCCTCGTCTGCAACATTGCAGATTTCTTGTCATACTTTATAGTTTCTTGTGAAAACTATTCTACGTAATTTCTTAAGAACTTCCTTGATTTTCTTGTCAGTTAGCAGAATACTCTGCATAAATTTCAAGCTATGAAGTTTACATAATTTCACTTGAAAAAATAAAATAGGAGTTGAATTTTGAAACATCACATTGGAGGTACGTCGTTTCAGCTTTTGGTCACAGCTGAACTGTAATATCACATATCAATAGCTTAACTCAGGAACAATGCCTTTTGTTTTTGCATGAGACAAGACACGTGAATATTTGTGTCTTGCTGCTTGAGCAGGGTGTCTACTGAAACAGGCAGTATTAAAAAAAATCTACAAAACTTAGTACTTTTACGGTACTTTTTCAGTACATACCCAAGAAACTCAGTACCTCCTCAACAGAGAAATTCAGTACTTCTTTAGTACCTTCATCGGACGAAAGTCGAAATTTCAAAAATTTGAATTTCCCGCTCGAATTGCGACAAAAATTTCAAAAATTCCGAACAGTTTTGCGGAATTTCCGCACTTTTTCAGTACTTCCAGACTGCCCATAAAAAAGCAGTACTATTTCTGGACTCTCCGGAAATTCCTGACTTGTGGACACCCTGTTGAGGCTTGACCCTCAATCATATTTTATTTTTCCACCAGGAAACTAATAACCCAAAATATGCATCCTTTTTCTCCTATGATCAAACATTATTATGCAAATCATGAAAAATAAAATCGTTCTGTAATCTATGAAAATCTCCAAACACAAAATTGGTTTGATCCCTTTTGAAAAAGATATTAGAATTGAAAGTACCCAAGATCTGAGTTTGGCCATTGATATGTAATTTTTCTGTTCTGATCAAAAACTTCGAGTTTGAGAGGAACATATAAGTGGACAATTTATAGACTTCAAGAAAAGGAAGCTCCCTGGAACAAGAGACATTCTTGACTATGAAAAACAATAATTCCGGTACTTTTTTTTTCATCGATAAGCTATGAATTGGTGTCCAGGGAAGGAGAAACGTTCACCATTCCTTTAGAACTGATCAATACCTGCAACACAAATTTTACTTTTCACATTTGAAATTTCCAAAAGTCGTAGCACAGTACTGAAAGTTCTTTATTTGAAGCACATCGATAGTCAAAGTGCAAGACCATGTGTCTTTGTTATAGCGACGTTTTGGACTTCTTGTCATTCTATAATTTTCCTTAGGAAGTTAACGTAGTCAACATAATTTCTCAAAAACTTCCTTGATTTTTCTGCCCTATTGGCAATAAATTTAAAGCTTCAACGTTGGATTGTTCCTCTTTGAAAAATAGAGTAGAGGCGGAAATTTTGAAACACCGCAAAAAGGGTGCATGGTTTTGCTCTTCGACCATTAACATGTCACTCGACACAAACGCAAAACAAAAGGTATCTTGTGAAAAATGAGAGATAGTTTATTTAAAATAAAAAAGGGACTTATCACAGAATAGGATCTAAATAAGACAAGTACATGTTGTTCGTTTGACGACTTTGTGGAGGTAACATTTTGTTTATAGCATTCAAGTTACTCAATGCCGACAGTAACATTTGCTTTGCTACATCGATTGTTGTGACGTTAATATTTTTCATCCAACTTTCAACCATTGTGGTTTTCTGTCCTTGAAATAGGTACAGTACTTTTGACACACATTTTTGCATTAGTGATACTGGCTTGCCATCATCAATTTCAGCATTTACAAAGCAAGCTAAATCATTATCAACGATCCAAAGTAACAAGTAATTTGTTTCATTTTCCTCGACCCGCGACTCAACGACAATTTTTATAGACCCAAAGAAAGAAGTTGAGGCTACATGGCTGATCGTTTGGCGAAATTGTCTATACGCAATTTCAAGGGTTTCAAATTGCTTTTCATCTGACAAAACAGTGGAACAGTCCCAGAGCTTGAGAATTTTATTACTGAAAGTTCCGAGCCAGGAGAGACATCTTTCACAATGAAGAATATTCAAGATGTTGGCATTGGTTGGCTGCAGGAGTATGTAAAAATTCCCGTAAAAACAATCCTCAGCACCGGGGCTTAAACTTGCTTTAGTTACACTATCAGAATGATCATGACAAAAAAATTCACTCTTGTCCAGCACACCGGATGGCAAAGGCAGTACTCTCCTGAAGCTTAAAGTTGGAAAAATTTCATGGTCACAGCATCTGCACTTGATCGAAATTGGATAGTTTTCCTTGAAAAATGGCTTAAACTTAAAATTGTCAGACAGGCCTGCGAGAGAGGTAGAGAATTTACTAGAGATAATTTTATCCAATTGAACGCGGAAGTTGATGACCGAGTCATAGACTTCTAGCGAGGATATCGTATCAGGTTTAAGTATCACAAAATCCACTTGGATTGTATCTTCAGTTTCATCCACGTAAATCAGATGGATTGTAGTGTCCTTCAAAGAGAGGTGTTTCATCTTCTTCTCGGATTTGATAAAAACATAGCAGGTTTCCAGTCTGGGCAAAATCTCGATGAAGACTTTGGGCTTCATATCTCTGCCTTATCAGTGATTCCTGGAAAATAAATGAAAATTTTGTGTTGATACCTGGAGAAAAATTATACTTTCGGAGCTTCTCTTAAGTTTGCCAAGATCATTATATTATTATTTTCCTAAAACTGGAATATTAATGAACCAAAGTTTGGTGATGGCTTGAAATGAACCCTGCATAAAAACAAAAATATAATTTTTTAAATTGGAAAATGTTCCGCTTCTGCCATTAAATAATATGAAACATATGAGCAAACAAAATGTAATAATCAAACTGCAGTCACATAGTTAAGAGGTCCACTATGAAGAGAAAACAAAAATTTTTAATTACTGAAAAATACAGGATGATCCAGACCACTCGTCCACTATCTTTTTCTCGAAAACGGCGGAGAATTGAGCTTTGGGACAAAAACTTTCATGGGGTGAATCGACCCCAAAGAATCGAATGAAAATATTTTCATCCCCCCAGAATGGCCCCTTGGGGGAGTTTCGGGGGGGGAGCCCCCCCGTTTCTCGCAATTTTCAAATAGGAAGGGTATGTTTTGACTTTGGATTCGGAATCTACGGTAAAAAATAAGAACATTTTGTTCTTTGCACTTTTTCCCTAAACCCCCATTTTTTGGAGTTATGGGGCATTTTTGGGGCAATTTTCAATTCGACGCTGTAAGCGGCCAAATAGTCCAAATTTCAAAATCTAAAAATCTCCTGAGAGGAGAGGTCGATACCTTTTTATTGATGTGCCACATGACCCCTGTTGTTCCAAAATTTTGGGGGCCACGACCCCCCAAAAATTTTGGGGCTTTGGAGGGCCGTAAGTCGAAAATGTTAAAAGGCAAGGGTATGTTTTGACTTCAGATTTGGATTCTGCGCGAAAAGTTACGTAAAATTGATATGGCCCATGGCCTATATGCTCCAAATTACTGAAGAACCCCATTTCCCCATAAGAAGCCGTGTATTTTTGGAAAAAGGGGTAAAAAAAAAATTGAGCAAACAGGCCATGCGCCATAACAATTCTACGTAACTTTTTGCGCAGAATCCAAATCTGAAGTCAAAACATACCCTTGCCTATTAACATTTTTGACTTACGGCCCTCCAAAGCCCCAAAATTTTTGGGGGGTCGTGGCCCCCAAAATTTTGGAACAACAGGGGTCATGTGGCACATCAATAAAAAGGTATCGACCTCTCCTCTCAGGAGATTTTTAGATTTTGAAATTTGGATTATTTGGCCGCTTACAGCGTCGAATTGAAAATTGCCCCAAAAATGCCCCATAACTCCAAATAATGGGGGTTTAGGGAAAAAGTGCAAAGAACAAAATGTTCTTATTTTTTACCGTAGATTCCGAATCCAAAGTCAAAAAATACCCTTCCTATTTGAAAATTGCGAGAAACGGGGGGGCTCCCCCCATAACCCCCCAAGGGGCCATTTTGGGGGGCTGAAAATATTTTCATTCGATTTTTTGGGGTTGATTTACCCCATGAAAGTTTTTGCCTTGAAGCTCAATTCTCCGCTGTTTTCGAGAAAAAGATAGTGGACGGGTGGTCTGGATCACCCTGTATAATTTCAAAATAATTTTACATCCTTGCAAAACTTACCCTCGGCTTTATATTGTGCAAAAAGTGGGTCTATTTCTGGGAGAGTGAAACACAGAGTTGCATCCCGGTAATAAAAGGGGTATGCTTCCAAGTTAGTGATAACGGAACTCAAAAGATGTCCTCTTTCAACGGATGTGCCTGGAACACAGATTCATGAGAAATATTAACATTGATAAGTTTACTACTACACCAATCCATTAAAAAACTGTAAAATTCCAGTTTGGAAATATGAAAACAGGATTTGGCTAAAGAAACAGCACCGCATTCAATACCTGTATCTATCGTTTCCCAAATTGACTGTGATACTTTCTGTGGCAAAACTTTGTTTTTATTTCATCAAATTTTGCTAAGTTTTGTTTGCTAATAATTTTTTGGACTCATGAAAAAGGTTTTTAGCCATTTTTTCAACTTGAGGGCTTGTAGGAAATACTTAATGCNGGGGGGGGGGGGGGGGGGGGAGCTAAGCCTGCATTACGGGAGTGGTACTTGGGGCTGCATTACAGAAGAATGGGCGGGTGGCATCAATTTTTTAAAACCTAGTATGAAAAGTCAATGCAAGGTTAGAATTTTTCATCCAAAATTCATCACAAAACGCTCACTGAGACATCAAATTGAGCATTGTAAATATGTATGATTTCTTAAAGGAGATAAAAACCAGTGTTATGGTAGCGTTACAAGAAGGGGGATCAAAAAATCATTTTCAGCATTATTCCTTTAAAGGTTGGCCCCTTAGGATCGATATTTGTCAAGATTTTTAACATAATAGATATGACATATAGCACACCAATTTGGCCACTACCAGCCCTTACAATGAATCATTGTAACTTCGGTCAAAATCAAAACACCCGATAGGTACCGTTTATCAAAATTCTAAGTTTAGAAAAATAGTATTCTATGAATGCTCTGCAAGTATTGTTAGCTATTACAAGAAATGCTAATCCTATGGAAGAGAACATCAAACACACCTGGCGCTTCAAACTGGATACTTGTAAAGTGGATGTGCAAATGATAGAAAGATGGTTGATAATGGAAATAGATCCTGAGACGGCTTTTCGGCAATTTATACTTGTCTTGAATCGTTTTCTGAAACAGATACGTTAAGATGTGAGGATTTGAAGATTTCATTTTCCAACAAAAGAAAACCACTCGGTTTTTATCCAAAACTGTAGCTACTTGACACATATTTTGTACTTAACTTGATTTGTACAATCGTAATATTTCTTGCAAAATTTGGGTAATAATTAAAAAGAAAAATATGGGCAGAGTAAAAAATATCTTGGAGCTGACATTTAATGAGACTTTTGACTCACATGATCTAGGCAGTATTCTCAGCACTAAGGCACTTACGGCAAATAATGCCCAAATTTTAAGAATGGAAACAACGAGAATGAGTATAAAAGAAACGCATTATGTCGCATTTAAGGAAAAATTGAATTGAGAGTAATTTTAAATTCGACCACCTACTCGTAAATTTTCTCCTGTCAAAAATTCAAGGTCAAGAGAGAATATTCTTAATGTAGAACTTTGTCCCTAACATTGAGACTCATGGAGGAACAAACTTTCATTCCTCTTTCCCTCTGTTAAAAATTGAACATGGATATGTGCGCTTCTGTTAGACTCTAACTCAATTACTTCGACCTGAGGATGTTGCGTAAGGATATGAGGAGAATATGAAGTTTTATACAAAAATATTTAAAAGTATGAGTAGTTTCGATTTGAATGTGAATCTTTGAACCACATAGACAAGCTGTTTCTGGAAATATAAATTGCAAACGACTTACGATTCCTTTCTGATAAATGTTCTTCAACAACGGTAAATGTTCACCCGTCAGATCTCGGAGAGATTTGATGTCTCTTCGTCGAATGATGGCCAATAAGTACAAAGTTTCAACACTGACTCCGTCCCACTTCAGGTCTGGTAGTAAGACAAACCCAGTTTTTTCATCATCATCTTCAAATACGATCCTTTCTTGCTCGGATTTGTGATCTAAAATATTGTAGACCCACTACAAACAGAAACAAAGGTAAGTGATCAGCGGCATTACAATCAGGTGATATGGGAATTGACGACTGGAGAATTTTCACTGAAGTTAAGATAACTTCCTCAATGCAGATTGATAGGGTTGAATGTGAGAAACCACAAAGCCAGGATGTTATTTTGATATTATTTTATTTTTTACTTTGGCTTGGTGGTTTCTCACATTCAACCCTATCAATCTTAACTGGTGTTACTGTGATTCTCATCACTATGTTCAAATATTCCTCAATGTAGGTCTATCAAAAGGTGGAATTTACTCATGGGTATTTTACTACAATATGGATAAGTTTCAGAGTCTTCACACCAATTTTAGGGGACAGCATCTACAAAACTCTAGTTAGTTCAAATTTTTCTCTGCTCCTTTGGAATTCAAATTATTGAGAGTTGACTGTGATATAATCTACTTCTTGTGAGACTCGAGCTTTGAACTACTGATTGTCAATTAAATGAATTTAAACTTTCAATAGTAGCTTCAAATTCATAAAAAGTTAGGGTACTTTCCTGTAATTTTTGATGAATATGAAAATAGCTACTTTGACATTCGATTTGTGAAAAAATTATAAGCTTCATGTTGAAAAAGCAAATTCTCGCCTCCAACAGACCCGTTGGTTCTATTATGATGAGTACTACTATTCTCACCTCCAGACTATTCTGAGTTTTTAAAATGTGTGGTAGCGTCAAGGAATCATACAATGCAGGAGTCTCTTCGACAATATGGATAACTTGAGATGCATACTTCTGAATTAGTTTTTCAGTGGCAGGGTAGATGATTGTAGCATTCAGACCTGAAATAAAAGTTGACATAATGGGTCAGTGGCGACTATTTTCTTTCATTCATTTTCTCAGAAACTACATAAGTTGAGCTCCTGGTAATGTTTTAAGAGAAAAGAAAGAAAAATTAGGAAATTGATACGGATATGAAACAAATGAAATTTACCTGATAGAAAAGTCTATCTTACTCTTAACAGTGGCCTAATGCAGAATTAGTCAAAATGAACCAGTCAGAACACAATCCCTTCTGCTGCTTGAACCTTGCCTCAATATTAGTATTAAACCAGTGATGAATTATTTTTTTTTGGAAGTTCTTTCATCATGCTGTTTCTACAGTAAGGGTTTTTCAGGATCAGCAGCACCTATCGCCGATCACCAAATTGATTGGATAGTGCTGACACCATGAAAGGTAGAGCCACTGCTAGTGGATTTCGTACTACCAATCAGTGATCAGTGAAATCTTTGCAATCAATGCAAGTAATTCTATGAACAGGCCTGCTGTGTGCCAAAGTCAATGAGGTTTCCCACAACGAGAAAATGATATCAGGCTAGCTACTCGCCAGAGTAAGAATATTATTGTCTGTAAAGACATTTCTGCTCGGCAGCCAGTGAGGCTAAACCTATATCTCAACCATATATAGGGACGGCTGATATCAGAAAATGTCAAACATTTTAAATCAATCTTCTTTTACAGAGAAACAGGACACCTTTAATGCTTGAAATTCTCAGAGAATATAGCTTTAACACAGAAAAAAATTCACTGAGATTTTCAATCAATTACCTATACATACCTACATTAATTTTCAAATTAAAAATTGCAGTAAAACCAGGTTTTACCTTGGTTTTGCAACATCGCATCTGAATATATCTTATTTCTGCTGAACCATCCAGATGGTCAACAGAGAGCAATGCTAACCACGTAAAAACCAATTGGTAAAGGTGGGTCTAGGTGATCTAGGGCTGAGATCCGCCACCATGCTGCGCTGCCTCACGGTATACGTCTTTGAGAAGCAATAATTATCATAATGTACAAGATAATGCAAGAAACAGTTCCATAATGCGTAGCATCATTCATACTCAGTAAAGTGGCATAAAATTTGTTGAGGTTCATCATAAATTTATACCTGAAACTGCGATAACTGATATCTAGGTATTTGATTTTCGTACGTGCAAAATGTATTTGTCATACCAAACAAGTGTCACTGTATTATCACTATTTCTATTTTTGGAATACTTTTTATTTTATAATAAATAAATAAATATTGGATGTCGCCCATTGACTCAATGGGTAACGTCCGTTATCGTAGTTTCAGGTATAAATTTACAATCTACACAAATTTGATGTCATTCTACTTAGTAATAATACTGCTACACATTATGGATCAATTTTTTTGCTTTTTCTTGTTCGTGACAATAATTATTGCTTCTCAAAGATACAAACCGCATAACAGTAGCAACGTAGTGGCGAATCTTGTACCAGAATCACCTTAAGTAGATAAAAAATTTCCTTACCATTTAAATGAGGGTCAGGATAGCAGTTGTACTTGTGGAAAATGTCATTGATGAACAATTTCTGCAGCTCTGAGCTCTTAGTGCAAAGTGCTTGCAAGTCTTGCTCATCGAGAGCTTTCTTCTCAAGCACAAGTACAGCACTACCTTCTTGGTCTTGAAGAGAGCCTTCAGCACATATGAACTTCGTTTTGGAATTGACGTTCAGAATCCGCTTGAAGACGAACTTCGACAAATCTTTGAACTCAATGGCACTGGTGTTTACAGATTTAGTTTCCTCTCCATTGCCATGAGGGGTTTCAGGCATCTTTAAATGGACGAAAGTTGAAGGAATCTGAATTTTACGTTCTCGACGTTGACTGGGATCAAGTATCTAGCACGTGAAAACAGAAAATTTAGAGACGGTTTGGAAAAGATCCGACTTCACAAGCAAAGCTATTCACAGGGTATGCTTGGGCTGGTTAGACGCAACGCGACTTAGCGATACACGGAACTTGAATGATTAAACTTATAATGATAATGAGTATATTAAGAAGATGAAAAGGGAAAATAAAATATTAAATTACTGAGAAATATTTGGAGTCCACAGATTGGTAAAGATAAAGCAAACTTAGCAAACTGCAAGTTCAAGATGTAAACATAACCACATTTCTTCTGTTTCCGGTTCGGTTCATTTTTCGGGACCGGAAATTAGATTATGGACCGGACTTGACATGGCGGGAATTTCAAAAAATTGAAGGTGGGAAACCTCAAGCCAGTGCACCACAGATGAGTGAACCTACCAGGAAAGCAATTTTAAATTAGGTGAACTNGGGGGGGGGGGGGGGGGGGGGCTAAGGGTTGCAGCAGTTCCCCGAAGATAGAGTCCATGGAAAATAAGTTTACGCTTTTTAGACTACGATAGATAATCTGTCGACTTGATCCTTGCTTTTTTTTTTATGCTTATCTGACATCAGACAATCTTCTGTTGCCGCCTGTAGGTATGTAAATTTATTTGGTGTGGATTCTAAATTAAGAAAATGAGGGCAGATTAAAAAAAAGACGGCTTTCTTTCTTAGTCTCCTTCATGGACTTCAAACGTCATTGGATCTTCAACTTTAAATCCAGCCCTGAAAATTATAAATTTTTCAATGATTACTCGTATTTAAACTGAGTCACTAGATGACTTAAGTTAGCAACATTCAACGATCATGAACCAAAAGCCATCTCAAAAAATTGAGTTGTATAATTTTCACCGTGTCTAGGCTCATAAATTTTGTGCCATGAATTTAAAGTACACCATGAATATTCAGCGCCCAAAATCTGATTGGAAGTTTGTTCGTACTTTGGACCTGCAGAAAAATTTCGGACTTTTTTCCTTTGTTCCAGGTTACTTTACCTATCCATGTCTCCAGTTTTAAAAATACCGCAAGTACTCCGGGACCGGATTTAAGGGGTGGACGGCACATCACAGCAAATTTTAGAGGGCAACAGATTTCAAAGTGATACATTTTTTCGTTTTGTTTTGGCTTTTAAAGTATTCAGGGGTGATCTTTTTCAGAATAGGAACGGCAAACTGTTATCAGCAGGCAAAAAATCATAAATCTGGCCCTGTTACAATAAATATAGCTCCACTCTAAGCTTCACAATTCAAGGCCTCACTGTTCTAAAACTTGATGTTTTTTATTAATGCAGACGGCACAATCCAAAATTGAAATTTATTTCAATGAATAACGATGACAATTTTTGAATTCAAATTGATTTATTAACAAGCATAAACTACAAATGTTTAAAATTAAAAACTTTAACTTTAAGATACTCTCTATAGATCACAGACACAAGTACAGCATATAAGATTTCAATTTGTAACACTGACAATACATGCCGAGAAAATTAGTAAAAAGTTTGAAGCATCTTTTTTTTTTGTTACAAACAGCATTTTTTTAGGACCTTATTCTTAGTTTCACCAGTGTTAAAGCTCCGCTAAATGTTTAAACAAATTTCTTACAACTTACAGATGATAAAGAAGAATTTAAAAAATCTGAACAGGTGACCTATCTACTGTTAACTTGCTCATGTTATGCCTTCGGTGATTGAAAGGGAGCAGAATTGAGTAAAATTAAATAATAATAATTTAAAGCGAGTTTAACAGGCACACACTATAGCACATTTTGGGGGGAAAAGAGCTACGAAGTCAAGAGTCAAGTTCTTAATTCGACTAGGAATCAATTTTCTCCTATAGAAAATTCAAAGTCAGGAAAAAATATTTTGAACATGAAAATATTTCCAAACAGAGTGCGGTGTAAGTGGCTCAACACTTGAGCTTTTTTGAGAGCGTGGATGATTCTGCAAACGTACACTAAATATTTCGGTATAAAATTGACATTCTCATCAAAGAGATAAATAGCTCGAAACACAGTGCAAATTTCCTCTTCAGGGAGTTTCACTCTTCAGTGCCACACTGAAATATTTGTAAAAATGTTTGCTTGGCTTTGTTCTTAATATTGAGTATAGTGGAGTGATAGAATTTCATACCCATATCCCTCCTTTCAAACTTGATGCGACTTGGTGCATATCTGTTAAACTCTGTCTTTTCTTCACTCATAGCAGCTCCTTACGCTATTCCTGCGACCAGAATAGACTAACAATTTTTTGAAGTTGAAATTAAAAAGGCATGTAACACTAATTGAATAAAATTACACAAAAAGGCACTAACTTTTGCCCTCACTTAGAGAACAATTCAATTTTCATTGATTCTCTCTACAAATAGGTGCTTTTATGAATAAGCCATAGAATTTATTTCCTGTTAATATAATGTTTCCAAATTTATACTTAATGTAGTGACGTACTTTTAGTTCCTTCACTGATGTTTTTTGTTGGGTTGGTACCAATGAGCATCCTCCATTTTTCTCTAATGATAACTCTATGACTGTTCAGAATCTACTCAGCATCCATAATTTTGGCAAATTCTGTTCTCATTACACCATGTCTTTTCTCTTATCTCTGATTACATGCCAAGCATAATGACGAGAACAATTTAAAGAAATGCCTTCTTGATGGCTCATTTACCTTTGGTTTGTTCGCTCCAATCCAAAAACCCTCCGCTGTAGTTCCATAGACTGAAAGCAAAAATGGAACCAGAAACATTAATCTTTATTTTGTTTTTAAAGACAAGAGAAACATAATGCAAGGGGTGTCTCATTAGATTTGAAGAAGCATTTGAAAACTCATTAACATGAGGAGATGGGAATACCGATGGTAAAACTGGAACAGTGTAATTCTTTTGTGGAAGTTGCAAGTGATTTAGTTCTTCTCTACGCCAATCAAGGGTGTAAAATTACATTTTATTTCAACTGATTTCAACTGCGAACACGGCAGATTCAAAATTCACATTGCTTTTACTCCAAAGTTCTGTTTTTAAACTGCAAACCTTACATCAGAACTTTTAAAACTGTAAAACCGAGACTAATAAACATCGAGGTGCTACTGAGTTTTTTAATTTTTGACCCCTTTCTTTTATATCAGAACTTTTGTTTGGTTTGACATTTTCGGGTGTCTTTACAGTAAAATATTTGAGGAACAACGTTGTTGAAATATTATTTGCCTTGCCCTAAGTTCTGATGGACCACTAGACAAGGTACGAATTTAAGCATTCTCTTTTCTTTTTCTTTTCTTCTTCAATTTGCCCACAAGGGCAACTTCCATCTATCCTAACAGCGTCTCAAACATCTGTCCCTAAAAGACCCTAATTTCATGTATAAAAAAAACAAAACAGTCCCTAATAATTAAAAACTCTACAGACCAAACTCCTTCCACCTGTAACACCTGTAGCACTCGTAACGAAAAATTTAAATTTCCTTAAAAACCAGAATTCATTGAAAAACAGGAGTCTTCGTTAATTGAATTGTTCACCACAAAGGTTTTGGCAGGCTTCCTAATCAAGCTAAGTTCTTTCTTCGCTCTGTGTTGTTCAAAATGTTGGAACAACATGCAACAATTGAGCTCAAGCGCTGGGATTGAGGTTGCTTTATTTTCATACCGCAGAGAAGGTTTCAGTAAAGTTTAGTGTGCAATTGAACTCAAGTAAAATACAGTTTATTTTTTGAGCGGAGGGTTTGAATTAATGCATAAAAAAATTATGATCTCCGTTGGGAAATACTTTCAACACTTTTCATTGCACAAATCGTGTTCTATATTAAATATTAATGAGAAAGCATACATCATAATGCTTGATATCACATTGCCTATTACGAGTTTTGAATGGCAATAGGTAAGATCCCTCATATTGATCAAAAATAGAAATTGCCAAACAAATACTCACTTTTTGAATCCTTGTTTTTCAGCTATACCACAAGCATTTAAACTTCTCTTTCCAGAACGACAGCTGAAGATAAGATTGCTATCAGGGCTAGGTTTTGGGAATCCATACTTTGCTTCAAATGCTGATGGCTCAAGTTGTAAGGCTTGAGTGACTTCGCCTACTGTAAAAGGAAGAAGAAAAAATTTCAAACATCTGAGCATGGTCAATATAACATCAAGAGTGCCGCAATGACGTTTGTAAAGACAAGAGCCTGACTTCAGCGCACTGTTTTTTGAAAGCGCGTTGAAAACAATATGTTCAGAGATAAAGAATAAAGTTCAAGGCATTGTTCCGAGTTTTTAAGCTATTGGGTAGGTCAAGAGCTAGGTAGAATTTTGTTTGTCTGATCAAGAAGGATTTCTCAGATTGCTTCAAGAAACGGTTACATCTAAATCTGTAATTACAGGGAACAAAGAAGGGCACGAGCCATTCTTCAATATAAGACAGATATTGGTGGGTTGCCATAATTTCTTCATCTTCAAATTCACTGACTTTTCTTCAATTTTTTCTCACTTTTTTTTTTGTTTTTCTCTGATTCCAAAATTTTCTAATTCCTTGACTTTGCCCAACAAAACCTCCACCTATTTTTTTTTCTTAAATGCGCTGACTTTCGCTAGACTTTGGACAAAATTTTCTTATTTGGAGATCAAATTATGGAAAACTGCATTTAGTAGGTAATTGGTTGAAAGATGACAAGCCTTATAAATGACCAAAGGTGGTGAAAATTTAGTCGGAAGATCAGTGATTTGTTTTAGTAATTAGTAAATGTGTCAGAAATTCCATGACTTTTCCCACAAATGCTCTGACTTTCCTGGTTTTTCAGACAGCTGGCAACTCTACATTAACATTAGAGCACAGCCATCAAAACCACTTCCCTGTTAGCAATAACTGTTAAATTGTTTTTAAAAAAAACTCTTTAAGTTTCAAGAAGACAACTCTTAAAAAAACTGTTAAAATTCTTGTATAAGGAAACCCTTTTTGGGCATTTTTTAAAGTTAAATTTAGGAGTGGTAAAATTTAGGTAAAAAAGTGTTAAAAAAACTCTTAAAATATCAACCGTAGTTTTTCAAAGCTAAAAATGTTTGAAATTTTTTTAAAAAAAACTATAGTGATATTTTAAGAGTTTTATAACGCTTTTTACCTTACATTTTTACTTCTTGTAAATTTTACTTTAAAAAAATAGCCAAAAAGGGTTTCCTAATACGGAAATTTTAGCCGTTTTTCCTGGGAGTTTTTGGAAAATATTATGAATTGGAAAACTGTTTGGAATATTTGGAAGTTGGGAAGTTTTGTGGTTAGATTTTGAGCACCATTTTATCTATTGGATAATGCATGTCTCCAATTTTTGCCAAGATAACTGTCAGATTAGAGAATGCACATTTTTAAAAGGAAAAAAATATTCGCCCTGAAATGATAGGAGAATTGGAATTTTTTTCAAGCTCAGTAAGACTCGAGGAGAAATATTTCCTGTACCCCTGCATTTCGGTGAACGCATCGCATATTTAAAAGTAAGCAATAAATTAGAAATCAAACGTTCGTCAACACAATTTACTTATGCAAATAATTGCGGTGGTAAAAAAATTCTTTCTGCGTAAATACTTACAGGGTATGTTATGAGTCTTCTCGATCCTTCCATCGTCAACTAGCTCTTGCTTTTCTCTGACATCAATCACAATATTTTGTGGGTTTTCCAAAAGCTCCTTAAACTCAGCAAAACCGACATTTTTACAAGCACTCATTGGGACGGAGGACTGGAACAGCTGCACACGAGTGTTGTCTGAAAGAAATAAAAAAAATTTAGAGCTTGTGAGCTACAAGGTGGGCTTTTTCATAAAATCTCACGAGATACCTTTCAAGCAACTTTGTTTTCATTCAAGCATATCATACAACATGGCTGAAATTAAAGGGGCTTTTTAGGTAGTAAAGAACAAATAATGAAATGTATAGAATTCATACTGCTTTGGATACAAAGCAAGAAGTACGAATACTTTGCGGTAGACACCATCATTTTTAAAATACTTGAGTAGAATAACCATAATGTCAATCAAATCTACTGAGTGATTCAGCTCTAAAACGACTTCATTCTGACTTTTCAAAATTCTTAGTCATTATGTCCCTGGAACTCACACTCAGGGTTGATTCAGTTGTCTTTACCAATATGTATAATATTTGCTGAATATGCATCTTAAACAAGGTTGATTATCAAAAGCCAGTCAGACAGGGAATACAACTGTCCGACTCCTAAGTAATACTTCATCACACAATTTTTACGATGTAAAAAAATATGCAGGAAAATAAGGTCTTATAACTCTTCTTCTGCAACAGTATTTATATGAATTGATAACGGTTAAATTAGAGAATTGCTGACTGAAATTACAGATTTGGCAACAATTAATCGAAGACAGTTTGCTCCTCAAAGACAAGGCGGATAAAGAATGGTGGTCGCACTTCGATTTTGGCTGCCATCTTGAAGCACTGTGACGTCAGGAGGGTACGGCTTTTGCCATGCAATTCGAGGTTGAGCCGACTCCCCCGGCCTCGGCCGGCCCATGTACCCGATACCGTGTGACGTCCAGAGGGTACGAAATGTGACCACCATTCTTTATTCGCCTTGCCTCAAAGAGAATCCACCAGAGCAACAAAGAAAATTACTACAGCCCGATTATTGAAATTATGTCAGCACGACACGACAAGACAAAGCCCTGTCTCAACCATGCAATATATCGCAATTTGATGTCTCATCGTGCTGGTTTAAATTTCAATAATCGGCCCGCTGGCCACCTTAGAGGTTTTCAGTTGATAAAATATTCATGTCCAGTTGGCTATTGCCCGATCAATAATCCATGCCATAAATCCACTGACAAAGATATGGGGATAATATGAAAAGGCTACGAATCTCTCGTGGAGGTAGTTTGGTCTTTCAACTGAGGTCATGGACTCACAAAATGTGATGAGAACAATTTTGTGCGTAGCGAGTTCAATCGTTCTTACTCTGAAAATCGAAGAGAAGTATCACATACTTACAGGCAAAATTGAAGTTCTCCTGCTTGAGAGTCAGAAAAGTTCCTCTCTTGATAGAAGAACAGGAAACCAAAGCGGGAAGAAACCTCCGGAATAAATTTGCTTGCATTGCTTGGAAAGATTATGCTGTTAAAACTTGCTGATGAGAGTGAAAGCCTCCACTATTTAAAATACTGTCAATGCAGTGAGTGGATTGCTTCAACTTGGAGAAATAAAAGTAGGGATGCAAAGAAAAGAAAAAGCAAGGAAAAGAATTGCTTGCACTGGAAGATAAACTGGCAACCAAGATTTTCGTGATTAACAAAAATTTTTCAATCGCAATGTTTCATTGATGGTAGATTTCACTACATTCATTTTCCGCCACTTGTACACTTACCGTACGTTTAACAGCCACTTTGACTTATTACTTATCAGTAGCAACAACAATTAACAAATGATTAACAAAGGTAGGTAGACAATCAGTGAGTTATCACCTTTAGTTATCACTTTATCAGCTGCGTTAGTAGAGACATAACCTCAAAAACAACTAAAAAAATAAACAAAACCCACGGCCAATGACCCCATTTCCGGTATCTCTGGTTTTTTTTTACTCAGTTTCCATTTCCGGTAAAAATCCCGCAGATTTTAAAGTGCCGGAACTGATTGTAAGCGCGGGATTAGCCCTTGTGGGCTACTTAAAGTGGTAAAAAAAAAAAAAAAAAAAATGAACGTAGTAGCAGGGATGGTCGAATATTTAGATAATTGAATATTCGATATTCGAATTATCAGCACCGAGATAATCACATCACATTCGAATATTCGCTTCCGAAGTATTTGAAATCGCAAATTCGAATGTCGCATTCTAATATTCGAATATCGCATTCGAATATTCGAATATCGCATTCGAATTCGATAACCGTCCATCTCTATCGTTAATCTCGTTATTAATTAAAACTTGTCCACAACTCCACACGGGAATGACTGACCGTCTTAGTTAAAAGTGTCATATCTCTCTCATGGTTCATAAAAAATAAAAAATCGAAGCAATAATCGAAAATATTCGAATATTCGCTTCCAAAGTATTCGCAACCCCAAGATTCGAATTCTCAAATAATCACAATAATCGCATTCGAATTCGATATTCCTCCATCCCAAGAACATAGTGCAGTCGCAGATGGTCGGTGAAACTCCCTAAACCACCTACTCGTTATCCGGTGTTTTAAAATTTCTGCTCCTATTTTATTTTGTAAAAAGCAAAGAAATCAACATGATTCTTTGAAATTTTTACAGACTTTTCATTGTACATAGACGAAAAACCACAGCAGTTTTTCAGACTTGCTGTTGAATTGTTTTCCATTTAAAAAATGAAGCATGACAGGAAGTCTGCAAAGTCGCAAACCGAGATATGTGGTTCGGGAGTTTCAGCGTCGAGATGTCTCGTCATTATGACTGATAAAATAACTTTAGGTCTGATCAAGCTCCAGTCCAAAAGCTTCCAGTGAATGAAAAGAGGCACCTTTAAGTTTCAATTTGTTCACTTTTGTATCAAGATCGAGTAATTCAATCCTGATGTTAGCGATAGGTAAAACTGATAAGTGAGAGGAATGTGCCTTTCTTAAGATTTGTACATAATGCTACCATAGAAATCACACAAAAACGTATATATAGGGGCTTGGGTCTTGTAGTTTTGCACTTGTAAATAACAGCCATGGTTGGCCATGGAGTGACTGCAAATTCTCAAGAGGGGTCATATTTTAAAGATGGCTTTTTTGTTTTTATCAGACGATACACACAGAGTAATATCAAAATATTGGAAAGTAAAAATAAATAGTTTAACTTGTTTGAGATCTTCAACAAACTCCCAGACGCAGATGAACAACTTGATAAAGAATGATTTCACAAAAACCTTTATAAAGAAAACGAGAACATTTTTTGAAAACTGGCCAGCCAAAAATCAGTACAATTCCAAGGAATGTAGTATCCCCTTGACAGAAAAATTCAGTACTTTTTCGGTACTTTTATTTGGCAAAATTTGAAACATTTCAACAATTTAGAATTCACGCTACAATTGTGACAAAAATGACAGTGGTGTTCACAAAACGTGGCTGAAGGTGACCATAGTCAAAATGCTCACCACGATGGAAACTCGTTCAGGATAAAAACTTTACCGAATTGATTATTCTTTCTTTAAAACTGTGGGAGAACCAACCCACTGAGTCCGACCTCAATAATATTCAATTTACAATTTGCCATTGGGGAGGGAGCAAGAAAGTATTTCTGAAACCAATTAATAAAAAACAACTGGTTTATTGAAAAGATTTTCATTATTTACAATATTACAATTACTCACTTCATTCTACTGGTCTATTTCAAACTTTCCACAGACTTTTTCTTTATCAATTCTGTTAAGTTGATACAAGATTTTCTCTTCAATCCGTTTCACTGCATCAACGGTTAGAATGAGTGTGTCGTGTTTTAACATGCTGTAAACGTTTAATCCTAAAACAAAAAAAATTAAAATCTTGATTAAAATGAATCAAAACCGCTAGATTATTAGAAAGAAGGTGAAGACGTCAGTAATAATGGGCTAAAAGCCAACAAATTGAAAATTGAGACGTGGCATATTGTTCCAAGCACCAAGGACAACATGCTGCGAAACAGGAAAAGTCCCACCAACACCAGAGTAGAGTGAACAGTATTTGAGAGATAGGTTTAGTGACTAGTGTTGGTGTAATCAACTTTATGGCACTTGTCGCGTAATTGATGATCAACTTTAAGGCACTTGGCCCATTATTGATGATAGGTCCTCAAGTAAAGGAAACAATTTACGGATAAAAATATCACACAAAAAAAGTTGCTGAAGTGACATCCCGGTTGTTAAAAATCTGAGCGACAATTCTTGAATGTTGATATGAACCTTACAGTTATTAATTCAACGTAGCTAGGATGTTACTTTAACAGTCGTAGTGTCCATGACAACATTCAAGAGGTGTCGCGCGGATTTTTAACCTCCAGGATGTTACTTCAGCAACTTTTGTTTTTCAGTTGCAAAGAAAAAAATAATAGACAAAAAGATGGCTTAACTGCAACTGCTAGCAACTAATGGGTTAGTAGCATCTATTTTTTTTTTTTTTTTCCATTTTCTGAAAGTACGGAGTGACCTAAATTTCAAGGAATATTTAGTATATTTGTTTTAACTCTAAATGGCAAAGCAATCCTGTTTTGAAAATACCAAAAATGGAACTCATTTGAAATGATCTATTCGGCAGGCTTTGATGATGTAACCAGGCAGGGGTAACAGCGTTTGCTGATTGCCTGAACTCAGGCCTAGCTACGTTGACTCGACTGTCAGCTTTTGATTACCTTTTTCTCTTCCTGAAAATGATTTTTTCAACTTTTCATTAAACTTTCATGGTTTCCTAAGAAATTTTACAAAAGAAAAACTGTACTGCAACCCTGCAAAAAGTCCTTGAATGTCTTCATCTACGATGACTCTCACTTCAAAATGTTAAATGCTGATCTAATTCAGCAGTTCATCCCGAGAATTTAGGGATGTTCAGCAAGAATTATAGGATCTTCGGCAAGAATTTGGGTCATTGTAAATCATGAGAAGATGAGATCTCTCCCAAAGAGGAGGTTAAAGGTACAAATAACTGAATACTTATAAAACAGAAAAATGCAAATATTTGCTGCTTATTTCAGAGAATCTATTCTCAGAAGACATGTAGTTGGATGATGTCAATTAGCTTATGTAAGTTATGATTTTTTCCACAGCCATAAGATTTTAAATAATTTGTATAAACTGAAGTTTCACTTTTGAAATGATGATGACTTAATCAAAGATTCAATTTCTGATAAGTACATATTTAGGAGCCTCCTAATAAAATAATCTGTCGTAAATAGTTTTTTGATTCCAGTTTTGACACCTAACAATAGAACAAATAAAAGCTATTGTAACAATATGAGAGAAATTTGCAAATATTTGTTGCCTTGTTGTATTATTTGTCTTGTATCCTGGGTTTTTACCCGTTCATTTAGTGATAAATGGATAAATATTTACCATAGACTGGCATTAAATTGATGTGTTTAATTTCGTCTGTGGCAACGGTTATATTGCGCGGCATCAAGTCGGGTCTGTGAAACAGAAAAAATAAAATTAAAATGTATAAAAACTGAGTTGAAAAACCTTGAGATTTTCAGCTTTCTTAAGGCTCGTTAAAGATTGTAAAAAACTCCATGATTAGAAAGAGACAGATACAATTTATTCATTTAATATGAAGATAAGAGGCACTCACAGATGTATATTGTGACTTCTTTTGACTCAAAAATGAACGAACAAACGAACAGGAAAAAAACCGATAGTCAATGGACTACCAAATGGGGTACAAGAGGTAACCAGTATTTTTTTTTTTTCACTTTTTCCAGTCATCTCCAGCCTTCTCTGAAACTTTCAGACTAATTCATGTGACAGTTCTCCCATGAAAAAATAAAATATTGGAAGAAATACTGAGACAGTGTAAACAAGATAAGCTCTTTTTTGTGGGAAGCGACAATTTGTAACAGGTGAAAGGTTAAGAAACCAACTTACTATGAATGACAAAAGAGTGTGCAATCGCCGACAAAATTTTATGGGGTTACTTGTGGAACCCTGATAAGATCCTACTATTTTTAAACAGAAAATGAAAAGATGAGCACAGAGTCTGGAAACGCAAACAATCATTTTTGGAAAAAAATGGCCTGGCGGTTTCCGCAACTGCAGGGTGTCTACTCAAACAGGTGGGCCAAAAATCAATACTTTTACAGTGCTTTTTCAGTACATTCCTAAAAAGTTCAGTACCTCCTCATTAGAAAAATTTGAATTTCTCGCTCAAATTGAGACAAAAATGACCAGAAAATGAAAAAAATTCCGGACCTTTGGCGGAATTTCCGCACTTTCTCAGTGCTTCTGGACCTTCCTTAAAAAATCGGTACTATTTCCGGAAATTCTGGGACTTGTAGACACCCTGAACAGGTGGACTTAGAAATGGCCCCTCCAGATAGCACCCCCAAATATTTTCTGCGAGTACTTACACATCGACCATTAAAACTGATGGTCCCCATTTTCTTGCTTCCACCAGGTCCTGGATGTAACCCTTGTTTTCAGTTGGTATGTCTAAGCTGTCGACAATATGCAAATCGTCCTTAAACAGAAAAGAAGACTAATAATCAGGCTACAGAAAACAACTACAAGCTAACCATTTGTGAAAAAGAATGTATTCTTTCATGCTTTGAGACTGAAATCATAGTCTTTATCAGTTGCTGATCTTTAAGGGAAACTGTCACCTTCTGGCCAAAGTATCACAAGCGCCATTTAGGCTTAGACGCTTGGAGGTTGAGAAACCTACAACAGATTTGACCATGATTGGCTGTCAAGTAAAGTACTAGAAGCTGGGCAGCAGGCTTTGTTTCTCCTGCAATTTCTAAGAAACAAATTGAACTGTTACTTTTCCTATAGTAATTTCATATAATTTCAGGTGTACTTTGTTGATTTTATAGAATTTAAAGGCAAATCGTGGATAGAAAATCAAGGGAGAATTTTCAAGTACCTGCGCAAGCAACGTGGAGTAACCCAGGAAGCTAAGAAGGGAAAACAGGTGCAATGATATAACTTCGCTGTCTCGGGCAACCTTCAAAAGCACATAACAGTATGTTTTCGTTTCTCATCAGGTTGTTATTGCGAAGTCCAACATCATTGTTGGGAACCACTCCTGCCTACCCACTCATCGAATTTGGACCAATCACAGTATGTCTTTAAGTAACATGATCACATTGCCTGCCACCTATCATCTCTTTGGAGTCAGGTGAATCCTGACGTTTCCAGCAATATTCACTATTATTCGGAGTAAGAAGCCAGTTGTTGAAAATATACAAAACATTAATCGTTTTGGCTTAAGAGTATCCTGCTGGAAACAAAAACTCTTTTTATTGCTTTAAGAACACAAGGAAAAAGGAAGGGAATACAACAGTTCACCATTACCTGAGCATGCTTGATGGACAGAGTTGATGTTAGTCCAATTATCCGTTCCCAAATACCAAGCACAAAAAAGTGAGGAGTGGGGGAGCGAGGTCCGTGTGCTACGCCTCCAGTTTTAGTGAAGAGAGGCGATCGTAAATCTCCGTGACGCGACATTCCTAGTCCTTTCTGGGGTCTCGGCTTCCTGCGAGTACCTGGCATTTCGTGGCGGGTCTTAGCGTGTGCAAAAGACTAGAAAAAAATAGGGTAATTGGTTTGGAAAATGATTTTGTTAGGTTAAGCGTAGGAAACACCAGAAAAAACTGTGGTCCTGCTTGATCTTTACGATGGACTTCCTTGATGTTTTTTTCTTGTTCTCAAGTAGTATAAACCTGTGACAAAGGCTATTGTATCACGGATCCGCTCATAAATTGGATTGCATTTTGCAAAAAGGAACCACTAGCATTGCAATGTTGCTAAGATTATGCAACTTAATTTGCCTTGGAGGAAAAACCCGATTATCCATTAATAGTTTCTATTTTACTCGCTAAAAAGTGTTAATTTAAGACAAAAATTACCATCTAAGTTTCATAGTTTTTCACGATTTCCGCAATTTTATTGCAAAAGATGAAGTTGCACAACGCTAGTTGCAATGCTAGCGGTTCCTTTTTGCATAATGCAATCCAACTAACTTAGAATCTCAAACAAACTTGAGACAATTTTACACAAAATGAGCTTACTTACCATAAAATATGAATCATCAAACTAAAACGTAATTGTTTAATGCAGGGCTACCCTTAAATATTTCCTACACTGCTTGAAACCAATAGATCTCCTATTGAAATACATTGTAGAACCGTCATTATCACTAATGGGGCTCCTTATTCCGAAAGTTTTTTTTTTTAATATTCTAGCTGAAGTTGAGCCTCTAATTGAACTGCTTTTATCAATAAGGATTTATATTTTCTACCTCAGTATTGGAACTATGTATGCACCATTAGTTTCTCTATGTGCAATTAAGTGTTTTCACGGATGAGCCAGAAATTGAAGTTCTCTATTGGAAACTGGAGCCAATTTGCATAGGGTGATACATACTTAGAGAATAAAAGTGCATTTGCTAGTGAAAGATAGGATAAAGAACAAAGATACATACCACATAGCGTATATTTCTCTGCCATTTTACATTCAGGTGAATCATATCGATCCGAGGGCCAACACCAAATACTTCGGGATGTAGAGTAGTTAATCCGATTATTTTATCATCTATACAATTGAGAGTCTCAATCCAGGCTTGGCGTGGTTCTGAAAACTTTGGTAAGAGCTCCAATTCTCTCGTTTTCATCAGAGGATTTACATCTGGATCAATAATAGGCCTGCTATTTGGTTCTGTATTGATTTCTTTTGCACCTGTACCTGAGCACAGAAAAAAAATTAGAGTTTTCGTAATAAAGTAGATTTAAAACAGGAAAGAGATCAAGACAGCTAAGAATGTACATTGCATTAAACTACAGTTGATAAGTATCATTGAATTTCATTTTGATTTGCTGGAATATGAAGATAGTATGCATAACAGGATAGAAAGGACTGCATATTATGTTGAGCATTGTTTTTACATGAAAACTAAAGGGCAAAAGCAAAGTTCATTCTCATTAAACTTCAATAGAAAAGCTGATTCTGGATCACATCTATTGATCATGAAAACCAACTTACTTCAACATGTTATATGTAGCTTGATCACAGAAAATCAGACATCAGCTTACCTTTATTTTGTACTAGTGTCGGTTAAGTTCATGGTTTGCAATTGCCGTTTGCATGCAACTGCACTGCTGCCATCCAATATGGATTGAAAATTTATCATTGAGGATAGGTACCAGCAACGTGTGATGACCGGCAATAGAATGATCAACTGTGCCAGACAGTCAGAAGTAAACAATGGCAAACTTATATTACCTACACTAATTCTACTACACCTAGGGCGTTTCGGACACAGATTTTGTGTAATTTTCGCAGAAAGGTAGCATATCCATCATTTGTTTAAAAAAAGTTCACAGCAAAAAAGATCATGAAACTAAGACTGATAATGTTGACATACCTTCGACCGATGATGAGAACCTCGAGGCTCGGAGGACATTCACAACGCTCCCTCTCAAACGATTCAAAATGCGAAGGTTCATCATTGTATGATGGGTTCTTTAAATCTTTCAAAATAGGATCACAATAAGTTCGTAAGAGAATAGAGAAAATTAAGTTCTACTAGGTAATTCTAGCTCTCATGATTGCACAATACACATGAAGATCTATTCGTCCTTTTTCGTAGTTGACCGGAAGATTCACAGAGGAATGCTTGCATGCAAAACTATGTGAAGGGCTTGATGGACACTTGGGATGGATGGATATTGCACTGGGGTAAGAGAACAAACGTATTCGGTATTATCACCTTACAAAGAGACACAGCTTCCTCCAAATTATCCCAAAATTTCTTACATTTAATCTCTTGCGGACAGAGCAGAGCCGATCCAATCCGCATGATAAACAACCTATTAACCTCACTTTTATCGCGATGATAGTTGAGCGTCGTTGTACCTTGAAATGCGATTGCGGTGTAAATCGTTGCGAAATTGCTTTGTTTATCGTCGTCTTACAGTCGGTCCGTGAAAGTGAATTTCGAAGTAAAACCAGTCGAGGCCTTTTGCGAGCTCAGGTAGATGAAGGTAATGTCAATTTTCATCATTTACCCCCTTCGATTGATCAGCTTTTCAGCGCTCTTTCGTCGCCGCAGCTTGAAATTTTCGCGGCGTCATTGGCAGGATGAGCGGTCTCGACACTCTCGGCTGCTATCAGACAGATGAGATTTTTCGCCGTATTTCACTCATTTTGTGATCTAATCTCAGCCTCAAATACTCTGAATTCCACCGTACAAACATTTTAATATCCCTCAATCGAACCTCCAGAAGCTCCCTTGCCGAAAGCTATTGTTATCCCTCGTCTGAATTCTCAGAATTTGAGCCCTGTCGGGCCCTGAACTTGCTAATGAGGTTAGGTCACAGTATGTTGGGACCTCCTACCGTTCTTGCAAAATAATTTTACAACACTTTTTATTTCTATTGTTTCATATTGAATGATTGAATACATGGAACATAGGAATACCAAAGCATATTCTGTGCGCCACTGAATTGTTAGATGATGGTCAACGCTCACCATTCATTTCTGTGTTGTGCATTTGTCAGCCCTGAAAAGGCCCTACTTATTTATTAAGAACTAGCATGTTGGATGACACAGTTTTATTCTTTGGTTCTCAATCCCTCCATATTCTATCTTAAGAGTCTTATTTAGAAGCCATTTTGACCTCGATGGCACTGTAATTGAGCGGACGCATCGTATGTTGAGACGAAAGTCAAGTATCGTCTAGGTCACCACTCATCAGTGGTGCCATCTAACTGCATGTAATAACCTGCTGAGTGATGCTGATTCGGAGGTAATCAGGGATTGACATTTGTCTCAATGTACGATGAGTCCGCCCTGGGCAGTGTACTCTCCATTTCTACTCCTCGCTCACACCAATCAATTCATGAAATTTTTGCTGGGAACATCAAGCTCATCATTTCCTCTGTTCCATGTGAATATCCGGTTCACTTTTTGATTTCAGTTTACACAATGTCGCGTGGAAATAAAGATAAGTATGAAAATGCCAACCCTCGAAAGACGCACACCATCATGTCACCTGAGGATGTTGCTGCCGGAAAAAAGTCGTATTGGTCTGAATTGGAGATAACAGGTTTGTTTTGGCTTATTTGTTGTAGTTTCAAGAATAGCACCAGCCAGGTCATATTAATTTTCTCAAAAACAATTTTTAAAAGCTAACAACCTTTGCAGATTAAAACACTTTGCCGTTCTGCTACCTTTGCGGAATTCAGTAACACCAACAAAGATCATTGGAAAGTATTGAACGAATGGGCTAAGTGCTTTTTGTCTTCAATGCTATTCCTGAATGCTGTCACCTCCATCGTTAACATCGGATAAGAAGCTAGATTTTTGATAGCAGCTAAAACTATCTTCTAGCTGAGGGCTGACTTATTTGTACCAACTTTTCTGCTAAGAATAGAATAGAACTTTATTAATACGAAGGCTTTCCAGACTGGTTCTGTAATTCCAAAACTAAGCTAGCAAGGAGACTTGATCTTGGTTTCATTTTAATTGTCAAACCAGAGGTCTTCAATCGAGACCAAGATCAACTCATTTGGTTGAAAGTTGACAAAATTATGGCAGTTTGAGTTTAAAAAAAAAAAAAAAAATGGGACCCCCTACTGTTTTTAACTGAAACATTTGCTGTTCAAAGGTAGTCTCTAAAAGCAATTTCATTAGCACGGCTTTATACGGAACATTGAGATAAACTCTCAATGTTCTCATGTAGAATTCTCAAATGATACTCATTTTTCAATTTTATTTGTTCTGCATACCATCAACAAGCTCTTAATGATTTTTCTTGTCATTCTGTTGCAGGATCCATCCGAAATCTTAGTGTAGACCTTTGGCAATTAACTCATCTTACATGTCTGTACCTGAATGACAATTGCCTTTCCCGCCTACCTGGTGACATCTCTCGCTTAAGTAGTTTAAACGTCCTCGATCTCTCTAATAACAAGTTGCGTAGTTTACCTGCTGAGCTAGGTGAACTAATCTATCTCAGGTGTGCATCATAATTATTATTCAGATTTTTTTTATTTATATATTTATTTTTTTTTATTTGAGCTGGACCAAGGAATCCTACTTAGTTTCTGAAATCAGTTAAATAATGGCACTACTGCTTACAGGGAAAAACATCCACATGTCCATTACTCTGAACCAACTCGCCAAAAATCACACACTGCAATCGCCTCCTTAAACAATGGTCTCTTTTCTTGTAGCTGGTCACAAATTATCTTGAAAACTTCATATGATATTGATGCTGTTCGAGTAATTTTAAGTGTTGAAATTAAAATCAAAGATTTGGAGTAAAATATAGTAAGATTTTTGAGCCATTGCTTCAAGTCAATTATAGTTCAAAAAAAATTATTAGAAGTTTTTTTCAGATCCATTTACAATATTTTTAGAGAAAAATGGAGACCCCTCAACTTGTATCCTTGCAATGGTAGAAACTTCTACTCTCAGGAAATTAACGATTCCTTCATGGGGAACATTTTTATTACCTTTTCACTAAGCTTTGGGTTGAATAATGAGCCTATCAAGTGAACTAAAAATTGGCTTTCTTTATTAAACAAATCGCTTAACAAGTTGCTCAAACTGCAAACTCAAAAGTAATTTCAAGGGTTTAAAAGTGAAGCTCTCAAAAGAGGAAATTCATCCAGTTACCAAGAAGGTTTTCTGTATTTATTTCTAAAATTGTCTGACTTTAATAGCATTTCACTCCTGAAAGATCCTCATAGCTAAGTAAGCAGTTTACCAATGAAATCTTCCTGTGAAAGGAAATCGCACTGATTACGGAGGACCTCATCGCTGACATTTCATTATTTTCTCAGATAATGCTCATTACAACCTCCTCCGCACAAGCAAAATCTTCATGTTCAGTCTTCAACAATTTTACTTTCTATTAGCCAATTTTGAGGTAAATGGGGCTGATAAGTGAATTTTTGAATAGTCTCTAGTAGAAATGTTGCGTGACTGTTGTAGAAAATGCGGTCAAGAATTAAAATATTCACTGCTAAGCCCAGCTTAGTTAATTAGTTAGTTAGCTGATAAGTAAAATTTTAAAAGCTGATCTTGCTGAAGAGGTCGTAAAGAACATGATATTAATTCAATATTACTAAATAAGCGGGCACCGAATTCGTTTGTACTTTTATAGACTTCATTGGACTTTACTGTACATGTGCTCCCACCTCTCCTATCTTAATTATGTATGATGATTTACAGGGAATTACTGTTGAACAACAACCTACTGCGATCCCTCCCATATGAATTGGGGAAGTTGTTTCAACTCCAATCACTCGGGTTGAATGGCAACCCTCTGTGCAAGGAGTTTCTGAAATTGTATGCGGAACCTAATGGAACTCAGAAGCTTTTGACTTACCTTCTGGACAGCTTAACAGGTAAGGTTTTTTCTTTTCCTAGCATGAGTTGGACTATTTTCAGGAAGTTTCAAAATTACCAGATTTTTTTCTATTATTTTAGAATCGTGGTCTTCGAGGTATGCAATTTTGTTATGTTATTTATCAGGATCTTTGTCAATTCTGCAAGTTTCAGTTGATGCAATTTTTGATATTGTATTGGAAAGGCAAATGCACTGCAAAAGTACAGACTTTTGGCAGGAAGATTCGGAAATACAAGATTTTTATCATAAACCTAGAATAGTAGCTTCAGAGGTATGTAATTTTTTAAAGTTATTTTCATTCCATCCCGGTCGGATTCCATAGGTTTTAGTTGATTCCTTTTGTATTTCTACTCTTAACTTTCAAAACCCGAATTTATTTTTCCATTCTAAACATCTGTCATTGACAGTTCAAAAAGTGAGGTATAGGCGTTGAAAAACAAGTATTTTAGGCAACCACTGTATAGAGGAATTTTTTATGAAGTAATGGAAATAGAAGGATTTAAATGATGACGCACCCTCAGAGACCCTATTCACACTCAGTTATTTAAAGTCATAGATGATTATTCGATTTACTGTGAACTAAGGATGACACAGTTAATTTGTATCACATCACAAATTTTCCACTGCATTCCGTGGTACCAGTTTTGGGAACTGAATCAACTGGGCTCGTGGAAAATTGTTTACTAAATATTTTTTATTTCTAAGTTTCTAACCAATTTTCTCAATGATTTCTAAACACTGCTTATTTTGAGTCGTTTGGGAATTCATTGAACAATATTCATTTTTAAAATTCACATCTCTGGGTTTCTTCTCTTTTTAAATTAGTAGGTAGGTGTAGTTTCTGAAATGTCGCAAACAGGTATTTGCTGTTGGAACAATACACTAAGCATGCGTTCACTGGAAATTTTATTTATCCTCAAGTTCAAAAATATTCGAAAACTATATCATCTGAGTACGTCCTTTGAATTTTAAGTCACCACAGTCATTAGGAGATACCCTTTTAATCAGTCTAAAGCCTGAATACCTACTGTCATCCTAATTTTTCGGAGTTCAGGAATCAGACCGGTGTGATTGTGGTATTTTCTGGTTTTTGAGGACCATCACTACCACTTGTCGCTCATTAAAGGGCTTTTGCAGCTCAATGGACATCCATGTGATCGTGGTTTTTCATAAACACTCACAATTTTTGGGTTCATCAGGGGTTTGAATTGGCAAAGACTCCCAGATTGGTTCTTTATAGTTTAGCAGACTCTCTAATATAATTTTCGTACTTTAGGCACCAGTGGGTTTTGCAATTTTCCAATGAGCTTGTTATGTGATTGAGGTTTCTTTGGATTACCACAGGCAGGCCCGCCACATCCCATCTCGGGCCCTGGTACCAATTTTCTGGCCCGGGCCCCTAGCACAGGAGGGGGGGGGAGGGGTCCGGGGGGCCTCCCCCGGGAAATTGTTGAAATTTTAAATCTATTTGGACGCATTATGAAGCTCTTATGATGGAGATTTTCCATCAATTTCTGCAGAATAATTACGCCTTTTTGTTTACTTTCAGCACCAAAAACTTTCGAATTGTTGCATTCAAAACATCTATAAATTTTTTTTTGAGGGGGCAGATGATAATTTTCAACTCCATGGGAAGCCGGGCCCCCCTGGACTCCCCTTTCGTACGTCTATGGCAAGGGAGTTAAGCCATTGAAGTCGAGGATGCCCAGAAAGGAGCCTCTTAGCATCCGACAACGGAAGAAAATGAAACACAGTTACTAAAAATATCATTCTACATATACTCAAAATCTTGAAAATCTCTAAAGAAGTAAGAAAAATTTTATAGTGCCCTAGCGTGTTTTTGAAACTTTATTCACCTTTTGCGGAATTTTTAGGGTAATTGTTTCACTTTTCCCTACGAGACAAGGGGTACACATGAATTCGTAGTGGTTTGTCACCTGCGTCACGGGCCCCTCCAGGGCCCGGGCCCCGGTGCCAGGGACCCAGTATCCCCCCCCCCCTTGTGGCGGGCCTGACCACAGGCACAATCAGGTTTCGGCAGTTTCTCTTTGAATTTCCGCTTTTCATGAGTACTCATGACAAACTTATAATTGTAGTTTTCTGCTGACTTTGCAGACATTTGCAATTTTTCTCTTATTTACAAATGACTGGACAGCATGTAAATACACAGAGCTGAAAAACTGAAGAAAACTCAATGATATAATTTTTGAATTTGTCGTGATGCAACAGTTATTTGCCACAAATCCTCGGTTTCACAAACTCTACTTCAACTCAACATTTTTAAATTAATTAGGAAAGGACCGAGCCACATTTTGGGAAAAAATAAGTTTACAGTTGTCCAGTGCTTAAATAGTCATCCATTTTCGTTTGTCCAAAATTCATAACTCAAGAAAGATATTATTTTACTGATTTAAAAGTGAAAGTTGATTGAAGTGAGTTTATTGTAAAAATAGGGGTTTAATTTTAACATTTGAGTCTCTTGGAGGTGTGAAACTGAAAACCTCTCTTTCAGTGTGCCAACTAGGTGTGGCTTTGTGCCTTTCATTTGAATGCAATTCAACTTAACACATGGTTGAAATTTTAAAACTTTTTTTAATCCTCCTCAACGTGAGATCTGCCTGAAATTGCCGTGAGTGTAGGGAGTTCAACAGACAACGGAAACTCTTAACAAGATTTCAAGTGGAGGCAGTTTTAACATTCGTCATGGAATTCCGGTCCATGTATCAAGTATATGGAATGAATAACTAATGTACCATTGATGAGATTAATAATGCTCAATTAAAGTGCAAACAATTAAAGCTGAAATCAATTGATTTCTAAAGAAGAAAAATATCTCAGTGATGTACTTTTAGGGCTGCTTTCATAGTTGCTCCTTATTAGTTTCTCTCCTTTGAGAGGGTTGCATGGCTTGGATTTTTATCAGGGGAAGCTCAAAAGGCAGTTTAGATAGCACCCCATGAAGGACTATTTTTATGAACTTATAGTAAAATTTAAAAGTATGGCTTTGGAAGTCAAGATGTGCAAGGGATTACCATTAAGTAGGTCTGTACTTACGGGACGAAGGGGACGCCCAGTGAAAGGGTGGCGACAGGGGGTTTTAGAAGAAATAAGGGTTTGTCAACTCCCTGAAGGGCTTTGGGAGGATAAGGAACTTTGACAGCTAGGGGTCGCAGAGCGCCAAAGAGCGCTATAAAAGGGACTTTATACATACATACAATATTAGGGAATTTTCAATTTCCCCCCGGTATTTTGGCCATATTTATCAGGGAAATCGGGAAAATGTTAGAGATTTTTATTTTTGAAAGCTAGACACCCTGCTCCGGTCGCCCAAAGAACCTGAAGACTAAAAAAAAGGACATCACTATTTGCGGAAGCATTTTTCGGCTCGCGCGAATGCGTGGAAAACAGGGAACTTTATCGCCCTCTGCAACACTACCGTGCTAAGGAAGGACGTCGTATGGACCTTCGAGAGTTGCCAAATTTCCCCGAGTAAAACATGTAATTTTGAAGAGAATTTCGCATATTTTTCTTTGAAATTTTCAGATATTTTAGATTCAATTGTGAACCAAAATCTCTAAAAAATTGGAGGAAAAATATTCAAAATTTTCCCAGTAAATTCGGTTTTTACCGAAGGAACCTTGGCAACGGCTGAAGGCTTATACGGCATTCTTCCTTAGCATGGCAGAATAGCAGTTTGCCGGAACCGGCGGATGAGAAAATACAAGAGGGGACCCTGGACAAAGGAAAAAAAAAATTAAAGGAAACCTAACCTAACCCAAGCCAGGTTCCCGCGGGTAGCAGCGTCCTCGCCCTCCGCCCTCAACAGTCGCTCGCCTGCCTGTACTACTTATCACGATCGTTCGCCTTTTCATCGCTCAATTGAATCCGAGCGTACTCGCCGGGTCCCCCCNCCCCCCCCCCCCGGTCCCCCCATTCACGGCGGCTCATCCCCACCCGCGGGAGCGTCGCGTGTCGCTCTCTCTTCCCGCTGCGGCGGCCGGCGCCTCGTCAGTGGCTTCTCGACCCGGGCGGCAGACGCGACCGACCAGCTCCCAGCCGCCGATCCCCACACCCGCGCGCAAGCAGACCCCTCGTGCGCACCCCGCGAACCAGTGCTCGAACCAGTGAATCAGTGTGGTGATAGTGTTTGTGTCGAGGAAATCCAGTGTCAAGTGTTGGCTAATGAGTGCTAGTCAAGCCCCGGCGTCGGGTGGACCATGGGCTTTGCCCTCCCTGCGCACTTGCCGCTCGAGAGGTACATCGGAAGCTGTCTGATCTCCCCATGCCCGCCCCCGCCGCCGCAGTTCTCGCCGCCCCCGCTCCAGCCGCGCAAGTTCCAGAGGCAGTTCTACAACTCGAAAACCCTGCTCCGCAACGCGAATGGCCCGCCGCCGCCGGACAGAGCCGCCTACCCGCCCAACCGGAGCCTCAAGGCGAACCAGAGGCATGGGCTCTTCGAGGAGCCCGAGGGCGTCTGGACGATCGGGGTCCCGCTCCTCGCCGTCCAGCCCTTCGTGAAGTCCAAGAACAACCGGACGACGAAGAAGAACCGGAAGTACGGCGGGGACACCCCCCAGCCCGATGCTAGCGAGCCGCCACGCATGCTCCACAACAGATCTCAGTTCTCCAAATTGGCCGTCCACACCCAGGGCGTGCCCCTCATCCAGTCGAGCAGGTACGAGCAGAGCTGCAAATCGAAGAGCGGCAAGGCCGGCAACCCCTCCTCGCGGAACGCTCCCCTCGACGCGAACAAAATCGCGTCGGGTCGGAAGGACTCGGCGGGCTCGAGCGGCAAGACCGGCGAGAGCTCCAGCGTCAGCGACGAGAACCTGTCGTGCAACTCCCTGGAGAACAGCCTGCCGCGGATAATCAAACCGCGGAAGAGGCGGAAGAAGGACCGGAAGCCCAACGGGGTCCCGAGCGCCGCCCCCGACGACAACAACAACACGCCCAAGGAGGACGATTCCGGCAAGGAGGCGACGAAGAAGGACGGAGGAC